GCTGTATCTACACTGTGCAGCTGTATCTACACTGTGCAGCTGTATCTACACTGTGCAGCTGTATCTACACTGTGCAGCTGTATCTACACTGTGCAGCTGTATCTACACTGTGCAGCTGTATCTACACCTGCAGCAAGGAGGAACTTACAGCCAAAAAGATTTACTGAAAACGTGCGGCTAAAGCGACGCCCTGCAGAGGCAGTCCAACGGCAGCGCCACTGAGGCTGTCGCCGCTCATCCAGCCACACGCAGTGAAGAGGCCTCCTGCTATCCAGTCGCATGCCAGCCTCTCCAGCAGCTGCAGCAAACGAGCAGTGCACCGAGCGATGGGTGAGCAAACCAAAACAGATCGGAGAACGAGACAACACACAGGCTGGCTGGCAGGAGAGAAAATACCCTCTCAGTACCCCTCTCCCACAACCCCCCTCCCCCTACAGCCACCACGCACTCTGTCCTTTGATCCCCTAGAGCAGCTGCGATGTTTTGTTCACCTGCATGCGTCTGGGCACTACTCGACTTGAAGTAGGCACTAAGCAGCACTGCGGCGTCCACCAAGGCTTCCAACTGAGGCAACTCGCCATATCCAGGAGGCAGCAGACCCCGTCCAGCGTCGCATACACCCGAGACAATGCGAGATGCCACAGCGCTGCTCTCGTTCCTCTTGTTACTGCTGCTGTCGGTCCTCTTGTTGCTGCTGTTGTTACTACTGCTGCTGCAACATAACTCCTCCGCCTTCCTCTTTGCATCAAACGGCTTAACCAGCCTGCCAACACCGTCCGTAGTACACCTGGCTGCAGGGGGATTTGAGGCCAAAGATGCCTTTGAGATCTTCTTTAAGATCTCTTCCTCAAGCAACTGCGGAGATGCTGCTGCATCTGCTGCTGCTGCTGCATCTGCTGCTGCTGCATCTGCTGCTGCTGCTCCTGGTGCTGCACCTGGTGATGGTGCTGCTGCTGCACTCGCTGCTCCTGCTGCTGCAACTGCTGCACCTGCTGCTGCCTGCTTCTGTTGTTGAGAAACGAGACCCCACAGAGGAAGTCGCCACTGCTGCTGTCGCTGAAGCCACAACGCTGCAACGCCTTGTTGCTGCAACGGGTGCAGCAACACCTGCTGTGCAACTGCAGAAGTTGCCCCTTGCTGCATGGACTGCTGTTGCTGCAGCCGTTGCAGCAGCTGCTGCTGCCACAGGTGTTGCAACTGCTGCGTTCGCTGTTGCTGCAGCAAGTGGGGGGGGTGGATAGAAACATCGGAAGCTGTGAATGCACCAAGCACACATGCAAGACACACCGAAGGAAATGGTCTCTCTGCAACACGCTTCTCGGGAGGACGAGACAGACGCCTTTCGGAGGGCAAGAGGCACGCAGCTTACCAACAGCAGTCACGCCTGCTGCTGCGGAGGCATCAGCTCCTGTGAATATCGCGGAGCCATCCTGCTGCAACGTCTCCTGTTGTTGCTGCTGATGCTTCCGAAGGAGATACTGCATCACCATCTGCTGCTGCTGCTGCTGCTGCTGCTGAGCAGTCAGAACCAGCTGCTGCTGCGAAGCAAGTTGCTGTTGGTTCTGATGCTGCTGGGGAGTTGTATGGCTGCTACCGCTGCTGCTACCGCCGCTGCTGCTGCTGCTGCTGCTGCTGCTGCTGCTTAACGAGGGATGAGGCCCTTCCGCCTTCACAGCTGCCGTTCCACCCGCCTGCAGTGCCCTGCTGCAGCTGCTTGTGGAGACAGCGGCAGCTGTCTCCTTCGCTAGCTGCTGCCTAGTTGCTGGAGGCAAGGGGGAAGGTGCGTGATGCTTGGCAGCAGCTGCTGCAGGGGAGCTACTTAGCCTGGATGCTGCGGCTGCTGCCCTAGACTCTGCATAGGGAGACAGGAGATACACGAAGTGCTTGGCTGCAAGCAGCTGCCGTGTCAGTCCGACGTCAAGGGGCTGGCTGCGCTGCAGCTTGTGCGTCTGGAGAAAGATCTGCATGAGATACCAACTCGACAGCTGCAAGCACCAAGCACACAACCCCCCAAGCAGAAGGTGACACGCGCTGGCTACGCAGACAGCGTCCACGCAGTTGCAGGCGCAGACGCTTGGAAGCAGCCTCTAAGACGCATCCCTTCTCCCCATCGCCCCCTGCATACACGCAGCGAAGCTGCAGCACTGCATGCGCCGTATTTCGAAGGCGGCTTAAACAAGCACACGCCGCAAGAAACAGAAAAAAACCTACAAAGGGTTCAGCAGCAGGCAACATCTCGACGTCGTCTAGCGAGTCTACTGCGAACTCTTCTCCCAAGGGGACTAGCGATCCCGAGATCAACGCATTGCGCAGAAGAAGGCGCCCCTCCTTGTCGACTTCTTTCTCCGCGGCAATTCTCCCCAAGCCGCTGAATACACAGGAGCCACTTGCGACTCCGCTGCTGTAGTTACACCTTGGCCCTCCCCCGAAGGCGTTCCCCGACCCTTCCCCCGCCTCCGCAGGAGCAGCTTTGCGTTTTCTGCTGCTGCTGCGCAGCAGCTGCTGCTGCTGCTTCGATCCGCCCCCCGAAGAAGACGCCAACAAGCCTTGCAAAAAGTCTCCCACACGGAATGCGACGCCTCCAGACGCTGAAGAAGCCGCAGTAGCTGCCGCGACTGCCCCTCCGCCTTCCTCGCGTGAACCACAAGGCAGCTGCTCGAGTCGAGGCACTACTCCACTGATCTTCAGATGCCGCGGCAAGGGGGTTCTCTGAGATTTGCAGCTATTGCCGCATGCCGCTGTCGCAAATCGTGGAGAACCTGCTGCTCCTGCTCCTGCTGCTGCTCCTGCTCCTGCTCCTGCTCCTGCTGCTGCCGCTATCCCTGCTGGCGTGAACGCTGTGGTGGAAAGCATAGGCCTCATAGCATCTGCACCCCCTGCGGCTCTGGGGGATTCCATCAGACCGACTACTGCATTACGTGCTGCTGCTGCTCCTCCTCCTCCTGCAGGCGTCGACACGCAGCTCCTGCTGCTGCTCTCTGCTGCTGAGACAGCCGCAGAACCGTCCGGATCCTTGAGCCGCGGAGGTATTTGCCTCTTTGGACGCTCAGGGCGTTGTGGCTGCTGTTTCTGCAAGACTCGGTGAGAACGTAGCAGAGGAGGCTCTGGCTCCAACCGAGAGATCGACTGCCTACGATGAGGCAGCAGCATCTGCTCGTGCTGAGAAGGGTGAAGCTGCTCTATACATGTGTGGCCTTTGCGCTCGACCAATGCCACTCCAGCCAGAGATGCCGCTTGCGACTGCTGCCCTTCGATCGTGAGACACCGTATTTCTAGGAGATCTTCCTCGGAGACGACGACTGGCTGCAGCACCTTCTCGACTTCGACCTGCTGAGCCGCTTCCACGAACGCGATGCCGCCTTGCTGCTGCACTAAGAAACGCAGCGCTGCCTCCCTTGCTGCTGCATCCGAGCCGCAAGCCAGTACTGGAAAACAGCCGACTGACGCTGCCGCATCAAAGAAGAACTCCGTCGTTGAATTGAACGATCCGTTGCAACAACTGCAAGTCGTGCATACCCCACGCTTGTTGCTCCTTCCGCCGCTGCGTTCAGAGTCTTTAAGTGCGTCGAGATCTGCGCACACATCGCCTTTGTGGCTCCCGCCGCTCTCGGAGGGGCCAGCACCTTCCTCATTGTGGCTGCTGCTGTTAGTGCTGCTGCGACTCCGGCTGCTGTTGCAAGGAAGCGCAGAACCAGCATCCAGAGGACGGCCGTCAAATGCCAAGTCAGACACACGACTTTCCCTACAAGGCGAAGGCTGCGTTTCGCACCGCTCGCCGCTGCTGCAAATCCTCCTGCGTCTCCAGCCATTTCGCGACACATAAACAGTCGGACAGAAGCAAGGCCTCTTGGTAGACTGCTGCTGAAAGGGGTGTCTGCCCTCTTTTCTGAGAAGAGGAAGATCTGCGGAGGCGTCTGCCTCTGAGCCGCCAGCGGCGAGAGCATCCCTACACGCTTCCTCCTGCACATGCATCACGTTCTGCTCAGGATGCCTCTTAATCGACAGCTTGGGGAAAGACGGCGAGCTGCTGCACACGCCACTGCTACCAGCAGCGTAGGCAGCCGCCACCCACGATGCATCCCTCATAATAAACCTCTGCTGCCTCCAAATAACATGCATCCCTTTCCTCAGATAACACAACCCATGCACTGGAGGATATCGCTCACATCCCACCACGCAGCGGCTAAAGTGCGTCTCAGCGGCATCTGCTGCTGACGCCTCTGCTGCTGCTGCTGCTGCTGCTGCCTCAGGATGCGGCCCACTGGCAAGCGACGACAAATCTGCGAGCCTCTGCTTGCCTTGCGGGGATGCACCGCCTGCTGCGCCTTCTGCCTGAAGGGGGCAGCTGATTGCGCAGGAAAACAGACTGTGAGGATCAGCAGCAGCTGCTGCTGCTGCCGCTTCAGCAGCGACCGCCGCTGCTGATCTGATCGACAAGGAAGCACAAAAACGCGACGCTGACTCTGTCACGGGAGCAGAAGAAGGGCCCCCTACGGCAGAGGACGTCTTACTAGCGGGAAGACTGCAAGCGCTACCACTGCTGCTGCTGCTGCTCCCTGCAGCACTGTTGCTGCCAAGAAGGAGGGCACCTGTCGTCTCCTGCTGCAGCTGCAGGGGTGACGCTATGCCAAAGGCGGCTTGCCCAGAGGCAGCGAGACAGCCACTAGCAAGCTCCGTCGGTGCATGCCCTCCAGTATCCCTCGAGGCACAAGACGCTGCAGCTACAGCAGCAGCAGCAGCTGCTGCTGCCGCCGCAGCGTGAGCAGACGGCTGCACTCCCAACATGAGGCCTGCTGCGTGAAGACACGCGGCAGCCTGCTGCTGCTGCTGCTGCATGCTTAGCCACACGCCCCTGCCGCCAGCTGCAGCCGCTGCATGCGGTGCTTTCGCTTCAGGAGAGCCAGCAGCAGCAGCGGCAGCAGCGGGAGCAGCAGCAGCAGCAGGAGGAGCTGCAAATGCGGGATTTTCCCCATTCAGAGAAAACGCCTGTGCACCCCACCGCAGCAGCGAAGGCAGTCCTGGCTGTTGGTGGTAATGCTGCTGCTGCTGCTTGCATGCAGTGACTGCAGCACGCGCCTTGAGAGAGCCAGCGGCAGCTGCGGATGCTGCAGCGCCTGCTGCTGCTGCTACGCCTGCTGCAGCAGCAGCCCGTGTAGCTCCCCCCCCGCTGCTGCTGCAGGCCGCTGCATTCGCATGTTTTTTCGCTGCTTCTGCTGCACTTGCCGACACTCCACTATCGGACTGCCGTCGAGACTGCATTCGACTCCACGGCGAGGAAGCCGCAGCTGCCGCGAAGGCAGTGGCTGCTGTCTTAGCTGCCCCTCTGTCATTCGAGGCTTCTGCCACTGCGTCAGAACGACTCTCCACGAAGGAAACAGTCGCCCTACGTCCTCGCGGAAACTGGAGCTGCTGCTGCTGCTGCAGCTGCTGTTGTAGCTGCAGTTGTAGCTGCTCTTGTTTTTGTTGCCGGCTACACCACGGGGAGGAGCCTACTAGGCTTTCCTCTGCCGCTGCTGCTGCATTTCTGTTGCTGCTGGTCTTGCCGTCTTTCGTGGAGTTGCCATCGCAGGGGGAAGCCAGAACCGCCGCAATACTGCTGATGCCGCAGTACGTGTTGGGCAGACTTCTGCTGGGGTTGCTGCTGCTGTTCAGCGACAGCAGCATCCCTCGTTCCGCCGCTGCAGGTGCTGAGGGGGTGCTGCTGCTGCACGGCTGCGTCTTCTGTGGCGTCTGAGGGGGTCCTTTCATGCTGCCCTTGTGGCTCGCCGCAGCGAAGGGCGATGGCAGTGCAGCCGCAGCAACGGCGGCAACAGCGGCTGCCGCTGCAGCAGCAGCCGCTGTTGCCGCCGTTGCCGCGGCTGCAGCAGCTGTAGAGGGATCCCCCGGTGCAGTCTGTGCGGGGGGAGCGGCGCTTCGGGGAGTCGCCATGGTCAGTGAGGCTGCTGCGAAGTGCTGCGGCTGTCTGGCAGCCGTCCCCGAAAGCCGTTGAGGCTGTGGTTGTTGCAAGAGCCCTGCATCAGCGGCAGGCGCGGGAGGAGCACAGCAGGAGGACGGTGGAAGTTCGCAAAAGGGGGGAGGCTGCAGCCACGAAAACGAATGCGGCTTCTGGAAAGGGTCAGGCTGCTTGCGGGGGGTGCTGCAGGTGGCCAGGGGGCCTGCCGACGATTCGAATGCAGGCTGCTGCGTCTTGTTGCTGCGTCTTGTTGCTGCGTGTTTGCAGCTTCCAGAGTTACCTTGCTGTTAGAGGGTGCTTGGGCAGCCTTTGAGTGCTGGACTGAAGCCCCTGTGTTAAATTCTGAAGCAGTTCCAGCAGCGGGAGGCTGCACATAGGCTCAAAGCTCGCGACGCCAATGAGAGTTGCAAGAAATATACATGCTATGTTCGAAGGAGGGTGTGCGTCTGCTCTGCTACAGGGGTAACGCCGTTGATCCTCCTTCTGACGGCGTGGGAAGAGGGGTTACGTCTGTAAGGGGCCAAGGAACGCCAAAGGAATCCGCAAAGAAATGCTAACAAAGAGAAAAAGATAAGCAGCTGCTGCAGCTGCAGCGCTTGCAGATGCTGCTGCTGCTGCTGCTGTTGATATGCGAATAAGAGCGCTGCCGTGACGCCTCACGCCAAAGCACTGGGCTCTGAGGAACGGCAGGGGCGCTTCATTAGATGCTTCTTTTAGGATCAAAACAAGAATATTCCAATAATAAAGACGCCGTACTGCAACAGCAGCGGCGGAAGCCCGTCAATAGCTGCTGCTATATATGCCTGCGCCCCTCCGTCAGCTGCAGCGGCTGCTGCAGCGCAGAGTGGCACGTCAAGCAGTAGCAGACTGAGGGAGTCGAGCAGGGGGGTGGCGTGGTGTTGCATTCCAGCAGCAACAAACCGTGGGGGTTATGCCTTCCTTTTAATTTAGAACCGCTTCTATTGCGCCTTCCTGCAGAGTCTCTGGGGGCTGAGAGAAGTTCTCGCGGAATGCGCTCCCGTTGCCCACTGCCTCGAGGTTCATCACCGCTGCAGGAGGGAAGTCGCTGCTTCTCTAGCAGCTGCTGCTCCTTCACTCCAGCCGCATGGGGGCGAGACTTTCGTGGAGAAAGCACTGGCGGTCAGGTTTTTCCCCACCCGCATGAGCGCTGCTCTCAGCTCGACGCGAGTAACCGAGAACGACAGTGGACACTCGAGATCTGCCATGAACACACACTGCACTCAGCAAGAACAACATCAGGAGCCGCGCGAAACTGCTGCCAGGATCGATCCCGCTGCAGTATGCTGACGAGGATTGCCTTTTTCTGACCTCAGCAGCCAGGGGGGCAGCCGCCTACCTCCGCAGCTTCGAGCACAGAGAGCAGACAGACAGACACACGCACACACACATAGAGAGACGGCATAGAGCCACACGCGCTGTCTGTACAGAACTGCCTCTCCTACTGCCGCCCTCAAGAAAAAAAAGACTCAACATTAAAACAGCACGATGGGCATGCCAACGCCTGCGCGGGCTGTCGCTTCTTCACAGTGTATGCGAACATCTCGAGCTCATGCAGGCTTCTTGCAACCATTCGCGCTTCCTACCGCCGCAGGAGGATCAGAACGCCTCTTCTGCAACCCCAGGGGCCCCCTACTGCAGCATTTGCATGCTGGCAACATGCGTGCCGCGCATTTGTTGACGCCCAACAGCCCTACGAACTTCCTGCACAGGCAACTCCCCATGCGCTGCCTTCTTTCCCATGCGCACTCTATCACGGAACCTGCCACGAGCAGGCTGCAGCAGCAGCGGCAATTCTGGCGCATCTGTCGGTGTCTGCGACGGCCTGACGAGCCTCAAAACTCTCAGCAGCGGCAACTGCATCACCAGTCAGTAGCGCCCTCATCTCCTGCTGCGGCTGCTGGTGACGAGCACTCGCAGAGCACCGAATTTGGACTCTTAAGCACTTCTGAAGCCCCTCTCCCGCTGCGGGCTGCATTTGCTGCTCAGCCTTCGGTAAGACTTGAAAAATACTGCTGTTACCTCTACGGCATAAGCGAGCAGCGCACACACACAGCTGAATCGAGCTCCTGCACGCGTTCTTCGCGCGCTCTCTTTCTGAGCCACATGTGTCTCACGCTCTTATTTTCTTATAAATGTGCCGACAGAAGGTGGCTTCTCTCTCTTTCTCTCTCTCTCTCTCTTTCTCTCTCTCTCTCTCTCTCTCTCTCTCTCTCTCTATATATATATATATATATATATATATATATATATATATATATATATATCTGTTCCCATGCCGCTTCAAACAGATATATATATATATATACCTTGTGATGTTTTTCGGTGTGCGTCTCTTCTTCGCAGCCTTCAGAGCCACCCCCGAAGCGCCGCTGGGGGCCGTGGCTGAAGGTTTCTCTCTTCGGGATCATTTCAGTCTCTCCTTTTGTAGGAGCTGCATTTCTATTCAAGTCGCTCATGCAGCAGAGGCAGGAGGAGCAGGCTACGGCCATGCTCGCCGCTGCAGACACGGAGACAGCACTCCGAACTGCACAGCAGGTACACACATCTATATATATATATATGCATGTGTATGTATATGTGTATGTATACGCGGCGCAAACGCCCTCCGAGTGCAGCCGTTGTGCTGTAGTGCCACGCGTGCTGCTGGTGGCTTGTTGCTGGTGCTGTAGCCTCGAGGCAATGTGTGTATTAGACCGGTGTAGGTGTATACACGCACCCAGTTGGGGCTGAAGATACGGAGAGCAGTTGGCAGCAAACGCGCCTTCAAGGCAGATATGTGGCCTTATCTTGTGACGTGCTTGACGCGCAGCTTGTTTCTCGAGCCACCACTTGTGTCTGCATTGCCGGTGGAGCAAAGGGTGGCCGCATCATATCCAGTAAGTTTCAGCTTCTTCTTTTCGCTGCCCTCGGCGTTCTGACGCCCTCCTGCTATCCCCTGCGCTTCGACTACTACAGCGGTGCGGCTGCTGCTTCTCTGCTGCTGCTCTGCTTGCCTGCATGCAGCGGCTGTAGAGCCTCATTTGCCGGAGACGCGCGTCCTGCGCCTGCCTACAAAGGATGTTATTGAAGGCATTCCGAACAACGCCCTAACGTATTTGCTTGCAGGTGTGGACGGCTTGTCAGTCTCGCTCTGTGGGATTCCATGCTCCCTGGTCTGCGAGCCTCTGCACCGCGTGCATCGCAAGCCTTTTCTTGCTGCCTGCGTGATGCGCTTGGCGCCTTCCGTGCTGAATACTGTTGTCTGTGTCTAGCTGTTACTTGTTTTTAGCCCCTGCAGATTGCACTTTCTCTCCTCGGCAAGTCTGCATTCACGACATGTCCTGTCGGCTCCATGCTGCCCTTGCGTTCCCTGCCCGTGTGTTCGGGTGTATGTACCTGTGTATGTATGCGTTTGCATGTTAAAGTGTGTAAACGCGTGCATTGTAAGCTGCTGTACACATTTGTGTAGGTATGTAAATCTATGTGCGCACCTGTGTTCCCCTGTCTAACCCACCACATTGAGCTCCAGTGTTGTTCGGGCTTCCCCACCGCATGCGTTAACAGCTAAAATGCTTGCATGCATGCTGCTCACTACTCGTATGCCAGCTTTCTTCCTTAGATGCAATGGCGTCGTGTGTATGTTCGTATTTTCTGGTTGTAGGCGAGCGCGGCAGCTTCAGCTTGCCCTTCAATTTTGTGCACTTCGGTATCAGTGCCTCGAGTGCGTTGCTCTCGAAGGTCACAGCAGGCGAATCTTTGGCTCTCCTCTATGTTGACTCTACCAGGTGAGGCAGCCAGCAACACCCGTGGATGCAAGGGTGAGCGCATGACTGTGTGCGCTCCAGCTAGTTGCTTTCTGTGAAGTCTCGCCTATCGTCGTGCACGTTTTTGAAGCATGCCCTTAAACGCGTGGGCATTGCTGGTGATGGTGCAACTTGCATACAATGCTATCGGAGTGACTGGCATAAATATTCAAGGAGGTATGCACACAAGCGTTTCCAGGAGCATGTATACAGTTCTTGGTGTTTTGGTTAACTGCGCCGCAGCGGCGGGAGCGTGCTGCTAACAGGTGTCGCCGCGGTGCTGGATCTTCCTGCATATAAGGCGCATTACTGGCGGAACTGCTGGGAACCTACGCTTCCAGGTGTGTCTGAGCCAGATCAAGAGGCGGCAGCAGGCCCCATGTGCGCCTCGTGTTTCTCAATTGCATGGAATGTGTACCCGTTGGTGCAGCGACCTGCTGGCATAGCGGACACCCATGGTTGTGGTGGAGGCTACCGCTCTGTGGCTGCTTTTCTGCAGGCGGCAGCTCGAGCCCAGACTACAAGCTAATCAAGTTTGTACCCAGTTCAATTGCAATTGATCTTCCGTCTCGGGGCAAGGCAAAGTGGAAGCCTATCAAACTTTCCCGCATAATTACGGAAGAGAGCATCTACTGGGCTCTAGACGACGGGGGCGCCGGACCGGCCTGCTAGCGGACAGAGGGCTCCCAGTGGCAGCTAGCTTGATTGCCACTTGCTTGACGGTGTTTGCGGCTTTTCCTCGTGTAAATTTATTTAGTCCCAGGTGGGGTGACCTGGCAGAAGGAGAGCATGCGAGGCTATCAATGCGCTTGCAGGGTCGTCATCTAGGCTGTAACTAAGACCCCGCCCGTTACGCAGAGACCTCCCGATCTCCTGCGCACGCAAGGCAGAGAGAATCAACGCCTTTTGGAAGGCGGGCCTAGCCTTACCTGTGTCGAGACACAGCTATTGCGCCTGCAAAGCATTGGCGTTGATGGACGAACCGAGAAGTGTCGAGCCAAATACGTTTTGAGCATTCACTCCTTCACGTTAGTCCTTATGTTAGCCTGGAGTATCGACTATGTAGACTGGAGCCTTGCCTACCTGGATGATGATATGCGCAGTGAACTGCGCATGGGATGCAGGGAAATGATGCACGAATCCAGCCAAAGCCCTCACGTGGATATTAGGGTATCTCAAAGCAAGGAATCTGCAGCGGTAAATCAGTCAAAATGTTCATTGCCATCTGCATCACCCACGGCCGTACAAGGCGGGTGCGGGGGCCAGCACAGCAGAGTGGGCAATAAGTTCGAAACGCGATCTTCTAGGGGCGTAGATAATTATGCCATTAATTTTTCTTGTGTAAGCTCACCTCGCCTGTCGTATTGGAATGACCCCGTCAGCTGTGCCGTGGAAGACACTGGCCCGCTGACCTCTCTGGCGCAGTAGCTGAAACGTCCTGTCAACACGGTCTTGCACTGAAAGCAGAGCAGACTCCCATCTCGCCGAACTCTAGCTATGGCCAGCAGTAGGGGATTCAGGAGGTATCTTTGCTCTGCATCGAGGCAAGCGGTAACTTCTAAAAATCACGGGAACGCCCAGGGGTACGAAGGTCCCCTCATAAGTCTATTAGGGAAATGAGTTACGTACCAATGGATCGAATCGTTCCTGTTAGGGCGTCGGGGTGGATGCTGAAGACGTCAGCTACGGAGAGCTGTGGGAGTTCTCCTCGGGGAACGATGCTCAGGACAAGAGGCTCAAAGAAGGGTCGCAGTACCACACCTAGCCGTAGCAGGAACTCCCCGAAGTACGGATGGGCAACTGTCTGCTAGCAGATGGCAGGCATGGCAAGAAACATATACAGAGCTAACTTACATGCAGAGCATTTATTTGTGCACACAAACCAATGGCGGTCCATCGAAAAATTAGCTCCACACGCTGGTATAGCCTTTCTGCGCACCCGGAACGACTGCAAAGAACAAACTCCTTGAAGCTAAGCGAAAGCTGCCAATTTGTTTCTCTGGAAATCAGCCAGAATACTGAATTACACCCATGCACGCCACCAGCGGCGGGGAAAACAGCACCCTCTCGATGAACTTAGAACAGACAGGCATTACAAAATGCATTCTGTCTTCTTTTGTCAAAGGAAGTGTCTTAGAGTAGCTTATTTGCCCATAAGCGGTTGAAAGGACTTCCACACCAACCAAGGATGCATCATACTACATGAGACAATGAGTGGACGGTCAAGCAGGCATGGTCTAGTGGCTATGACGCTCGCCTCACACGCGAGAGATCCCGGGTTCGATCCCCGGTGCCTGTACTTTTCATCTCGCAATTAGGACATTTACTTTTGTTAAATAACACATTTTCGCTATTTTCTTTGCATGTCAAACATGTAAGCACAAGATGCAAATTCCGAAGGCTTTGTTCAGCTCCAAACTCAAGATCGCGGTACAGTGGTATGTAACTACGGAGCGGTGTTTTACCGCTGTCTTCTGAATCGGTACTGCATTGCACGTATAATGTATTCTGACTTTCGTTACGCTACAACCTCTTTGTGCACTTATCGTCTTTTGTCTCACGTGAGAAGCGGGGAAGTGGGAGGCCGTGAGAATCCTCATGGCTTGCCTCTCAGACTCGAAGTATGCTGGCGCCAAAAGAATGAGCGTAGTAACGAAACCGGGCGGAAGCATTTCGCACAACTCCGCGGCAACTAGGCCCCCGAAGGAGTGGCCAACCTGCATGTCTCCAGAGGAAATTTGTCGCGTTCTCTCTCTGTGCTTCTTCTAGCATGGCTTAGAGAGCAACTAGTGTTCCCATGTCCGTGGAAGCGGCTCCGTCTAGGTCAAAGACTGGAGAGTGATTTTGTGAGCAGTGCACAGATTCGGGTTCACAAGAGATGGCTTTTGCGGGGGGAAGTGCCTCCTACCAAGTGTACAGAAGTCAAGCCGTTCTCCAATACAACGTCCCGTAAAATTGCTTCTGCCTGGGATGAAAATTTGCACACAGAGCCTATCGATTCGAGAGGGAATTTTTCGGAAAAGATCTTCAGGGGGTAGATAACACATTGGCAGACTACTCATCAGGTGACGTGACGCACACACTCTTTAGCAAAGCACGTACACCCCACGGAAAACGCCTTGCAGGCAGATGCACACTTCTTACCTGTTCCCTCCGCGAGTAGTTTTGCGTTGGTGGAACAGCGCTGCTTTTTCCGTACCCCAAGAGGTCTACGCAGTAGAAAGTATAGCGCCAGCGTTCATGGGGGTCGTCATGAGAGGAAGCTCCCAAGGAAATGCCTTCAGATTGCGGAAAGAGGACCCGAATAACGTCGGCAAAAAAGTAGCCGCTCATGCAGATGCCGTGAATAAGGATCACATTCTCTGGTCCCTCTCCTTTGCGCACATGCAAAGAGAAAAGCAATGACACCGGGAAGGCAGCGCAGTGGCGATATGGAGGCAGAAATAAGAACTGCAGCATGGTCTTGCCAGGCACCAAGATGGCTCGCCAAAGGCTGTGTGTCTCTGCTGATGGCAGAATAAAATGGAGATTTTCAATAAATTACTGGGCTCGAGTACACCGGCTTACCAACTTTCGTGTAGTGGAGCGTCTGGTGCAAGGGACAACGTGGGGGCGGCAGGCGGCCGGCTTCTTCTGCGACTCCTGCGTCTCTGCTTGTGCCTGTCGACCTGTTGCACTGAGGGCATGCCTCCGTTGCCTTGGCTCTGCTAAGGAAATCTAGTGCAACCTCGTGCACCTCGCTTGCCCTGGCCGTCTCCACGTCTGGTAGACTCGTGGAGGGTGTCACGCAGAAGGGGTGCAAAAGTAGTGCATACGCGTCATAGGGGGGGTCCAGCGGTGACAAGCGCTGCCTCCGCCTCTCCAGCTCACGACGGCGACGACTGCCTACTCCGCTGCGCTTTATTCGGAAACCAACAGCTTCCTTCCACCCATCGTTGAAAGCACTGCCCCCAGTGAACTCCCCAATATCGCGCGCTGCTCTGGCCACCTGAGGTGATCTGTGAAGGCACCCCGAAGGCAGAGCACCAGTAGAGCCTCCACTGGGATCTCGTTCCTTAACAGCCATAGATTGGGGCCAGCGGCAGCCGTGAGGCAGCAGCGCAAGGACAGTGCTCCCGCGGCGAGATATTGCTGCTGCTGCGTCTTCCCCCATCTCCTCCTCTTCACTCAAGTGTTCTGTGTGCCGATCCGGAAATCCTCCAGATCCCTGGCTAGTGCTGGCACAAGTCGTCCTACTGGGTGGCACCTCCACTGCTTCTTCTTGTGCTCCCAAATCGCCTTGGGGGGATCTCATACTGCGACTGTGCTGAGGTGCTCTCCCTGGCATGCGCATTCCAAAAGGGCCTTGTGCCGGAGCGGCGTCTGTCAGTACCATGTCTTTCTGCGTGCCTCCACTGGGGTGGCTATAAAGAAACGGATGTGGGTGGCTTCCTGCTAAGGCATGCATTTTCCTATGACTCTGCGAAGAAGGTTCATGGGAGGAGCGATCAAGACGCAATTTACAAGCTGCAGCCTTCCAAATATGACCTCGTGTTTGATTGGATCGCACTAGCCCTGCCAACCAGCTCCAACGGCCTTTCTGCTGCTCCGCTTTCTCAGCCTCTTCTGCAGCCGCTTCCAGCTTTTCAAGGAGAGGCAAGTCGTTCACATCCATTGCCCCAGATATCAAGAGTGCACACACGTCTAAGGGATTGAATCGAATCCTCGGTCTTGCAGGGCCCTGCCTTCTTTTCAAATGTTCAGGAGAGCCCCCAGAGGCTCCTTCTTGCAAATCACTGTCAGTAGCGCACATGGTGGTGGCAAGGAAATGTGTTGACCTTTCGCGAGGTGAAGCGGCTGCCTTGGCGAGTCGCCATAGATCGAGAAGCTCGTTCTGAGATATGGTGCTCGCCATGGCCCTTAGAAACCTGAGCCTGATGAGGAAGAGGCTCGCGGATGTAGTGAAACACTGAGGGACCTCAATTTGCTCGTGGACCGCTCCAGCTGCAACATGCGGAACCACGCAGTACAACATTCTTCCGTCAATCCAACCCGAGCTCCCAGGAGCCGCCTCGCCGTCGGGTTTCTCGCTATCCCGTCGAGCCTGGCAGTGTGAGGGTAGCATGACTAGTTGCCAGCGGCTCAGCCGCACTTGGTCGCAGGGAGTAGAAGGCATCCCAAATCCCCATGGATGCACGACAACGACCATCGTCCTTCCCGGCGCTCATCGCAGCAGAGTCAGGGTAATCTGAACAAATGTATCTAAAAATAGACATCTATTTAGCAATTTTCAAGCTTGTAACAGTAAAACGAGCTTTTAATTGCATAACCGGAGGCTTGCGTTGGGAAAATAGTGGACGGAAGGTCACCGCTGGCGAAGCACCGGTCAGACCACCACCAGCAGCAATGCGTCATGCAGCAATCAATAAAAACAATATAAAATGCAATTTCCCATTAATTTCACGGGCGGAATAGAGTGTAGACGCGGCTAATTTTCGGGTCGTCGGGAGGGACCCCCATGCAAAACCCAGGAAATTCCCCCACGACCGTGGTAAAGGGATCCACATGTAGATCTGGGCACCGTGCGCTTGATTAATGATTCCAAATATACCGAGCTCTGGACTGTGCAAAGATGGGACAAATGGTAATGCATACACCCACAGTTGGCTGGCGAACCAAGCCTGCGGAGTCTTGAGAGCTTTGCCTCACAACAAAAACTATCAGTCTCTGGCCATAGAGGGCACGGCGGCTCCTAATCAGGAAATCCGTGCAGCTGACACTCACCAATAATGGCGCAACAGAGAAAACTAAGGAAAAGCCTTCATCCTCACTGAACGAAAGTAAACGCTCGTTTGCAATGTTCAGGGTGTCAAAGGCCTTAGCGACATGCTTTTAAAATCCATCCGCCTTCTCTGGAATCCGACTAAATTCATGCAAGGTAGTTTGCTGCTTTCCACGACATCAAACATGCCCACCTCTAAATTAAAATTCAAAAAATTTACTACGCCTGGGTTCCTATGGGGTGCAACAATCTCGGAGTCTGCATATTTGAGCTGTTTAGACCCGTATAGCAAAGCAACCATATGCTCTGAGTTGAATGCCCCTGCAAAAGGACTCTGCGGGTGGCGCTACTTGCGCCAGCTGTAAGGCTCAACCTAAGTTCTTGTTAGGGAGATAGTTTATGCAAGACCAATCTTGGCCTAATAGATGCGTGTGCAAAAGACCTACCTCCTTCCCCTGCCTGCACCCCAAAGAGTTTCTCACATAGGGAGAGGCAAACACTTAAGGCGCGCGTTGTTGCACCCTTCGATCACCCTGAGCATTCACACTAGGTGCACGTAACATCCACAAAACACGTGCAAAACATTGCGCCTTATATATCGGGCGAGCAGTGCTTCGCAGGAAATAAGGTGTACCAGCATATAAAGCAGTTGGTCGATTGTTAACTAACTCTTAGTGAATTATGACTAGATTAGTAAAGTGTCAGTGTACCGTATCCCTTTAGACGCGAGGTGATATACGGAATAATTTTGCGACTGATGGGCTTGCCAGGAAAACGAGGAGGCATATATACATGTATATATATGTATATAAATACATGCATATATATATGTCGGAGCATCCCTTCAAAAGCGTTTGAGTGGATGTTTAGGCTGCAGGCTGTGCAGTAGAGACAGAGGTCAAGCATTCCAGCCAGATTATCTAATACGCAAAATATTGAGCATCTGAATATGCGAGACTGCAGAAGCCTCCTAGAGAGTGCACTTACTTTAAAATCCGTCTCACCATACCCACCTCAATTTCTGCGAGATCTGGGTAGTCTTGACGGGCGCGTGGCTGGGGGCCAATTGGCGCAAGAGCGTTTTGGGGGAAAAGGAGACGCTTTGCTTCCGTCTTTTATTCTGGGTCTGAGTGCCCTCATGAAGCTAGAGCATGGAACGCTGAGCTACTAAGAGCTTAAGCTCCACTTCACATCACCAGAACGCAAAACCAATGCATGATGCAGTGTACTCTGATAACTATCAACAACACGCGGCCATCACATGCAGGCCAAAGTGATACCTGAGGTAATCCAAGATGGTTGGCCTCCCTCCAGAAGCGCACTGTAGTCATCGCTGAGGAGCGTGTTTAAGTTGGTTACTCTTCTCCTTGCTTAGAAGAAGGTAATACGAAGTGGAAAAAGACTCCCCTTCAAAATGTAGTTGAAAGCCACGGCGCCATTCTCGAGGTCTCCGTATGCACTTCTTTTTTGTCATCCTGTCTTTTGTATAAAGAACATTATTCCTCGATAATAGGCGAATAGAAAATCCGATTTCTAGCAAGTCTAGCATGTGCTACCGTAAACTAAGTGCTCAATTAGACCAATTAGAATTTTCATAGGCATTTTTCGGGTAGATGGTACCGTGTATGCATTCATAAGTTAGCATCTCAATGTGGACAAGAAGTCGTTGTAGTGTATGCCCCCACTATGTCGTTTCAGCTGCAGAAGCAGCAAGCTGATTGTAGGGCTGTCTTTCACGTATTAATTTCGCCTGGGGCATCCTGCCTAGAGCCCTACAAAACCATTCATGTATTGTGGTCTTGCACTTGCATCAGTATTTCGAAGCAGCGGCGTCAATATGTCTGTTTTTGTCACCTGCGAAAGAAGAAGTCTATTGCTGTTCTTGTCGTTAATCAAAGAGTTATTTAGATAGATGCCCATTAGTGCGCAAAAGTATTAACTCAAATAAACCTTGAAGCAGCCAATAAGCAGTATTTGTCTTTTGTTTTGCCTGGAAATTCCGCTGCGGCAATAGGTTGTAACGAATGAAAGTAGTCATTCCAGTCCTGCATACGCTGAAGAATTGCAGAGTAGTATCCTTTTACCCTTCTCCCAGCAAGAGCTAACGGGTATAAGTCTTTTTGCCTATTTGGGTAAGCATTTTCTGTGTCATTGTTGCAGAACACCTCAGTTTGGAAATCACTCATATTCCTGATCCTCGTTGGAGATTGGTTGACTGCCGTTTGTGTTCCTCCTTGGACAGCGTTCCTAGGGAATTCTGATATTGGGAGACTCAGTGCTAACCCTCCTTTAAAGCATAAACACAGAAATACAAGCTAAGCTCAGAGCTGTGAAATTGCATGTAATGCACTACTGGGTCGAATATAGAACTCGGTTGACAACTCGTAACCAAGCACTATCGCGGCACTCGCACTGTACGCCTTCGAGGGATAATCATGGCTCCTTAAACCAAAAGGCGATGTCAGAAATCTCTTTGTCTATGCATCTTCGGAGCTTAATGAGCAGAGGCGGAGAGAAAAAGCTGACTCAGATATAAAGACGCCAATCATCGCCAAAACCTAGATACTGCGGAGGTGGAGAAGAGCTACATTGCATCGAGGCTTCTGGGGAATCAGCGTAGCTGATAATTGGTTGAAAAGTCGGGCAATACGGTATCCGACATTGAGCTGCGGCACTGGTGAGATCGGTCTGATCGCTGGCAGGATGACCTGCAAGGAATCGACGAGTTTTGAAGCGCAGTCTCCGTGGAGGTGGGAAATGTGAACTCTGTCGTCTTCCACTGCTAAGCGTATTGGAGGTATTTTCGATGCAGCTGTACTATGATGTCTATCACACTCTCTGTCACAGTGTTCCCCCAAATCTGTGCTAGAACTACTTGCAAAGGTTCCTTCTGCAGAGCTGCTTTCCGATAGACAATCCAAGGAAAGCTCAGGCTCATGCTCGTTCGTGCTGGTCTCAGCCAGTACAGCGGGGCTGTGACATCGCATGAAGACAGAGTTTACGATTGGCTGGGGCTTGCCATTGGCTTCCGCGTGCAGGACACATTCCGTGCTGGCGAGCATATACTGGGGCAGCTCTCCTTGTTTGTCGCTGGAATGGTCCCTCGCTTCATTAACAAGCTGCGAGGACAAACCAGAACTAAGCGCTTTGCGGGGATTCGCTGGAGTAAAATCTGCCGCCGTTTTGCACACTAGGCAGGTGTGCATGTGACATGACGCTTCTTTCCGGAGTACATTCCTTGATGTCACCTGCTCAGCGCGACGAAGACAATCGCCCGCACCCATCGAGTTGATCAGACAGAGGTGATTTTTACAATGAAAATATGCTTCGTCTTTACATGAAAATAGTTCAATGCAAAGTGCGCTAGCTTTGTTCATAGCAGATTAGCTCATGTACCGCGCAAAAGCCCTTTCCACACCGGATGACTTCGCGCCTTTCAAGCGATGTCTCACTAGTTCTACACGTAACGTACCATAATCAGTGGTTATGTATAAAGCCCGCAAGAGACGGCAAGCCTCCCACAACTGCTGCTCCTTCAGCTACAAATCTTCGTGCAGAATGTGAGGCGGTGACCTCGAATCAATGATCTGGCATTTACTTGGGGACAACCTTGGTATTCCGAAAGCCTTGAGCTAAGTACGTTTCAGAAAGCTCAAAAGTACGATTATCAATTTTCGAACACATGCGTGCCAGTGAAACTGATCAGGGACTTTGAAAGGAACCTGTGTGGAGTATTACTCGGACATCTAAGAGGCCACTAGGCTTCAATAAGACTACGTTGTATAAGGACTTCTAGGGTGCCTATTTACTCATGAGATCATGATTTTGGCGCTTTATTAGCTAAAAGCGTGCTTGAGGGGGAAAATACTCCGGCTTAACTATCTTTTCAGAACTGTGAAGCCAGGACAGGAATAAGTGCATTGAGCCCCATAAACATGGCTCAACTTTTTACGAGCTTCGGTTTTGTTGCGACATATACATCTGTAATAGGTGTCGAAGCTGCTATAACCGGGAATGAGCACCATGCATATGTTCAATAGTATAGAATATACTCGGCAATAGTTGGCTTAGCCCTGGAGTTTGTTCTGGTTGTTGGAATGACCATTAGCGTCTCCTACCAGTGCAAGCCCCTTTAAGTCCATTTAAACAGTTGCACAGCCTGTATTGTGTTGCTGTTTACATGTCCTAAAGATTACGTGGTGCAGTAGCGTAGCATTAGTAATATGTCAAGTGCATGCAGTTACCTGCACAACGGATTCATTGTTCGGCAAATTAGAGAGAACAATGCCATGAGCACGCTCTCACTTGCGCATTGAGCACCTTTCTAGCGCGCTTAAGCATGCCACTTTACAACACCAGATGGGTGGACGCGCAGTTGCACGATTGCAGATTTATCGTCTGTCCGGTACTCCAAACGGTCCCTAGGGCTGCCAATTACAGCTCATATAAGCTTCCTCTGATAGCATTGCGATGGCACTTCCAATTTTCGAAGTGCAATGAAAAACTGGCCTATTTAGGGTACCCAGTTCAGCGCTTAGTTCAAGCTATACGGTCTGTTGGTGTAGGCTCGAACTCGAGGAACTGTGTAGGCACTGCCCGCTGGGGGGCGGAACTGCTGCAGCAGAGCGCCCCAAAGCACATAAGCAGAAAAAAGAGATGCAAAGTCAGCTTGGCGAACTCGTTTTTGGCTTTTTCACTCATTTCTCTGCAAATGGGAGTGTCTTTCTCACTTGGATAGCTTGAGGTGGGTCGCGACTCCCCGGCAAGCAATGCTTCATATAAGTACCCAAAATACATGCATCTGAAGGTGGTTCTATATCTGTAAGCTCAGCAGCAGATGTGATTCGATGATGTGAGGCTGGAGGAACCACAGGACTTATAATAATGTCCACCGCTGGAGCTGTTTCGGAATTGGCAAGGACTTGCGTCGATCCCTTGGTACACTGCGATGTAAGACAGCATCCGGAGCCTGCTGGCACCCCAGCCTCAAAATTGTTTGATACTCTTATGTTTGGTTCGACTGTGTAAGCTCGAGGCTTGTGTGTTGAATCCGAGTTCTGCAAGATCCAGGGGCTGGGCAGCTGGGGCTGCCTTTCTTCGGTGACATAGACTGTGGGGCGTCCATCTTCACCTGTCCTTGCAAAGTTCAGTACAACGGGATTGGAATTTGGGGTAGAGAGAACTGAAGCATGAGAACAAATGCGCAGTATTTCCCGAAGTTGAGTAGAATGGAAACACGAGCAGGCAGTGGATCGCAAAGAGCCAATTAGGGTAAAGTTGGATTCGCGCTGTCAGTGATGAGCAGCAGCCAAAGGCTGCAAGCAGCTGCATGAAAGAGTCACACAGCAATAGCTGCTTGCACTTACTTGCTCTAAAATCAGGTCCTGCAGCGTCGGGGGCATTCGGCAACGGTTGATTATGCACGAGCACGTCGTCAATAAACACTTCAACATTGTTCGTCTGCTGCCCACCTTCATCACCATTGTCTGACACATAGCGAATCTTCACGCGCGGTTCTTGAGGGGTGGAAGGCATAGCTGTGTCTTGTGGCACGGCCTTAAAAGCTGCTGGAGGGTGGCGCTGTGACTGGCCTGCGGTTGCTGAAGGGTGTATGGATTGCTGTGGGGCTTCATTCCCTGCGACAAACAGCAGAGACACGCAGGCCTTATGCCAGATGAGTGTATGAAACACGTGTGGAAGTACTAGTGCGTGCATTGTGAGCAAATTTTTCCTTGTATCAAGTTGGACAAGTGCCAACGCACTTGCAGTAAGCTTACATGTTGATGTCTGGTGGCCACCCAACACATTAGCTGCTGGAGGTGGACTTTGGGGTCTCCAAAAGGCTGAAGACGTCTGAATTGAAGCGTCGGTACCTCGTGGGAGTTCCACAGTGCCTCTGTTCCTACCCGATGCTGGAAAGCTTGAAGAACGTACAAGACGACATGTGTTGGCTCGGTGAGAGGTGGCGTCCTTTTTGCGTGGTACCGCTGCAGGAAGGCCGCACAAGCGAAAGGCCATCGAGCAAGGGTCTTTGAGAAAGCTATCAGTCCACTAAAGAATGGCAAGCTAGCGCGAAGGCGTTGGAGCTGCTTACTGCAGTTCTAAAGGGTGTGCGAACGCCTAGTATAGACCTACGTGCGGCAAGGGGGGGGCGGCGTCGGCGAGGCTGAGGGAAAGCTTGTGATCCCAGCAGATACAGCTCGTACTTGTTTTCGTCAGTGTCAAACAAAGTGATGCCGTTGCCACTCGGACGCCCAGGAACCTGCCGGGGTGGTGGACGCGGCACGAAACAACACGGCAAACAGGCTGGCTGTTCAGTTGCTGGTGGCCGGGCAGCGGGGTAGTACAGCGGCACAGGAGGATAGTCCACAGGAACTGCAAAAGCGCGGGAAACACAACCAAGCCAGCCGACGTAGGAAGAAGTCTGCAAACTACCGCATATCTTCAATACCAACACTCCTTTGGCAGCGTAAGCATGCTGTTGAAAGCATCAGGTGCAGCTCTCACATGCTCTGCAGCCGTGAAACGAATCTGTAAGCAAGGGCCCTTCAAAGGCGCACATACCTTCAGTCAGAGGGCGCCTGGTAGGATCGACATTCCACAAGGCAAATTGATTAAGCATGCCGTTGTTGGCGGACGCAAACTGTCGTATGTCAACGGGATGCTTTGCCGGCTTCCTTATCAGCGTGCCATTAGTAAAGTACTTATCACCCATTTGGGCCATATGCAATAGGAGCTGTGCCTGAGATCAAAAAAGTTCACAAAAAGCTGACAGAGGGCTGGTCTTCAAGCGCACGTCTGCATCAGCCTACCTGCAGGTCAGTCGGCAGAACTAGACAAGGAGGCGGTGGAGAGGGAGCTGGGCCTGCTATGTCAAATGACAGTTCCGGGGTGCCGAGCATGGGGGAAGGGGGCCACAATGATGCATGTAACCTTTTGTCGCGTACCTGCCTCAGTCTCTGAATAAGACTAGGCATCCAAATCTTCACCTTTTCTTCTGTCGATATTATCCAACAGGCAGCCACCAGAGACCTGCAGAAACCTCACGTCTTGAGTACCCTCTACTTTGGGGACAGCTTTCGGAAGGAGAGTCTGCTAGCCCTCAAACTCCTGAGCTACACTGACTCTCGACCCACATCAGCCAGAGGTCGGCACCCACATGCTTCCAGTGCTCTGGCCTTACTCGAACATATCTGTGAAGTTTTGCGCATGGGTAGGCCCTCCGTTCTCGGCTGCAACGACGTATGGTCCGAGGGACATAGAGAGGCAGGCGAAGGCGGGTAGTGCTGAGCCAGTTAGAAAGTGTTCTACTTCCTGATCTACCCAGATCGCGCGTCTTGAAGGGTCTACGCCTGTCTCCTGAAGGAACAGTGCACGAATTAGACGGATGCACGCGGAACTTTAGTCATGGCTCCTCAAGCGTTGCGTGCGCTTCCTGTGTGCCAGGAAATAGGCCGCACTGAAACACTCACTTCAGACATCTTGGTGAAGTAATCTGTGGCGTATAATCGAAGAAGCTCTCTTCCTGTCGGGCTATCTGAACGCTGAGGAATATGTGTCCCTTCAAGGCATTCGCGCATACGCGGAATAAGGTGGTCGTCTACACGAATGGCAACGCATGCACGCACACGCAGAGCAGGTCGGCTGCAGAGCACGCCAGCTTCCCCCTCAATAAGAGCCACCCCCTACTTTTTCCCGCTAAATTGCAATAAAAGCCCCGGGGCCCACGCAGCGTCTCGCTGCGCTAGCGGCTGCTGTGGGAGAAGATCCTAGAGGGTGTCGCGACGGTGCCATCATGGGCTGCTCACACTTGTATCCAAGGAACTCCTGCAGATCCTGCAGTATTGCATTGTCTTCAGCAAGTCGCTCTGTCCGCAACCTGAGGACTCCAATCCGCACGCAGCAGGATTGCGCAATCACGCAGCCGATTTCGGCCAGAAGAGGCGTGCTAGTCGGGGCAAAGCACCGACCATTGGGTGCATTAATGCGGCGAAAGCTAGGGACGCTAATTGTTTGCATAGCGGCATCGTAGTACTCCAGCATAAGAAACCGGTCGATCTTGAACCCTTAAGGGCACAAGGCTCCAACAGACTCAGAAGCAGGCCTTAAATGAGTCTGCCAATACTATTTTTAGTTGGCTTACTTTTGGGTCCAGAAGATGTGCTCAATCAAGATGGGCATCCACTTGTAGAGATTCTCGGTGTCTGCACTTTGACAGCAGTAGCCAATGCAGGCCTTAACGAACTTCGCCACAGCCTGGCGGGTAGGCAAGCTCTGCGCCATGGCCAAGTAACTCTTTCCAAAGAGGAAAAGACTGGGGAGAGCGGTCACTCTTTCGGCTCGCTTGCGAGCCCATAGCACACGCATGGCCTCCTTATCTGCCCGCAGATCAGCAGGCAAGTGCAGGTCCTTGATAGCAGGATACATCTCGTAGAAATGCATCTCCGCCATGATATCCAGGGTCTTGCCTCCGAGCACCACGAGTTTCTCGTACAACCTTCGCACGCCACACAGCAGGTAAGTCAAAGCTCAACGGCTTCAGCAGATGCGAGCCTCCTTGGGTAAGAACCAGTACAGTTTTTTTCTTCGGTTGACAAGGTTGGAAAAGCCCGGTGCGATTGTGGTAAACAGGAGTCGTGACACTGGTCGCAAGCATCAGGACAGGCCCTAAAGGCTCGTGCATTGTGAACAACGGACTGCTATAGACGTAAGCCTCTACTTACCCCGCCCCTCCATTCGCGACATCCGTGAAACAGGCCTCAAAGTCCGCTGGCGGTAGCTCGAGGGAGAGATAACCGAACCAGTTGGACAAGTCAAACCAAGTGCAGCATCGTCTATCGCTGCAAATTTTTCTCGCCTCTTTTTCGCGGTTTTCCTGAGTCTCCCCTTCATCGCTGCTGGTCGACTCGGTGTCTGACAGGTCGGAGATCGCATATGAGGCCCCCTTGAGGGCATTTTCCACTTGTGCATTTGGACAGCTCCGCTGGTGGCGGAAGCCCTTCGCGTAGATTGGCATTCGAAGGGATCTTCAAAGGTCGCCTAACAAGCCGTATTCGGCGGAGAGGGCAGGAAGATTCTTGACTGTGGTGATATAATTGTGTGCCTGTTTTCCGCAAGGCTCCTTGTACTCCTCGCGGGGTTCCCTGATTTTGCTGGCTTCCACGCTCCTAAGCCCTCCCTTTCATGAATGCGATGCTCCTCGAAGGCAACCAAGAGTTCCTACTGCGCTTCGCCCAGTGTCGGCTGCGGCTCGTTGCGATCGTCCGCAGCGCGGGGCATGAAGACATCAATGGGCAGCAATGTTTTCAGTGTCCTTTCTCGGAACAGGAGGATACCCGACTTTGCAGCTGTTTCTCTATCGCTAAAGGACGAAATTTCTAATTCTCGACCGCTTTCCACGCTGGACGTCTATGCCTGCGGTCGCGCGGGTCCGTTGAGGCCACCCTTCCGTGAGACTGCGCGAGTCGAACTGCCAGTCTCCTGGACACAGTCCTTCCCAATGCGGAAATTATATTAGATTTGATTAAAACCTCCAATAATCCTTTAATTGGGCATATCTACCCTCCAGTTTTGGACTCAGAGCGCGCAGGGCGGCCTCCCACCCAGGCGCCGCCGGCGCGCTCGCTCGAGTTCACACGTGTTTCTTTCCGCAGGGGCCCTTGGTGTGTAGGTTCTTCCTTTGACCTCTTTTCCCGTTTCAAAGTCTCCCGTTCGTGTGCCTGCGTTTCAACAAAAAGCAGGAGCCATAAGAACGGGAAGCCCTTGAGCTTTTTTCCTCTCAATATTGAGCTGCTGCACCCAAGGCTCCAGGGCCTTTAACCAGCAAGCCCGCGCACTAAGAGGCTGCTGGCCTTCGAGTCTACCAAGGCTGAAGGTCGGAGCATTCCTGTGAAATCTTACGTTTCGCTGACAGTACGCTATTCATTTTAGTGCAAAGCATAAGCGTTACACGAAAATCACCCTCTCCTACATGTAGGCCCCCTCCCCCCCTCCCCCCTCCCGCCTGAGTGGGGCTTTTCTGTGTGGCTGCTTGAGGTGGCGGGGGCCCCTTCCTACTGCCTCCCTTCGTTCCCTTCTAGCGATTTAGGTTGGATGCCGGAACCGCAATTTCTCCAGGGATGCCCAACAACCTCGCTAGATGGCCAGTCCGCTGCAGAGTAATGTGTTCTCCTCATCGTCCTGCGCACTCTGAAGAGGAATCCCCCGCGTAAACCTGCGGCCATAGGGCTCTCCTGGAGCAGAGCAGCACCAGCAGCAGCAGCTCCTAGGAAGCTTTCAGATCACCAAGACACCTGCCTGCAAGATTCGCGCCACCCACGCACGACCCTCGACAGAGGACTTGTGCTCTCCATCCAGGGGGAAATCACCTACAGGGAACTTCCCTTCATGTGTTCTGCACTTCAAGAAGGGAGGCTGACAGGGCTCTGCGTGCTGCATCCGGCCTAGCGCAATGGGATGCCACCACCACGCTTTCTGCAGTTGCGGCTCAAGAGATCGCCTCTTAACCCGCGCACCGCAGGAGCCGCTGCGTAACCAGTGCTCCCTAGGGGAGATGGAGGCTAAGGAACCTTGCACCTCTTGCCTGAAGTCTTGCGGCTCTGGATTGTGGAGGACGCACAAGATTCGAGGGCACAGCGCTCTTTGACACATGAAACTTTTGCTGCACTGCGACAGGGCCCGTGGGGGGTTGTTCCCCACGCGTCTTCACCCTCTTCTATCTAGGGGGCTGCAGTTATCCAGAGGGGCATCCAATGGCTGGATGCAGAATGCTGCACGGGCTGTATCGCAACAGATTGAGAGATCTGCGTCTGCTGCAGCTCCGCGAAGGCGCCAGCAGCAGGGGGGGGAACGTCACGGGCTGCGACATCTTCGACGCGCAGCACCTGCTGCAGCCTCAGCGCTCTCCTCCGGATCGCAAATCTCCCCAAAAGTGGACAGAAAGATAGAGGGGATTTACGAGGTGATTCCTCAGTCTTTACGCGCACTCAGAACGCAAGATCGGTCATGGCGGGAAGATCTTTACGGCGTTATGGGTCGATCGGGGCTTCTTGAATCGCGAGGTAGGGGATACATATATATGTATACATATATACATATACATGTATATGTATGTGCATCCATCATGTTGTTTGCATGGCAAACATGCCTTCTCTTCGTGTGAGCATGTCTTTTTTTCTATACCTGCTACACAACCAACCGTCCATGAGCGGAGCATGAAAGGCATGAAGCACAAGCATGCGTTTGCTACTGGCCCTCTGGCACTCATGAGTACCTTTGCCGTCAAGCGGAAAGCTGAGATCTGTGGCACTGTGCCCGACTTGCACACGGAAAGGCTATAGCCGTTCACGCCATGAGCGGGAGGGGCATTCTCAGAGTTTGAAACCTGTTTCCAGCTGATGATACACAGCTGCACTTCCGTGTGCTTTGCACCCCGAACTGTACAAGCCTGAGACGCCCCAGCAAGTGCCTTAAGGTGTTTTCACCGTCTACAGGAAAATGGAGTAATAATAGCGACGCCTATCGAGAACGCGAATCAGCGCTGATCGTTGCCGGGGCCATTGAGGCAGCAAGGCTGAATACGGGGAATGCGGCGTATTGGAAGGGCCTTGTCTGCAAGGCGGTAGAGGTGCGCAAAGATGGCGAATGCAAATGAAAGTGGAGGGTAGTCCTTGGGGTTATGTCTAATTGCAAATGCGCAGATACAGCTATTGTTTTACCACCATCCGAAACGCCACATTATTCCTCTGGCACACAAGAACGGTCGTGGTGTTGGCTGCTTTCTATGCTTTTCCTCAGCTCCAGGACGTTCTCACTGCTGCAGATTTCGCTGCTTTGTTGCACGCCTTGAACCGCGCTAGTCGGAGCTTAGGAGACGATGTCTTTTCTCAGCTGCCAAGCCTGGCCCCTCGCATTGAAGCGTTGCTGCCGCAATTCAACTCGGTACGTGTTGCTCCCCTCCAGCCGCGCGCAAAGTTCCCCTGTCAGTGGCCAGCAGACTACTTCCTTCAAGATTCTCGTTTCGAACTGTGCATACATATATATACATATACATGTATGTATATATGTATGTTTCCATATATATATGTGCAAAATTAAGCTTCCCAGCCAACCCTCCTCGAAATGACTCCGATTTAAGGCGCTCTGTTGGCTATTGCGGGCAGTAAGCGCCATGTGCACCGCGGCGGCATCTTGCACTATGCATTTTGCGTTCACAGATGCAACTTGCCCAGGTGCTTTCCGCCTGTTCGAAGACCTTCTCTGCAAGTCACTCATTGGCGAAAGCTGCACGTCTTCGCATTTCGCGTTTGCTTGCGGCGGGCGAATTCCAGCAGCCCTTTGAGGTCGCCATGATTTTAAGTGCCTCTGTGAAGATGAGAGTGCGTCTTGAGCTTTACCCTGAGCTGTTTCCGCTGCCGTGTCTGCTGATCGATCTGCGGGAAGGGGGTGTCAGTGGGCTTCGTCATTCGTCTGAGCTTTTTTCGGCATGTGTGCAAGAACCCTTCTTGCACGTTTGCTGCTGCTTTAGGACAAGGCGGGGGAAGTGGACGTTCTCAGCGCTTGTTGTTGGTGTGGCTGTGTGGCTGTGCTTTTGGCTGCTACCAACGCAGCTCGGAGATCCTGTGCTGCTACGTGAGCTGGCAGTGCACGTGCAGCGATTGATGCAGCGCATGCCCCACTTTCCCGTCCGAGACCTTGCAGTAGTTACGCATGCGTTCGCATCGGCCTCTTTTCTTGAAGCAGATTTGTTCATTTCGGCAGCGGGTGAGGCCTCATCTGGTTGCTTGAAGTCCGGCGCATGCATTCGCACTCTCATGGCTTTTTCTCCAAAACCCGCGAAAGACAGTGCGGGGTGACTCGTTTAGCCCGAAAATGTGAACTGCACAAAATGAGCTTCACGAAGCAGCAGCAGCAGCAGAAGCACCCTGTGGCTGCCTCTCGGACGCACCACTTTTGAGCAGGTGTGTTTTCTATGTCCAGTTATCTGTTCGGATTGTGCGTTTCCCCTCAGATGCTGCTCTAAAGGGGGGCCTCGAGGAGGCAACCACGCTCGACCTTGCCAGGCTGCTGCAGGCGTTCGCCACTGCCGCAGCTCATTGTGCTTCTTGGACAGCGGATGGCGATTTTCCCGAAGGCATGGATGGCATGAAAAGCGTGCGGACGGCGGCTCGTGCCGCAGCAGAGTCGAAAGGAATTACAAGTCCCAGCAGCGGTAGCGCGCTTGGAGTGTCTATTGATAGCAAAGCCGCATTCGCAGCTGCACATCGTCGCCTTTTTAAGGCCTGCCTTGAGGTTGTTGCAGAGCGCGTTGCCTTCGCCTCTCCAGGGGAATTGAGCGTGGCAGCTCATGCCTTTGGTTTGGCACTAGTGGATTCTCACGGGACAGATTCAAAGGCCCTCGTTGCGGTCCTTCAGCACATCAGGTGAGCAGCAGCGCCGTGTGTCTTGTCTGCCAATTCACGTTCGCGGATCCCTCTACGCCGAACGCGTCTAGGCGTCGAGGCCAGCTTCGCATTAGTGGGCTGTTAAGTATACACTGCGTTTGTTCCGAAGGCAGCTTGACTCACCAACTGTAGAACGATTAGCCTATGCGGTTTTGCCTCAGGAATGTAGCGATCAGCTCTCTGACCCTTTTCTTGCCGCAGCAGCTCGCCTCTCTCCTTCACACTTTTGCACGCTGGAGGCTTCCCTTCCCCCCTTGTGACGTTATCAAGGTGCTGGAAAGACTTACCCAGCTGTCGACAACACGCGGACAGATTGCCGTCCATCCGACCAGCGGGCAGTGTGCTGCTGCAGGGGAGCTGGCATGGCACCCAGTATTTTCCCCGATGTCTCCCGCCTCTCCACTCGACACAGCTACCCGCCTAAGCTGTTTGCACTCCCTAGGCGTGCTGCTGAGGCCGTTTGCCTCTGCCATAGCCTCTTGTAACGAAGCGGGAGACCCTCCGCTCCGCCAGAACTGCACACCAGATGAGCAGCCGCTTTCAATAAAAGACACAAGCTACGGAAGAATGCAGGATTCCACATTGGCCAAAAACAGATGCTCTGAAAAGCCGCCTGCGCAGCCTAAGGTAGGGGCTGCGCAGGCGGCTTCAGAGGCAGTAGCTGCAGGAGAACGACTTTTTCAAAATTGGATCCAGGCTGTCTTTGCGGAGCTGTCTGTATGTTGTTTTCGGGCCCAAGAAACTGGCATCAAAATGCCGGAGACTGGTGTAGCACCTACAATGGGCATTCAGACAGTCGTTAGACTGGCGGAGGCTCTTGCCAATTGCACGTGAGTCCTCAGGCCTCCCTTTCCGTCAGGTTCTGCTCTACATTTACTTCCACACACCACGGCTCTGGCTGCGAGTTTCCAAGTAGAGGCGTGAACGAATTCGTTTTTCGTGTGTTTGCTTCCTTGAGGCTTACCACCTCATGCATCTTGAGTGGGGTGTGCAAGTGTGCGTGGCACCATGACTCCCTCACTCCTCTCTTCCCGCCGGCTACGTGCAATGGCCAGCGTATTGACCGCCGCAGTTGCGGTTCGTAAGGTTGCAAAGACCTCCAGTAAACGGTTTGCTGTGGATGCAGGTTTACTAGTACGAAGCGCTTCGTGCTGCCCCTTCAGCAGCTAGTCCTCCAGAGGCATTCATTCTTGGATGCCCCTAATGCTTCGAAGCTGCTAAACTGCTTTAAGATTCTGGGAGTTCCAGAGGATCATGATATACTTCTGTTGCTGCAAGAACGTGCAGAACAGCCTCCAGAGGCCTATTCAACAGCTTGGAGATCTCGAGACAGAGCTCAGCAAGATGGTACGCAGTCGCAGCCTCTCACAATATACGGTCACCCGGTTGCCTCATCTACATCTGCTATGCCCAACGGCTCTAAAAAACTTTGACTGTAACTAGTGGAGGCGCTCAGACATGCGGGGGTCTCCGCACTGTTTCACTCCTCTCTTGGGTAACGCACACCTTCCGTGACGCGTCTACTTGCCCAGCAGCAGCCATGATGGCTGCTGCTGGGAGAAGGTGAAAAACTTAGATACAGGGCAGATGGTTCTGCCTCCAATTGTTTCAATTTGATAACGGGTCGCTATTCAAATCTGTGTGTAGAGTCCGAAAGGCAACAAGCGAACATTGATCGGGGGTATAGAGAAGAACGGAACTCGTGGAGGTAGCTAACTGCAGGAGAATGTTTTGGAAGTATCTTCGCTGAAAACGGACTATGCCAGCCCTCACTAATCTGCTGGCTTTGTCTTTGTGTTCAAGGAATTCATTATGAACTAAGCTACCGAATAGAAGGTACATGAGAATACTATCTTAGATTTTAAAAAAAACGGACTTTTCTGGTACCTTGGTTGCCTCACGAGCATGCATCTAGTACGGCTAGGATAGCTTTTTGCTCAAGATCCCCTACAGCACTTCGGAAAAAAGCCATCCTAACTGGCGTCGAACCCTTCCGTTCCCTGAAGTTTTGGCTGCAGTGAGAGTTTGTCGCAGGCAAAAGATGGCGTATGCAGCCACAGCAAGGTGGTGCCGATTCTCCAAACAAAGGCAACTACCCCCCACTCCGTGCCGCAGCAGAGGTATCCGCTTGCCCCCAAATGGAGATGTTGCGCTGCTACCGTTGGCTTGTATTTAATTGCATAGAGGCTAGCAACTCATCGCATGGTTCAATGCCAGTCCACGCTCTTGTTTTGGACGCAAGGGCTCGCTTACCGAGGCAGCGATCGCTGTGCACCCCTATGCTCAGCACTGGTGTTAGAGCTCTGCACACGCTGCTCTGCGTGCAGCGCGTCCTAGTTTCCGTACAGAGGCCTTTAGCTCCCGAATAAACAAGAAATTCAAGAAAGCTATTCTACGACTCTTCATAACAGCTATCCACGCTCGTTGCCCGCAAATCCTAGCATTCTTTCAGGAGGGAATAGAAGACAGCCAGGATGCATGTTGCGGCACCGCTTGAGGCATCCAGGCTTCGCAAAAAGCTCCGCAGAGTAACGCTGCGTACAGGTACGGCAGTCCTCCCTACAGCACGGGGTTGGCCCCAGTTTGCTGGGAAAAGTATACGAGAACCATCAAAGAAACCATGCGCTACTTGATTGACCCGTAAGCAATAATAATTCATCTAGCAGGCACTTCGTAAGCGTATTTGGGCTCCCTACACATTAGGGGTACACTTGGTTGTAGCCTTGTTGTTCTTCCCATAAACCAGCAGCCGTGTGAGATGGGGGCAACAAGGGAGGCAGTTCCTTTTCTAATTACAGAATTACACCCGTCATCAAGATTTCGCTACTCCTGTTGCCGCTTGTCGCATGCAGGAATGATTACGAGTACGACACTTCTGTAACGCCGTTTCTGAGTTCCGCATAACGAGACGCATAACTTCAAACATACACCTGACAGTAAGGTACTAAGCGTTTTCCTAAAGAAACCCCCCTAACCCTGTCAGAGCCTCTCAGAGTCCCCACGAGAGGGGAGAGGGGCAGCAATGATGCGTCTTGCTGCACCCCGTGAGGAAGCCGAGCATTTACCGCTCGTGCTGCACCCCGCATGCGCATTCAACATTATTTAATTGTATCGACCTCACGGTACTCTGCAAAAAATAAGATGCAGGAACAGACAAATCCAGAAGTAATTTCTGTACAGTCAGATTAGGTGTTCTTAGTGTCGTACAAGTTGCCTGGATGCAGCACATACCGCTACATCTTCAAAGAGACCTGCATCAACACTTGCCCCCGTAATATGGTGATGGGAGGTATGCGTGCTTTCGTCAATCGCCCCTATCGCTTTAAAATACCAGTGATAGGCAGATTGGTATTCGCTAAACTAACCTCGTGAAACCATCGTACACACGGGGTAGCTTGCAATGCACAGGGATCGAACACGCGTGGAGGCCCTGAACCAGAGGTAAGACACTGCATTTTAAGTCAGAAAAAGCCATTGTTGATGAGGGTGTAAGGCCATATACAACAATGCTAGAGAGATTTTCGCTTAATGGGCCGAAAGAGCACAGAGTGGGCCTTCCCCGCAGCCTGCCCCCTTCACACTGCTTGAGGCGGTAAAGGAAGACACCAACCCGCTTAACGAGCATGTATTAAAAGGGGGAAAATGGTAGTTTTCTATTTGTTCAGTATGCCAAATAAATACGTGTAAGTTCTGCACGTCGCCGTTACGCGCATGGAGTAGCGGGCACAGAGGGCGATGGGGAACGCCACGTAAGATGGGCCTTAAAGAAACTCTCGTCATCTGGTTTTCTTGCGGATCTAAAAATAAATAGCGCAGTCCTGCAGTTGAACAACTGAACAACATTATCTACCTCTCAGTTGCAGAACCCCTCGGGCTTTCGGTCCACATGTTTGGGGCGCTCAGAGCAACAGCACGTGCCAGGCCTTCCTGCAACTCACTCAACAGAGGCAGGCTTTTTTTTTTAAATAAAAATCTTTATACGAATTCCCTTTTGCAGCTTATTTCAAGGCGGGTTCATTTTTAGCGAATGGGGTGGAAAACCTAGAAAAGCAGGCCTTTTGTTCCTGTTACCACGAGCACCCTCGCCCCTACCTCTATGCTAGGCGTCCGTTGCCCTGTGTCTGCAACTGCCACCGATTCGTTCCAAGCATCTGCTCCACTTCGTTGTTTTCCATCTCGCTGATAGTAGCGTCTTTTTAAAGAAAGCAACCGATTGAATGGTGGCGACTAGAGGTGATTGGAGATGCTTTCCAGCCCCAGCCTCACGGTGAGGGCATCCGTAGTTGCTGTTGGCATTTAGTCGAGCCAGTTGGTCGACCGCGATTCGAATTCTGTAGCTTTAAAAGCACATTCCACAAGAGGAGCTGGCTTCCGAGCTGCACATCGCCTGCAGCCAAGGATCGTGCGGTTTGCACCCCATTGTAGCCAGCCGCGGGGAGGGCGACGGACCTATTATCCATACCTTGCAAATTCGAGGTCCTTCGCCTTCTGGTGAGGGCTTGCACCAATGGCTAGCGGGAGGAGGCGTCGGGGAGGGGAGGAGGAGGTCAAGTCGAAGAAGAAGGGAAAGGCGCCTCGCGCTGCCTCGCGCGAAAGCCCTCTCCCCGCCAAAAAGAGAACCGAAGAACGAAATGAGGGCCTGTCGTCGGGGAGGGTTTCAAAGGGGAAGGCAGCGATTTCTCCTGCGGGGGGAAAGCGCTCTGAGCCCCCCCCCCAAAGACGCCACTCGATGTCTTCCCGTAGCTCGGGTAGCAGCTCACGTTCCCACAGTCCACTCCCCAAAGAAACGACCAGCGAGAGTGACAACTTCTGGGCAAAACAAGCTTCCGCGTGGGTAAATAACAAGACGTCGGAGCAAGGTCCCACGGCGCTAATGGCGCTCATTGCAACGCAAGCAGCAGTGCAAATGGCATCGCAGGCAGAGGGAAGCGCGCATGCAATGCCTGGCAGTTTATGTCCCCCAGGTGGACGTGGCTCTCTATCCCACCCAAGTGCACCGAAGAGAGATGGATCTGTTTATCCGAAGATCCTTTCGTTGGGGGGGGGAGGGGAGAATGGTGGTGGTGGTAGTAGTAGTAGTAGTATTCCACCCATGCCTCTCCTTCGGGGAAATTCAGTGCCTCCGCAGGGTGGCTTCAACGCAGGCCCTCCTGCCCCCCCCCCTCCTACAGGATTTCCTGCCTTAGGAGCTTCTTCTCAGTCTCCTTTTTTCGGCAATCTTCCTCAGCTTATGCAGCCTGGGGGTGTGGGGCCCACGCCTCCTGCTCCTGTGCCAGTGCCTGCCGCTCCTAAGGCAGCGCCTGCGCCTCCACCAGCGGCATCTCCTGTTGCAGCGCCAGGTAATCTTGATCGTCGTTTTTGTCTGCACACGGCAGCTGCCCCCTTTCAGGTGTAGATGCGCGGCTACGGCGCTGTACCGTCCCCGTTCGGGTGCGCTCTTGGGAGGGAGACAAGAGCCATCGTCCGGCTTTCGCTTTATGTGCAGTCAGAAAAGCGATTAGTGATTGGTGCTTTCTTCGATCACAAGAACTGCTTTTAAGTGCTTCTTCGCTGCAGGTCTCCAAGGCAAATCGATCCCGCAGTGGCTCAGAGACGTAGTGAGGGAGGCGGGGAGTAAGAAGGGTGCGAGAGACGGGAAAGAGGGAGAGGAAGAAGAGGGTAAGGCAGAGCGATTTTTTTTGCCTTAAATGCCTTCTGACGGTGCCAGAAGCTTTGGCTTGCAGCGCCATGGGGGTGTTTGCGTCGCGTAGCGGAGGGGGGGATGAGAGGGCTAGAATGGGGGGTTTAGGGGGGCTGTGCCTGCCACTGGGAGAGAGATGCGGCCTCTCGAGGAGCGTGGCGGTGTGGTTCTGTTGCGGTTTGTCTGCTTAGGGGGGCAGCTTTTCACGCCGTCTTCTAAGGGGGCACAATCGCCAAGAGATGCCTCCCCGGCTGCAGCAAAGGACCCGATGGAGAAAGACTCAGAGGGCACTTCGCAGCCGCTCCTTGTCGAGCAGATAAAGGAAGTGGTGACGGAAATCCTCTCCGCAGTGACGGATGAGATCTTCAGGGAGGCGGCCAGGGAGGCGATCAGCAACCAGCGCAGAAAGCAGCGAATTACTGGCAAGACAACTATAGGCCTGAAGCTGCAGGGTGCGGGGGCAGCGAATGAGACGGACTTCCAGAAAGAGCAGTCGCAGCAGGCAGAAGGCAACGTTGCGACGGGCTTCCGTAAAAGAGAAGATCAGGAGAAGCTTTCCAGTGGTGTCGTCAACTCGGACGGTAGGGGTCTACGCGGAGGGGAGGGAAAGCGAAGGGGGAAAGAGGAGAGACGAAGAGAGGGGGGACGGGGGGAGGGAATTTATCCTTCTCTGCCTCTCTCTCTGTGTTCTTCGTCCTATTTTGCAATCGCGTGCTGGGCTGCTCGAGGTCGCGCTGGCTAGCTGCTATGTGAAGTGATGAGTCTACAGAATTCGTTTCCCTGATGGCCCTTTGCACGAGCGAGATGCCTGTTCCACAACGCTGGCAGCGCCAGTTATATGCTACTGAGGGGAGGGATTTTATTTCTCCTATCCAAGACAAGAATCTGAAGATATATATTTATTTCTATAGACGTGCTTGTTTGTTGTGTGGGGTGTTGTTGGGAGCGTAGCGGGTGTGTAATGGCGAACGGTTGGACGGTGTCTCTGTTAATTTTTCTTTTTTTCCTTCCGTGTGCGCGCAGCTCTGGCCGTCGGCGCTTACCGATGCCCCTCAAGTGCAACTCCGCCACCTCCTGGTGTCTTCAGCATCGTTATCTATGAAGACGGCTTGGTGTGTTTCCTATTGCAGCCTCCTCAAGGCCTCTGCTAAGCGAAGGCCTCCCCAAGTGCTTCGCCCTTCCCAGTGCAAACTTTCAGCTGGCGATTGGCATCTCTGGTGGCGCGCCATCCCGGACAGAAATGGGGGGAGGGGACGTTTCGAGATAGCTTTCCGTCAAGACTTCTGTCTTTCCTTCCTGCACCTTGGGATGTACACTGGTCACTAGTGCTGCGCATGCCGTCGTCACATGGGTTTGCTGCAATCCACTCCTGCCATACACTGCACGCTTTCGTGTGATGCTCAGGAATTCGCACGCGTTCCTTTTAACGGAACACATCTGCTTTTTGGCACAAGCAACAAATTCGCGAACATCATTGACAGCCATGTGAGTCTCAATTCACGCTCATGCGAACCTAGCCGATTGCTTGTCTGTCCAAGAACACACCTTCTAAATATGTACATCTATACCTCTATATATGTACATCTATCCCTCTATATATGCACGTCTACACCTCTATATATGTACATCTATACGCATCTCTCTATTTGAGTCTATATGCGTGTAGATGTTTGCAAGGTTCCCTTTCGTGGATACTGAATGCGCTGCTTATACGGCAGTGTTTGTGTGTGTAGCGAGTGACAGAGCGCTCGACCCAAAGCACCCAGTTTTGAGTAAATTGTCGCGTCATGGTGTGCTGTCATTGTAACGCACTTGGGGTGGGAAAAGTTTACGGCTTGAGCAGTCCTCTGTGCCGCTGTGCTTTTGCGGCTCCTCATGCCTATTTCTTTCAGAGTACTGTGGCGGGCCAGCAGTGCGCCATCTACTTCTCCACTCGACAGCTTCATCAACAAGGGGGTTGCTTCTTTATGGTTCCTCTGGGAGGTGCCACGCGTTTGCTGCATAATAAGACAGTCCCGTTCTTGCCCCAGACCATCAAGGAGGAGCTGGCCTTGCGTAAAAGCCGCAGGAGCGTTTCCTCCTATATTTCGAAGAACAAGGAAGATTGGATCAATTGGGCTCCTAGCCCAATTGAAGGCAGTCTTCTAAGTGCGGGAGACGAACGTGTAGCTCTTACGGATCAGCGGGTAAGAATTACCATCTCGCCATTAACTACTGTAGCGAGCCTCACTGCCTCTGGGTTGTTTTTCCTGTCGCGGAGGTGCCGTGATTTCCACGCAGGATCCTTGCCGTGAACGCTAGACGAATGCGAGAAAAGCGCACTGCTGCCCACCCTTTACAACGCGGTAGACAGATATGCAGATACATCTGGATTTTTTTCAGCTTTCTAGCTGAGGTGTTTGGCGTACGTCTCCAGCTTCGCCGTATGTGTGCGCATGCAGAGCTGCTTCGTGATGGGAGATTCTCGGAGAGTTTATTATCTTGACCTCACGGATATGGCTCATCGCCTCCTTGTCGCTGAGGGCAAGGCCGAGCCACGCCCAGAGAAGCGCAAGGAGAGGAAGCACAAGAACAAGAGAAAGCGCAGGTAGAGAGCTGGCTTGCCGTGTGCTGCCTGCTGGCGCTGTGTGTGCCGTCTTTTGATGCAAACTTTGCACTGGGTGCTCTTATCATGGAGCCGCCGTCACACACACTCTCGGGAGCTCGCTTGTTGCTCGCTTGCTTGCCACGTTCACTGCAGTGCGCCTCTTTGGACATGTCTTTTGTGCACAGCCACAGCCGCCAGCACCGCAGAAGGCGCGAGAGAAGCTCCAGCCGCAAACGGTCCCGCCACGATTCGACTTCTCCCGAAGCGAGGAGCGACGCACTGCGGGAGCGTAGAAGGAAGGCCTCGCGCAAAAGTCCTCGTAGAAGTATGAGCGTTGATTCTGCTCGCTCGGCGCCAAGCAGAAATGCCAGCCTGTCGCCTCCAGCCAGGGGCAGCAGCAAGCACAGTGCGAGAACCCCCAGTGAGGAGGCGTCTGGGGGTTTCTCGCGCGGCAGTAGCCATGCATCGCGGAGAAGCAGCAGCCGTGGCAGCGAGGCACGGAAACGCCGTAGCCTCAGTGAGCGAGCTGGAGGTCGAAGCTGCAGCTTGGACGGATCTGGAGAAAGGCGCAGCTGCAGCAACTCGCGGGCTGACAGCAGGGCGAGCAGCGTGCAGAGCTGCGCAGCCTCGGCAGAAAGCCGCAGCAGAAGGTCTAGCGATGCGAGTCTTGCTGTGAGCGCCAAGAGCGACTCTGCGGGGCATAGGAGCGCCAGCACGAGCAGCAGCCGCGCCAGTGCTGCTTCAAGCAGAAGCTCCAGCAAGCCGCGGAGTGTCGCTTCAAGCAGCGACAGCCGTAGAAGTGGAAGTCGGGATAGCAACTGCAGTCGCAGCCAGAGTGTGGTGGGAAGAAGTCAAAGTGCGAGTGCGGCTGCAAGCCGACAGGCTAGCAGAAGTCCTAGCGGGAGCAGAACCAGTAGGGGGTCTAGCGGCAGCAGGCGAAGCAGAAGTGCCAGCTCTGAGGCTAGTAAGCAGGCGAGCCACGGGAGAGGCAGCGCCAGCATGAGGAGTGCGAGGGGCAGCGGCAGAAGCCGCAGCGGCGGTAGCGCAGAAGAAGCGAAGAGCAGGAGTTCTAGCGGCAGCAGGAGGACTTGTGTTGGCAGCAACAGAAGCCGGAGCGGCAGCAAGGAGGGCAGCATGGCAGGCAGCAGGAGTGCGAGTGGGAGCAACAGAAGCCGCAGTGGCAGTGCAGAAGAAGCGAAGAGCAGGAGTTCTAGCGTCAGCAGGAGTGCGAGTGGGAGCAACAGAAGCCGGAGCGGCAGCAAGGAGGGCAGCATGGCAGGCAGCAGGAGTGCGAGTGGGAGCAACAGAAGCCGCAGCGGCGGTAGCGCAGAAGAAGCGGAGAGCAGGAGTTCTAGCGTCAGCAGGAGTGCGAGTGGGAGCAACAGAAGCCGGAGCGGCAGCAAGGAGGGTAGCATGGCAGGCAGCAGGAGTGCGAGTGGGAGCAACAGAAGCCGGAGCGGCAGCAAGGAGGGCAGCATGGCAGGCAGCAGGAGTGCGAGTGGGAGCGAGAGAAGCCGGAGCGGCAGCAAGGAGGGCAGTATGGCAGGCAGCAGGAGTGCGAGTGGGAGCAACAGAAGCCGGAGCGGCAGCAAGGAGGGTAGTATGGCAGGCAGCAGGAGTGCGAGTGGGAGCAACAGAAGCCGGAGCGGCAGCAAGGAGGGCAGTATGGCAGGCAGCAGGAGTGCGAGTGGGAGCGAGAGAAGCCGAAGCGGCAGCAAGGAGGGTAGTATGGCAGGCAGCAGGAGTGCGAGTGGGAGCAACAGAAGCCGGAGCGGCAGCAAGGAGGGCAGTATGGCAGGCAGCAGGAGTGCGAGTGGGAGCAACAGAAGCCGGAGCGGCAGCAAGGAGGGCAGTATGGCAGGCAGCAGGAGTGCGAGTGGGAGCAACAGAAGCCGAAGCGGCAGCAAGGAGGGCAGTATGGCAGGCAGCAGGAGTGCGAGTGGGAGCGAGAGAAGCCGAAGCGGCAGCAAGGAGGGCAGTATGGCAGGCAGCAGGAGTGCGAGTGGGAGCGAGAGAAGCCGGAGCGGCAGCAAGGAGGGCAGTATGGCAGGCAGCAGGAGTGCGAGTGGGAGCAACAGAAGCCGCAGTGGGAGTAGGGACAGCAGGACGAGCAGGAGCGTTAGCGGCAGCAGGGGTAAATCAGGGAGTGAAATTGTGGAAGATCAAGATGGGAGTAGCGGAAGCCCTGCTAGGAGAAGTTTTAGCGGCAGCCGGTCTCGGAGTAACAGCGGCAGTCAGCGCAGCAGCAGAAGCCGCAGCGGTAGCGGCAGCAGAGGTTCGATTGGCAGTAGAACAGGCGCGAGGAGCAGCAGTGTTAGCCGCAGCGGCAGTCCGATAGTCGCTGATGCTGCTCCCAGTAGAAGCCCCAGCAGCGATGCTCACGAAGGAGCCAGAGATGTGCGCAGCAGCGTCAGCCGCAGCGGAAGCAGAAGTGTGAGTGAACGCCAGCGGAGCGCCTCTATCGCGAGCTGCAAGCGAAGTGAGAGCGGCAGGAGCATCAGCAGTGGGAGCGGCAGTTCTGACGGTGCCAACAAGACAAGCAGCGAGCGAAGCGCAAGCCGCGGCAGCACAGGCACAAGCAGCGAGAGAAGCGGCAGCAGTGCGGGAAGCGAGAGCAAGAGCTGTGGGCGCAGATCGGTCAGCAGGAATGTCAGCGGCAGTGAAGGCGAAGATGCCGATGCCAAGGGGATCCAGGCGAGCAGAAGCCGCAGGGGGAGCACCAGGAGTGCGCGTAGCAGCAGAGCAAGCAGCAGTGCCAGACAAAAGACCACTTCCCCGCCGCGCATGGACAGTAAAGTCTCGAACGGAAGAAGAAGTGTGTTCAAGGGAAACGCAGCGATGAGGGCCACACGAAACGGCAGCACCAGTGTAGAGCGCCTTCCAAGCCCGGCAGCAAACAGCCCGAAGGGGAAGAAGGCTGGAAAGGTTCAGTCTGCGGCGTCGAGCATTGCCAAGAAAAAGATGGCGTTGAATCATCAGCCGGCGTTTGAGGAGGATTCTTATGACGCGCAGAAAGCATTCAAGAAGCGCGGCGTGTCGAATCAACGCGCAAGCAAGCGCCAGCCTTCCTTGAGTAGCCAGGACTGTGCCTTAAGTCCTTCGGGCGCGTCTACACGCTCTCCTCCTCCAACGAGCGGTAAGGCGAAACGAGGAGCAGCCGCCAGTATGAGCAGCAGCAGCAGCAGCAACGCGGCCGCGTCGCAGCGCAAAGGAGACCGGAGATCCACGAGGAAGATAACTGTCCAGGAGGACGCTTCGAAATCCTCCGCTTCCAGCAAAGAAGCGAGGCAAGCCGCTGAGAGGAAAGGCAGGGACGGCAGCAAGTCGCGAAAGGAAGAGTCAAAACAGCAGTTTCCTAGGGTGCCGAGTGGGTGGGCCCTTAAACGCCAGATTTCGCAAGGCGTATCTACGCCGAGAACTCGAGGGAGCAGTGGACAGCGCAACTGCGGGGATGATAAGACTGAGGCTAACAAAAGAGCTAAAGCGGAACATGAGCCGAAGCCAGCTGCGAACAAACGGAGTCGAAAGATTGAGGGCACCAACAACCAAGAGGTTTCGAAGAGAACTCGTGAAACTTCGAGGAAAGCTCAGGATGCGCCAGCGAAGCGCAGGCGGACGAACCGTGCGTAATGCGTGGCTTTGCCATGCATTGGTTCTGGCAAAACGTGGCGAATATATTCATGGCTGATCGCTGGGCAAGCTTGCTTATATTTTCTTGATGCCCGCAGGCATATAAGCATATATTTATATAGAAAACGAAGACCGTGCAGAGCATATGTGGATGGATACAGAAGATTGTGGCTGTGCCATTCTCAGCCGTTGCAATAGCAACGAAGCCTGTTGTTTGTAATAGGCACAATTGTGCGATTTGGGCTAAATCTGTGGGAGGCGCCGTTTGTGCACGGTGGCTCGGCTACTCGGCTGTATAGAAAGCAGCGTGGAGTGTGTAGTCACGCGACGATATGTTCGCAAACAGGCATGCCTTGTCCATCGTCTAGATGCCAAACTGGGGAATACGTTTGGCTTTGTTTAGGATTACGGGTGTGACTCCGGCTAGAACGGATTTCAGTGCATGGGCTTCCGTGCGCGCGTCCCTCGCGTACCGCTTCATATGCCTTTTTAGAATAACGCATTTATCAGTTTGCTGTGTAGCTAAATGTCGCCGCAGCAGCTGTGCAATGCAAGCAGGACTCTGTTTGGAGGTCACAGGCTGAAATCTTCCCTCTAGCTCTATGGCGTATAAGGTGTCTTTCCAGGATGTCGCCCACAGGCTTGCCGCGAGACTTTCTAGCTGCAGCACACAGTCTCCGTCGATCCAGAGACGCCGAAGAAGACATCAAGCTAAGTAAAGCATCCTCTTCAGGGCAGGGGGGCGGCTATCGCTGAGTGTGGCCTACTGTTTTCTCCACTACTATTCGTTGAAACTTGGTGATGCTATTCTGCGCACGGCACACCAGGGCTTCACAGCAGAGGCAACAGTGCCTCTTCATGCGCAAGCGCCTTTTAAGTGTGTTTCGCTGCTCCCGTTTTGGAAGGCGCCAGGTGTTCTTTAGGAAGTGCTATCATCTGGGCTCTATCGCTGGGTGCTTCTACAACACTGGCTTGCCCCCAAACTGCTTCTGGTCAATCCCTTGTGTTGACCTTCGCCTTTCTCCGAACACTCTTCAGAGGAGAGAGGACAAGGCTGTGACAATTGTAGTTCGCTGCACACTGCAAGAGACCGACCGAGTAGTGTAGGGAACCCGTCAAGCAACGAGAGCTCAATTTACCGAAGTAGCTTACTTAGAGCAGAACGCCGCCACTGTCCGCAAGTTGAGTGCATCCCCCGTACACGCCCTGCGAGGACGCGGCGCATAATGCCAATAGCAGCTCGACAGCAAGTATTCTGAAGGTAAAGCAATGTAGTCACGAAAATTTTACAGCGGCTCTGTACACCTCTCTCTCTCTCTCTCTCTCTAGATATATATATATATGTATATATATATATATATATATAGATGTACACATGTACATATTATGAATACGAATTTGACACGTGGAACACCACATTCCAGATGAACAATTAACATAACGAGTAAATATGAGTGAACTTCTTAGGACAGGCCACCCGTCTGCGATCTTCTGTAGAGGGGATTCACATGTTGGATAGAGAGCTTCGAAGCAACAACGCCAGCCTAGGCGCTGTGCGCTGCTATCCACCAGCATTTTCTGGTGTGCAACCTACTCCCGGCTCGCAGAGAGGTTGCACTGCATGCCTTCGCAGCCTTGTTTGTGAAAAACTATTAAAATATGAGCATGCCGATCAATCTGTAGGAATTACTCGTACGCGGGTAAGGCAGTAAACTGCGCGAGAAAGTCCCTCTGCACACGGCTCTGAATATTTGTTCCTCTGTATGTTTTCAAAGAGGTACAGTTCAGATCTGTACACCTCTACAGCATTTGGCAAATTGTGTTGCACTTCCATGTCCTAGCTGCTGGCCGCAAAAAGTATCTGCTTTTCACCCCAGTCAGCCCCCCTTCGACTGCTACAGGCTAATGATCCACTGCTTGCTCTTCAAATCCCTCCAGAGTTGACCAATACAATACACATCACACAGCCAGCCGCTCCGCTCCACACAGGATCAACGCCATTCGCCGCATGCAGCAAAATAGCCCTTGCGCTCGAGGCTTTCTCAATACGCGCACGTGTCCAGATACTTCCTTTGCAAACTAGTGGAGTTTTTCGCCCTGCTACTCAGATACGCAAGGCCTACGCTTGCCTCCAGCGGTGGCTCGCGTGGCAGACTTTCGTTCTCAATCTTTCCCGTGGTGGTGTCTGCTTCTACAACTGTGCTTGCTTGCGCCTCCTTCTGTCAATGCGGTGGCTACAAAGCCCACACCAGGATTACACCCGAGCGAGTCCGCATTGTCAGGCCATACACAGTGCACGCGTCGTCTGCAGCACGCACAAATAATGAGGATCTTTAGCGGAGGCGGCACAGACGCGCCTTTTTCCCTCCCCTGCCGCCTCCTGCTTGGGCGTTCTAAAAATATATCGTTTGAGAGAGCTCCGAGGCGTTTGTATTTCCTGGAGTGTCGCATGCGTCGACTCGGAATCTCTGCTTCCCCGACATCTTCAGGCGCTAACGCGTCAACCCCCCCTGTCGCACGCTTCTGCGTGGAGGTCTCTTGGCTCAAACTGCAGCATTTCACCGCACTGCGACCGCTCCCTGAGCGCTGTGCGCAGCTGAGACGTGCTTGGCCGTCACAGAGGTTCCTACCGTCGCCACGTGTCCTCTTGTGCCTGCTCCTCGTGCACTCATCGGTGCAACTGAGGCATTCTTTGTCTCGCAGCCGCTTCGAGTCACTGCTCTTCTCTACAGAGGAGCAGGTGCTTCGAGGAGGCATTGGCCCTGCGCGCGAAAGGCACTTGGCTGTCTCCTTCCCACGCCTCCTGCTTCGAGCCAATGCAGCAACCTTGCGTCTGTCAACTGCACAAGGATGCGCTCCGATGCAACGCTTAGAGCTGCCGCTGCCGCTGCTGGTGCTGCACTTGGCAGTCATTGCGGAGCTTCTGCTGCGGTGCTTGCCGCTGCTGCTGCACTTGCTGTCGGTGTGCTGGCGAACACTGTCCTTCTTGTTGCGGCCTCTGCCCGAGTCTCTCCGATCGCGCAGCTCAGCGCTCGAAGCAGCCACAGCCGCAGTTGAATTTCGGCAAGCGCATGATCGCCGATCCGAGTTGCAGCTACGTCTGCTGCAAGCGTGTTTGCTGCTGCGAGATCTGCTTCTGCAGGAATCTCTGTCCACACCAACCTTGTCACTACCTTTTCTTCTTGTGCATCGGCGACCATGGGGGAGTACGCCAGAGCATCCAGAGCCTCTAGGCCAGCTGCTGTGCCTGCTGCCCGAACAACTAAGCGCCTTCGAGTCTCGAGCAAGGCTCAGCAAGCGCGGAGTCTCTGCATCGGGCAGCCATCTTTCTTCTTTGTCGCAAGATTCCGAGGTAGAAACGGGGGGCCTCTGTCCACGTCCTCCATCTGTTAAAGCAGCCTGAGAAAAACGCATATCGCCGCTGCTGCCCTCCTCAAGTGAAGCCCTCTGTTTGTTGCTGAGTCTGCTAGGCTGACTGCTGCTCTGCGAGCGAAGCTCGCTGTCACAGGTACACAAACTACTCGTCCTGCTGCTCGTTCTGCTGCTGCTCGTCCTGCTGCTGCTCGTTCTGCTGCTGCTCGTCCTGCTGCTGCTCGTCCTGCTGCTGCTCGTTCTGCTGCTGCAGCTGATCCTGCTGCTGCACTTACTGTTAGCGGAGCTGCTGCTCGTGCTTCCGGTCACGTTGCAGAATGTGTCGCTCCTCTCGCTGCCACTCTTTGCGCCTTCGCAGCTCGCTGAGGTGCTCTCACGAGAATCTAAGACCAAGGAGGAAGCCTCACGACAATTGGCTTCTCCTCGCCCGGCTTCTGCTTTTTCCCCTGCTGCCGTTGCTGCTTCTCGACCTCCTGCATGCGGCGCGGAGTCTTCTCCTTTGTGTGCAGCAGCGAGTGTTGCTGGCGTTTCAGAATTTGCCTGCGAAGAGGTCTTGGCAGCTAGAACCCTCGCCACAGCGGCCTGAGCCGCCTCCAAGGCTGCAGCAGAATCAAGAGGAGCAGAGCGTTGTTGCTCATGTTGCTGCTGTGCTGCCTTATGCTGCTTCACCTGGTCATCTCCGGGGAGCGCATCTTTCCCGCTGGCGTGCTGCTGCAGCTTTCGTTTCATGACACGTAGCCTGAGGGCTGCCCGCAAGGCTACGGAGTCCTTTAGGGGATGCTGGTGCTCCATGTTACTTCCGCTTTCACCAAGTGGGGGTGATGTGCTGACTTCCGAAAGACTCTTTGCTGCTCTTCTCCGCAAATCTGCCAGCGCCCTTAAATTGGCTGCCATGGGCCTGCAGAAACACCAGCGGTAGAAGAGCTGCAGAGGCATCAGATACGTAGTAGCAATCGTATGGCATAAATGCATACAGAGATGAAAAAATACATTCTATTTAAATGTATATATGTATTGCCAAGTGCTGCTGGACGTCAAGCAGAGACTCAAGGGGGTTCCTTCAGAAGCTCGCCCTCCAGCACCTTATTTTCGTATATTTGTTTTCCACTACATTATACAGACTCTTTGTTTGGCATCGATATCGAAAGGGCCGCTGCCTTCCCGCGAGTCGAAGTGCGCGTTTTAGTCTGCTAAAGCAGCAAGGCGCTTTTGTACCGCCCTTGCAGACTGCGAAACGGTAGCGGGTACCGCTTTCCCCCTCCTTTGCGTGCCTCCCTCTGTATATTATCGCTTGCAGAATGCTATGGGGGAGATCGCGTTTCTTTGCTCAAGTCACAGACTGATCGCTCGCGTCAGTGCTGCTTGCCTGTCTGCACTTGGCGCCCCTTGGGCAAGCGCGTAGGAGGGAAAGGGGGGGGCCTCCTGAAGATACTGGAGAGTCTCCTGGAAATTGCGCCGCAGCTCCCCAAAGATGACGTGTATTCTGCCCTGATAGTGCTCTTGCACCCGAGGATCCGACTCGGGCAGATCGGCTGTGCATACACCCCGCAAAAAAACATCTGCATGTGCGCCATTGCGCTGCAGCTCCCTCCCACGCGCATCTGGGAAACAAACAAGGCGAACCTGCTGCCCTGCACGCCGCCTCCGACGGCTTCGTGGAAAGTAGCGCAAGGGCCAGAAGGAAAGTCAGAGAAGAGAAGCGCCTAACTACCGTAAAGAAGTGCGCCACAGACTTCACAGGGGCGGAAGGCTTTCGGCGGGGGGCCCTTCGTGCTGCTAGTGCAATTGCCGCTGCCGCTTCTTGATGCGAGGAGGCATCTGCGTCTTTGCTGCAGTTTCGACGCCCTCTCTGTCAGCTTTTCTGTCAGCGTTGAATCGCGGAGTCGCCTCGCGTCTTCAGCCTGGCAGGGCAGCACACACAGCAACTGCAAGGCCGAGGCTTTCCACATATTCATTTCTATGGAGTTCACCTTGAAGACGCCTTCAGGAAAGAAAAAGAAAGCAGCTGCCGCTTTTTCGCCCTTGCAAATAAACCTTACGTCTTTGAGAACTTGTGCGATTTCGTGCTCAATCCGCTGCAGCAGCCTCCCTACGGCCTCGTCACTATCCGTTGCTCTGCGCTGCCACAAGGGAACCCCACACGCAGGAAGACACACCCACTTATTCGACTTCAAAGCAGAGAAGCAACGTTTGTGAGACAAGGCAGCAGCTGTAGCGGCAGGGGCCTTGCCCTACAGAGTGTACAGAAGAACCACAAGATGATACGAGGCACTACACCATGCGAGAAAGATTCACACAAACACTTGTTTGTTTTTCGAACGAAATTGCCTACAACAGATAGAGAAAGAAGAACCGTCTAGAGCCGCCTTAGCGAGAGGCAACAGCATGCAGCGATTTCAAAAAGACTGCAACAACCGCTATGTACACCTCAGCAGCAAGCGGATCAAAGGCCCCCTCTCCCCTCCCTCTTCCCCGCTTGGAAAAATCCCCTCACTGCGCCTCGCTCGATCTTTCTGTCCGCCTCGTCGATGAGCGCCTTGAGCACTTGGAGGGAGGCCTCCTCGTATCCGAAACGGTGAGTCTTGCGCTGCTGTCTGTACACCTCGCGCAGTTCCGGATCGTGAGAAAGCTTGCAGCTCTTCAGCCCCAGGCGTGCCTGGCAGCACACACCAGAAGAAGACAGAGCTTTTTACAGCCTCCACTGTCTGCAGTCCTTCTTCGAAAGAGAAAGAGAGAGAGAAAGAGAGAGAGAGAGACAGAGAGAGAGAGAGAGAGAGACAGAGAGAGAGAGAGAGAAAGAGAGAGAAAGAGAGAGAAAGAGAGAGAGAGAAAGAGAGAGAGAGAGAGAGAGTGTTGCCCCTAAGCAAGCAAGGCTGTTAAACAGACCACCTCTGCGGCACCAGCAGCAGCCCCCACTGCTTCAGCTGCTCTATCTCTTTCACTTTCTCTCGTTCGTTCTTTCTTTTGCTCTCTCCCTCTCCCTCCCTCTAGATGCTTCTAGACAGCAGCAGCAGCCAAGAAGCTGTCGCTTGAGAAGGCAAGGGGAGGCAAGCGTGTTGATACAGCGCCACTGCATGCATTGAATCCTTGTCTACACAAGCAGGCTCCACGACAACAGAATTATCGAGTTCTTCCCGAAGCCTCGGTAAGACTTTGAGCGCAAGCTTCCAAGAACCCACCTTCGCCAACTCTAGAGACTGCAGCACAACGAGGCACCCACAGGCAAGCAGCAGCTCAAGAAGCCCTTTCGCAGCACAGAAAAAGAAGCGGCGTCTTCCTAGTTGCATCGACCTTGCAGCAGCAGCAGGAGCATAGCACAACTGCACCGGTGGAGTTGCTAAAAGTGCATGTAGACGGGGATCAACGCGCATTCACGCATCGCACCTTCTGAAGCACATACGCACATCACATCAGCGAATGCAGCCTAAAGCCTTTCAAAGGCAGCCGTCAAGCCCTCCTCGAACCACTGGAAGGGGTCCGCAGAGTCGGGGCGAAGACACATTTAAACAGCAACTCTAAAACAGCAGCCGTGCGATGCGATTTTTCCTCGCACGAAGCTCCCTCCCTGCAGCGCCAGGCAGCATCAAACGACGCGCAAAATGAAAAGCCGCACAAGCGTTTACCACTCCGTCCAAGAGCTGAAGAGGGCAAATTCCTGTGAGGAAGAACTTGCAGACTGAGGGGTGCCTAAAGTCTTGGTGCTTTGAGTTTTCCACGCAGTGCATGAGAGCTGCCAACTGGCACCGGATACTGTCCATCAGCCCTTATGACCAAGATTGCCTCTCATGGCGTGGCTGTCAAGGATGCTGATGAGAGGGGCTAAGAGCTCGTCTTTGCGTGTTCGAGCCGGAGAACACCTCGTCTACACCGACCGAATGCCGCAGTGCGGAAATGCCGTGATGTATGCCGCCAGCTGCTTGCCCCTGCAGCTGCAGGAGCTGCTGTTGCTTCGATTCGGCTGTAATGCTCAAGACAGCTGCTGCTAGCAGCTCCCTGTACACCGGAGCGAGCGGCGAGAGAGCAAGTCGTGGCTTCGAACCTGAGCTTGGGGCGCTGTCAGCCTGGAGAACAGCCCCTTACGTTTCTGGCGAGAAAATGAAATGCACCAGAGAGCGCGCGGTGTGCGACATTGAGAAGCAAGGAAATCCCCTCTAGCGGTGCAAGATGGGTTGCCGGATCTTGGGAGCGCAGCTGAGGAAAGCGCTCAAACAAACGCACCAAGGAGACAGAGCAGCGATGAAGGGACGGCTATACCAGGAAGGCAAAGTGCCTCCATGAGACCTTGATCAGGAAGTCTGGAAGAAAAGCATCTGTCTGCTGGAAGGGGCCCCACGTTCTACTATAGGGAATGAGAAGGCAGGCGGGTAGACAGAGAGAGTGGCTGGAGAAGTGGCAACCTGCAGCAAACGCAAAATAGCCAACAACTGCTGCGCTGCACCTGCTTAGACCAGCACACTGCTGAAAGGACGAAAGGATTAAAGCACGCCTTGCGCTTCTTCTTGCAAGAACTGCAAGAAACACGCTTACCACCACCACCCCTTTCAGGGGCCTCGCAGCCGCCGTCCTCGCTCCAGGGTCCTGTATGTGTGTGCAGCGGCTCAAGACATAGCGCAAACCACGCCCTCTATTCCGCTTTCTTTGTGTTTTTACACTCCAATTCAGCTACTTCAGACCCTAACTTCGGATCCTGTGTCTCAACAGATACCTCGAGAGAGAGAGTGAGAGAGAGAGAGAGCACGAGCGAGGGCAGCCGTGCAGACGGTTCCTTGCCACTCCTTTTGACGCCCACATTCACCGTGTCAGGGGCCCACTCAAGAAGCAAACAAACCTTCAGGAAATCCTTTTTTGACGCGTGGAGAACCCCTAAAACGTAATTTTTGGCCAACACGCAGAAAAGTGCCTGAAAGCTCGAGGCCCGCAAGGCATGCGCCCTACACTGGCTGCGCACGAACTCCCGCGCAGCTACGCCTGCACAAAGGAAATCTCATCATAAACACGCAACCATGGCAACTTCTGCTATGTGGGAGGAAGAAGACACGTGGGCTTCCTCACGCCTCAGCAGTGCGGAGCAGCAAATAGCCGCCGTCACAGCAGCAGCCGCCACAGCAATCGCGACGGCAGGTTCCCCTCTGCTGTCTCCCGCAGCAGTCTCTCCCAGCCACCCCGCCTTCCCCCCAATAGGCGCTTCCTCAACAGCAGCGCAACATGCAGCAGCAGCGCAACATGCAGCAGCAGCGCAACATGCAGCAGCTGCTCTGCAACAAGAAGAGGGCCTTCTGCTGGGAGACGACAGTCTTGCCGACCCTGTGGTGCGTCCTTGCACCGCTGCCACGGAAGATCCTTCTTACGCCACATCCATCCGAAACTCCTCTGCTGCTATTGCAGAAGCGGCAGCAGACTCTCTCCTCCTCGACGACTGGCGAGACGACGGACCAGACCCTATCACAGCTGCAGAAGCAGCGGCAGCAGCAGAGACGCATCCTTCAGACACGGATCTCAGTGGCAGCCTGCTGGATCGGGAAGAACCGCAGCAGCAGCAGCAAGCTCTACAAGAGAGGATGCTTCGCATGCAGTTGCAGAGCCATGCTCAGCCGCAACAAAGTCAGGCCGCTGCTCCCGTTTGTACATGCGGCGGTGAGAGGGCTTCTATCACGCTGCAGCGGCTGTCTCGGAATGTGGAGGAGGTTCGGCAGCAGCAGCAGCAGCAACAGCTGCTGCTGCAGCAGCTGCAGCAGCAGCAAGCAGCTTCTCACCAGCTGATTAAGCAGCTACTTACCGCCATCCAACACTCAGGACGTGGACACATGGAGGCTGCTGCGACACCTGCAGCTGAAGCAGGCAGTAACGCGGAGCTGGGAAGAAGAGGCTACAGAAGAGGCCACATTGTTTCTCCCCCCTGTTCCCCTGCTAATGGCTGCCCGCACAGTGATGTCTTGCAGCAGAAGCAGCATCTGATGCAGCAGCAGCAGAGGCTTGCAGACGAGCGGCGGCAGCAGGAGCTGCAGCACCAGTTCCTCATGCAGCAGCAGCGGGAGCGCGAGCAGCAGCAGAGGGAACAAGAGCAGCGTCGGTTGTTATTGCTGCAGCAGCAGCAGGAAGAAGAAAGACAGAGGCGAGAGGAGGAGCAACGCAAGAAGCGGGAGGCCCTTCAGCAAAAGCACCAGTCCCTTATGTCATCTTTGATCAGAGGAGGGGGTCCAAGCACCATTTTTGCAGATTCTGAGCCTACCGGGGCGGCTAAAAGCAGCTTATTCGACGACTAAGTGGAGGCTGTTGAGGCACGTGCTCATAAAAATCTCAGGTTGTACAGCGGGGACGACTGCGGCTGCTGCTCTTCAAACTGCTCTTGTCGCTGCAGCTCACTTGCTCGCGCAGCATCCAAACGTGGCATAGCGTTTCGGCGATGTGTAGCGGGTGCAGCGCAAACAAAGGGCAGAGGCAGGGGTAACCCTTTGTGCTGCAGCTACTGCTGCTGTAGCACAAAGCCGCAGCTACTGCTGCTGTAGCACAAAGCCGCAGCTACTGCTGCTGTAGCACAAACCTGCAGCTACTGCTCCGTGGTTCACTTGTCCGAATATCTGTCATTGCGAGAGCGCGTGATGCCAGTATCTTGCGCTTTTGCTGTAGCAGCAGTGGTGCATGTTACCACTCTTTCTTGGCCGTTTGTTCCCCACGCAGCGACGTCCTCACGCTGGCTGACAACCGGCAGCAAGGGGAGGAGACGCTTGGGAAGCATGGAGGGGCAGCGCAAACATGGCGTGCGTGACGAGTCAGTCGGCAGCTGGGGGGAGAGCCCACGCGGGGTTAGCAGGCTTGGTGTGTCAGACTCTAAGTGGATATCGTCGTGTACAGATAGATGCAGACACAGGGGCGTAAGACATAGTAACCTATTCTGAGCGTATCGGAGTTCAAAAGCGTTTTGTAAGCTGCAGGAGGTCACTAGACAGTTCTAGGCGCATCGTGGTCCAAAAAAAGACGCAACGGGGGGGAGATTGGAAGGGAGGGAGGAAGGCACACGCACACGAAGATACACATCACTCCATGACTGGAAGGAAGGGAGGAGAAGCGCGCACGGGAGGGAGGGGCCCGAGCAAAGGGTAGGCAGCGACACATAAATGAATATGAAGAGGAAACGACACGCAAATGAGTGCGTGTATATGTATAAATGTATATTCTGTACATATACAGACGCGCTTTAAAGGGTAGGAGATGATTTATGCAGAGGCACGGAGAAATTTGCATTGGATATCGGGGAGCAGATAGCCGGTGACATGTAACTTGACTTGGAGTTCTGCCAAAAGCGGCGCACGAGTCTGCCTGATAGGGGAGGCGTTTTCAACTGTACCCGCAGTGGTGGAAGGTTTTTTTCAGTAGAAACGACCGACTGCGCCCTCAGCTAGCGATGCCTTCCCCAGAACAGCCTTCCTAAAGCGAAGGCTGTTCTGGGAGGAGGATGCCGAGCCTACGGAAGAGTGCGCGTTAGACTGAAGCTTTCTCTTAAAGAGAAGAGAGCTTCATCGATGCGCCGCAGCAGGAGGAGGGCAGCAACAGCCGCCTCCCGGGGGCTGCAGCGATGCTGCAGTGTGGTGGAGGCCTCCCCTGCCAGCCCTTCTGAAGCGAGGCTGTGCAAGCCGTGCAGATGTTGCTGCAGCTCAGTCCACAGCGACGGGTAAGTAGCCGGGAACTGCTGCAGCAGCTGTTCGCTGAACGTAGCCGCTTTTTTCGCAATGCTTATGGTGCTGCTGCTGCAAGAATCGTGGAAGGGGTCAAAGAAGTAAAAGGCTGCAGCACGAAGCAGCAGGAGCTGCTCGGGCAAGCTGCGATACAGCGGCGGCTGGCGCTGCTGAACAGCGACAACGGCAGCGGCAAGTCGCAAACTGCGAAGTTCTTCTGCTTCGTGGTCCTCCACATGCAGCCGGAGCTGCTTCAGGAGGTGCTGTCTCTCTCCTTCTTGCTGCAGTTGGTGCTGCTGCCACAGGAAGGCGGCCGCAGCAATGCGCAGCAGCAGCGGCTGTGCTGCTGCCCTGCTGGAGGGGCTGCTGCTGCGACTCACTCGAACAAGCGCCTCCGCAGCAGCGACGGCTGCTTGATGCAGCTGCACAGTCTCCGAGGCAGCTGCAGCATTAGAGAACGCGGGGGAGAAGCAGCAGCTGCTAAGAGAGGAGAATGCGTCTGCCAGCACCCGCTGCGGCGACTGCTGCAACAACTTGCTCCAATCCACACAAGGCACCGAGGCTCCAGCGCTGCCTCGCCTGATGCTGCTGCTCTTACCGCTCCTCAACGAGACACATGCGTTGGAAAGCGAAGCCAAAGCAGTCACTGCAGAGGCCCCAGAGAAGCTGCTTGCTATCCTCGTAGTAGCAGTTGCGTCTTCTTCGTCTCCTTCGGTATCGACGCAGAAGATTCTCGTCAGAGGTTGCACGTGTGCCTCCTCATGCTGCGCTGATGATGCTGGTGTTGCCGCCGCAAGAGTGCCCTCTTCGTCACTGGCAAGTAGCCCATACATTGAATGCGGAAAACAGAGGGGTCCTCTCAGGGTTGCCTCTCCAGCTGGCGCAAGCTGCTGCAACGAATTGGATACCTCTGCTGCTGCAGCAGCTTGCACATGCAACCCATCGGCTGCCAAAAGCACTGCTGCACCGCCCTTCCGACCCTTATGCCTGCGCTGCAGTACTTGCGCCAGTCGAAGCCCCAACAGGGGAGCAACAAAGGCTGAGACGCATGCCTCCTCCCCAGGTGCAACGTACAACACTTTCAGCTGCATCTGCTGAGAGCGCATCTGCCGCATCTGTATCTGCTGCATCTGCTGCCGCGCTGCAGCAAAGGCAGCGCGCAGCGAACGAAGCTGCTGTGCAAGGGAATACCCCGAAAGACCTAACAGCACCAGAACCGCTGTTGGAGCTGCGGAGTCTGACGTGGGGGCTGTTCCTGCGACTTGATCCGTTGCTGCCTCCACGGCTAGCTGCTGCAGCCATAAGGCCACACTGTGCAGCATCAGCGATGTCTTTCCTGATCTGAAAGGGCCATGCAACAGCACCACATCTCCTGCGCCAACCGGCAACAACGCATCGAGAGGTGCCCATCCGGATAAAAGCAGAGGCGGCCTTTGGTAGTGGGTGCAGCTTGCACTCTGCGAGCCTTCTCCTCCCCGCCGACGCTGACGTGTGCTACAGGCTCGCCACAGCTGCAGCGCAGGAGGAGGCCTGTACAGCTGCTCCGCAGCAGCAGCAGTTGCTGCTGCTGCCTCCTGATGCAGCTGCAGAAGCGCTGCAGCTGGCGAGAGCACCTCTACCGACACACTGCAGTCCCCCCAAACCTCCCTGACGCTGCAAGCGCTGCCGTCGGGAAACCCGATAGGGCTGTTCACCAGGCTGCACAGCGCCGTCTCCCGCATGTCTTGCGCTTGCAGCTGCTGCCGCTGCAGTTGTTGCAGCAGCTCCTCTATGGAGCTCGCAGCTTCGCCCCTCCTCTGCGCAAAGCCCCCCTCCCCCGTCGCTTTACTACCTGCCTGTGCTGTGGAGCCAGAGGGGAAGTCTTGCAGCAGCCCCACCAGCACGTGCTTCTTCCACAGCTCGAGCACGACTCCCACTCGGGAGGGATCCCCCCCGATGAGGCCCTTCACGAATAGCGCATCCCCCAGGCGAGCCGCTGCGAGGCCCTCACAAAGCAGCAGGCTTCCTGCGCACAGCCATAACGCAGCAACAACAGAACGTCAAATGCGCGCGAGAAGAAGCAGCATGCATGCATACACATTCAAACACACACACTCAAGCAAACACATTCAAACACACACATTCAAGAACACACATTCAAACACACACATTCAAACACACACATTCAAGAACACACATTCAAGAACACACATTCAAACACACACATTCAAGAACACACATTCAAACACACGCATTCAAACACACACATTCAAACACACACATTCAAACACACGCACTCAAACACACACATTCAAACACACACATTCAAACACACACATTCAAACACGCACATTCAAACACACACATTCAAACACACACATTCAAGAACACACATTCAAGAACACACATTCAAACACACACATTCAAACACACACATTCAAATACACACATTCAAGAACAAACATTCAAACACACACATTCAAGAACACACATTCAAACACACACATTCAAACACACCAACAAGAGCACTTGAAGCAGCTGGCAGATGCTGCACTGTAAGCTCGTGTGGTCACCTGATGCGGCAGCAACGAGGCCTTCGGTTCCACTCCCCAGCTTCCCCAGCTGCAAGCTGCGGGGTTCCCTCTCCATTTGCCGCAATATAGCCGAGATGCTCTCAGTTGCTAGGCCTCGATGTTGCTGCCGCTGCACGTACTTGCAACGGGGGAAGCCTCGCTGCAACAGCGAGGCTTCCCCCGTTGCAAGCCACTCCCCCCGCGATCTAAGCCTCCCATTTGCACAGTAAGCGCAGCCTAATGCGTCGAGTGGCGCTGCTGATTCGGCTGCTGCAGCAGTAGAGGCGCCAATCCTAAGAAGCGTCAAGCTTCTTGCTCGGGGGGGGGGCCCCCCGAAGGCTTGGGATCGGGAGGCAGCAGCAACAGCTGCTCTCCACATCTTTCACCTTGAGGGTGAATAATGGCATGAGGTGTTTTTTTCCTTTTTCAGCGTCTGCAGGCCTCTTGTTTCCGCGCAAGAGCCGGCACGGGGCGGTACTTCCCTACTGGACACCTCGCGCTCATAGCCTCCTGACTGAAGGCTGTGCTGCAGCGGGCAGGGCAGGTTGGTCTACCTGACCGCTAAATTATACTTGGGATGTCATTGACGCTGCTGCTTCTTTAAAATATATATATCCTCGACCGATCAGGGAATCCCAAGTTTTGACGCCGTCCTCTATGCAGCAGTTGCCTTGCCGCTTCCCCCCCTCCCCTGTATACGCATCCAAGCCCCCTCCACGCTCTTGACCTCCAGGCAACTCCTGTAGATCTTTCGCCCCCCCCCTCCACCAGACTGCACTCAGATGCCCTAAAGGCTTATCAGAGGCCTTAAAACACCCATGCGGCTTTCTTCGTGAAGTAGGACTAGGCAACAGTTCTCCAGGGCAGACCACTTTTAACACAGCCCCCTCTGCCCCTGCCGTCGTTCTTGCTGCATTCGCGGCTGCGCCTCTGTCTGCTGCAGTTACACGGAGTATAACGCAGTCAGAAAGCTCTATTTGGAGCACCTTCCCCCTCCCACAGAGCCCGATAGCTCCGCTCCACTCGGCGCAGCTCGGCTACAGGCTCGACGTTTCTCTGCTCTGCGCCCGAGTGCAGCGAGCGTTGCAGAGCGAAGATCCCCTTTCTACAGGAAGCCTAGCGATTCCGAGAGGAGGGAAATCTGCATTCAGAAGACGAGGTGTCTGGATGTCAGACACCACGCGTCTGTCTGCATGCACTCATTCCTCTGACTGAGTGCTCGCAAGTCCGAGAGCGTTGCATACCCATACATACACACACATGCACCATAGATCCATCTCCTCGACGGTGCCTGCGTCTGCCTCGAGATGGAAGCGCAAAAAAGCGGCTCCCACGAGGAGGCATCCTCTTGGAATTTCACAGAATCCAGAACCTCTCTCCCCCCTCCCCGAAGAGTGCAGCTGCGAGATGCAGGCATTCAGACGTCAGTACCCTCCAGAGAATACGTTGGTCCTCGAGTTCGCGCTTCGCAGGCTCCAGAGTTCTTAAAGGAAGGCTGGCTCCACAGGTATGCCAACGTGCAAAAACAGAGCGACTTGTATAGACAGGACAGACTGTGCATGCGCTTTTGGGTTCGGCTTTTTTCGCCAACCGCTTTGCATCTCTCAGAGCGTTGCCACATGCCTCGCGAATCCACTTGCGTCGTTCGCACAGGCCAAAAACCGTCTCATCCCTCTGCGGCGCCCTTCTCCTCATTTTTGTAGCTGCGCAAATCCACTCGCAGCAGAACAGCTCCCGCAGAGTTCGCCTTCTTAGGTATGCCCCTGCATGCGTCTTTTTCTCTCTCTCTCTTTTTCTCTCTCTCTCTCTCTCTCCAGGCCTGTCGCCTAGAGCTCTCAAACAGCTGCACTCACTCTCCGAACTCCTCCTCCCCTTCTGCCTTCCCTTCACAGCCTCGGCACACTTCACCCGCCCTCTTCTTCCCACCAACACACCGTAACACTGACCACTTTCTGTCGCCTCTCCTGCAGTGGCGCGCTTGCCTCCCTGCTCATCTTCTTGCTCTTCGGGACCTTACAACTGCCAGACGGCCTCTTGGTTCGTCCATCGCCAATCATCTGGCGCTTCGTTAAAAGCTGCAGCATCGTCTATCTTGTTGGTATCATCTTCCTCCTCTTCCAAGTAAGCCCCCGCCTAACGACTGCAGCCTGCCTCCTCCTCCTTCTAGCGCTCTCTTCGCCTACCCACACCTCTCGGTTCTGCGTTTTTCCACGCTTTCTATGCATGCATGTCTTTTCTATGCATACATAGCTTCTCTATGCAAGCATGTCGTTTCTTTTCATGGATTACTTTTTTAATGCATGCATGTCGTTTCTTTACATGCACTACTTTTTTAATACATGCATGTCGTTTCTTTACATGCACTACTTTTTAAATGCATCCATGTCGTTTCTTTACATGCACTACTTTTTAAATGCATCCATGTCGTTTGTACAAATGCATGCTTGCTTGCTTTCGCTTCAAGCGCTGCCAGTCGCTGTTGAGGTGCATGTGTGGCGTCTGTGTGGGAGAGATGGATTTCTTTGTGCCTCCGTCGTGGCGTATGTGCCTATTTTTCCTCCTCCACCTCTCATCCTCTCTAACGGCCTCTACTGATTGTCTGCGGATCCCCGAGATACACCAGAACAAATAGGTTTCTTGCATCCGAACACGCCAGCAGGAATACGTATGGCGGGCGCCTCAGCATATACATGTATTTATATACATATATATATTATATGCATACATATATATGTATATGTTTGTATATATACACTATGTATATTCATTTATTTCTTCGTTTAGGCCTCTGTTGTGCCTCCTGGGCATGCGAAGGTCTCAGGCTCAAGGATGAAATTTGCCTTTTCCGTGTTTTTGTGGTTTCGGTGTGTGGTGCTGGCTGCGTGCGTGGCTATAGAACTTGGCAGATGTGAGGGCTGGTCTTCACTGGTTGGATCCCTCGACAGGCATTCCTTTAGAAGAGCGAAATTACGCCGAAGGTTGCAACTCGTGGGCGGCTGTCCTTGTGAGTCAAAAACGTGCACTTAACATAAAAGACGATGGGGAGCCAAGATTCGGTTGTTAGAGGCTGCATTGTTGCACCCGCGAGCGTGGCGAAAGGGCCTAGAACGGCAGACAGAGCGAGACAGATGGTAGGGGGGAGAGGAGGGGAGAAGGGGGGGAAGGGGAGTCTGTTAAAGGGAGATACGGAAGTGCGAGATTCTCCTGCTACCTCTTTCGGATCCCAGCATACCGCCTGCCTGTCTCTCATTCTCTCTCTCTCTCTTTCTCACGCTGTCTCACTGTGCGTCTTTTTCAAGTCGAGCTGACTTGAGGCTTCATTTTGTGCAAAGGCCTACGTCTACCTACGTTTAGAGACATAGCGCCTGCACTCCAGCAGCTGTGCGGGAACTGAGGGCGCTGCTGCGCGCTGTCAGGGGTAAAGGCTGGCTTGGAATGCGTTGATTTCTTTCTTCAGGATAAGCTTGACATATTTGTTTTGGCACATTTCTTTGGATGGCTCGTGAAGGCGATGGTTATCAGAGACACGTGGCTTCTGTGGATTCTGTCTGTCCTCTTCGAGTGGATGGAAATTTCTTTCCGGCACATCCTTCCCAACTTTTGGGAGTGTTGGTGGGATCACGTAAGCAGCGCACGTGTCGCTTTGGCGGGCAGCAGTGCCTTCCTGTAACTGTGTGTGTTTGCTTTTTGATGAACGGGCTGAAGTTGCGGGTGCTGCGATGCGCTGCTGCCTGTTGGGGAACTGTAGTTGCCCTCCCTCCCTAGCAGACTAGCTGTTGTAACTGCATCGGCTTTCCGACGCGGCTGTACAGCCTCTGCAGCTTGATTTTCTCAGGTTCTGCTGGATATCCTTGGCTGCAATTTTCTAGGGATATGCGCGGGCTTGTTTCTTTGCCGACGGTTCCAAATGTTGCAATACCAATGGCATGCAAATTACGAGGGACGCCTTTTGGCCTTAAGCAATTCAGCCTCGCTCTCCTTCTCCGTACGCAATGCCCCCTTGCCTGCCTCCGACTCGCCAGCAACCGGATCGAATTGCGCCGTCTATCCAGCAGATACTCACGAGGGGGAATACCCTGTGACAGCCTTCTGTGCAGCTACTGCAGCAGCGGCCTCCTCTTCGCCAACATGCAACTCGCCACGTGGTTCGGCAAAGCAGGGATGCCGCGGCAACAAGCAGCAACAATTGCAGCACCAGCAGCTGCAGCAAAAGCTCCTTGAGCTCCAACGGAAGCAGCAACAGCATCCCAAGCAACGCGTTCCCCATGCGTCTCGCCTCACGGCTGCCGTGAATCAGTTGCTTCCCTATGAACTGTGAGGCTCTCGAGCGGCTTTTGCCTGCACGGCTATTCCAGCTGCATGCGCTCGTGTTTCCCTTCTTCGGTGCAAGAGAGTGCTGTTCGTTCCGGACAGGGAAACATTCTTCGCATGCACAAGCTCTCCAGTCCTGAGCCTCCCCCTCCTGCCCCCTTCCCCCCTCGTGGCGAGTGCCGCTGCTTCCTTCTGGCGAGTGGAACAAACCGCCAGTGCATGCACAGTAGTGCCAGTAGTAGCAGTGCTACTGCTACTGCTGCCGTTGCCTTCGCTTCAGTGCGCTTTGCATGGATGAGGCTTGTTTTGGAGGCTTGCGCTGCGCTTTTCGTGGCCTTTGCAGGACGGCTTACCACTGGCCGTCGATGCTGAAATCGGTCAAGTGCTTTGTAGGGATTGTCTTCTTCTGCTTGGCAGTCACACTCTTGGACCTTAATGTCTTCTTTTTGAAGGCTGAACTCTACATAGGCAACTCCCACTGGATAATCCTCGCCAGGACCACCCTCTTCGCATTTGCAGCTGCTGCGGGAACTCGGGAGTTCTACGCTTATCTGACAGACAGGTCACCCACACAGACATATATACATACATACATATATATATATATATTCACATTCTTATTCACATTCCTATACGGCCTCTGCTGTTGGTGAGAATGCAGTTTTTGATGTGACTTCGTGGCACCCTGCACCCCTGGCCGAAGTGCGGGTGCCCCCGTAGCAGCGAGACACGCAGTCAGCAGCACCGAACTCGAAACAGCATCCTATCTTTTTGTTTATAGCCTCCTCAGCGCTTCCTGCACGCAGCGTCGTCTTCTCCGTCTTTGTCCCATCCGCCATGTCTACAGTTGCTTGCGTGCAGCTGCATTCGCGCCATGTGTGCTGCCTCTGTACGGATGTGCGCCTTCTCTTGTGTTTCCGTAGCGAGTGCCCTCGCATGGGACTGCAGTGTTGGCTAGATCTAGCAATGCTTTCTGCCGAGGCTCTTCTTGCCTTCAAGTACTATTCATCTGAGAAGGCCCTTCAGCCTCACCCCCCTTGTCCTACGTGGATCCTTGTAAGTCTGGCGTAACGCGAGGCGACACCCTCTCCTCCCTCCTAGTCTCCCCCGTCTTCCTTTTCCCAACCTCTCTCTCTCAGCTCTGCTCTGGAGGAATGCTCCGTGGGAAACGCGCTCTTCTTTCCCAGGCTTGTTGTCCTTTGACCCTTTCCTTCAAAGTGCTGTGCATGCCTTTTCCACCTCTCTCTCGATTGCCTGACTATACAGGCTCTGCGCCCTCTGAGAGGCACTCCACTCTGCACTGAGATGCTCTGTGGTTGTGCACCTCACTCGGGCATTATAGCCTCCCCACACGATTCTTCTGGTGTACGCAGACAGCCTGGGGCGGCCTCAACTGCCCTTCTTGCTTTGTGCAGTCTTATGGCATACCTTGGAGTCCCCTCCCGTTCCCGCTGTCGCACAGCAGTCTCTGTCTGTGTGTGTTTCCGTGTCTGTGTGTGTTTGTTTCCGTGTCTGTGTGTGTTTGTTTCCGTGTCTGCGCGTGTCGGTATCCTGTTGCTGGCCTTTCTCCCGTGCTTGCAGATATGTTGGTGCCTGGCTGCGTTTCTGGTAGTGGCTGCCACGTGCTGTATTGCACTGGCCCCCCAGAAGTGCGCTGAGGCAGAGTCTGAAGCATCTCCTTGCGCTTCCACAAGCCTCGATACACGCGAAGGGCCTCCCCACAAAGGCCAGCCAGAAGGGCGCAAAGACAGGTAGCGCGACAGTCGCTTTCCACGCTTGCTGCGCTCCCCACACCCCCACGTGTTTTTCTATGGGATATTCAGAACCGCCCCCCGCCACGAACGGGAGATGATGCACGTGTGTCTATTGTACGCACGTGCTTGCTCACACCTCTTCTAGAGACGATCGGTTGTGCATCCACCCACAAGGGCATAGACCGATGCAGACCCGTGCTGCGGATCCTCCATACAGCGCATCATCCTAGCGTTCGACATATATATATATATATGTGGGCACAGATCGCATTGTGGCATATTTTGCTGTTTATTTACCACCCCAGTAGTAGACGGCTGCGATGCTTCTTGCGTCTGCGTGAGGCGCAGCGTAGCGCCAAGTGCGTAGGCGCAGATTTTCAGAATTTTGGAGAAGAAGGCATTGTTTGCTAGAACAGCCTTTGCTAGCACAGCTCAGCAAAGCACAAACACTCTGACTCTTATTGTACTCTGTCCTGTGTGGCGTCACAAACCCCTGCGCTGGGCTTCTCGGCCGCGAGGATGCCATGAACTTGAGAGGCAGCCATAAATAAGCACACGCACTGAGCCTAATTTCGGATAAGGGCGAGCCAAGGCTCTCAAGCGCAGTTGCTTACAGGCAGAAACAGCGCGTGTGAGAGTGATGGGCAGCCGAATCCCGCAAGCACTGCATGCAACGTGCAAAGGGATGTGTGCGCAGTTCGCCTCCTTGCGCATGGCCTGAGGCTCGCACGGAGAAAAGGGGAGGGAGAGGGGGCCTCTATAGAGAGGGAGGCGAGACGCAAAAGTTGCATGAAGGCAAGCGACGATGAGCAGCAGGCGGCACAAGGAGGCGAGATGCGGCGCTCTGCTGTCCGACTACTTCACGTGCTAGCAGAAATGCTGGTAGCCGTTGTTAACTGCCATCAGAACCTTTCCCCCAATACCCATCCGAATGCAGTCCCTGTGACTCAACACCCCACAAGCCGTCTGCAGCACCCACAGTCCGCTATTGAAGCGCGTGCGGTGTTTCAGCTCGGCAGCCGTCAGCCATATGGCCCGCGAAGGCTTAGAGACGACGCGAATATTGCGAATCACCTGCGAGCGAGGCACCACAGAACCCGGCAGGCACGCTCAAGAAAGGGGAAGCCTGTTTATGCATGCGCGGGGAGGCTCATGTGCGGCAAAGGGGCATAGATGCTGGAGGCGTCGGCAAAAAGCCCCCTAAATCTGAACCTGCACGAGGCGTGTCTGAAGGCGCAGGCAAAGCGACTTGGGAACAGCCACAACGCTCAGCAAGATGAAAGGGATATACATGCGGGGAAGCTGAACAGAAATGCACCGCGCGAGGTCTCCCCGCAGCTTACATCCCCCTTTCCCAGCCCCCACCCGCTGCCTGCAGAACCCCCTTGTTTGCCCTTCTCAGATCCTGGCCCTTTTGCTGCCTGCATTGCCCATTGCAACCTACCGGAGCGCCCTGGTACTGTTTGAGAAGAATGTCGATTTTGCTGCCGTTCACGGCAAACCCCCTGATGAAGCCCTCCTTCTGCAGTAGCGACAGTATCTGCACGTTCAGCACGTGGTATGGGCATTTCTGCTGCAGCCGGTCCGGTCGCAGCAGCGACACCACCATTTCACACGCGCGCTGCATGCTCGCGCTGCTTCTTCTTCTCCTCCTGCCCCTGCTTCTCCTGCCGCTGCTTCAGCTCGAATGGATCCCGCAGTGCAGCCTCCCGCTTTTGGAGGCGAAGGGGCGGTTGGCAGGAAAGGCCACGTCTCTGGGTACGTAGGCAGCTCTGTGTCGCAATGCTGCCGTTCGTGCCGCTGAGTCTGCTGAGAAAAAAACCCTCCTTCAATGCCGCGTTTTCCAGAAGACCCCCTTCCTGGAATGCCAATGGCTGCGTGGGGGCCCGTGGGTACCCCTGGGGCCCCCAGTTATGCAGCGAAAATAGCCATATGAACAATTTCGCAAAACAGTGCCGATTTCTCCGCCGTATGGGGACCACTTTACCCTGCGTGAGAGCACCGGCGGTACCGGGGGCCCTCAGTGCGCCTGGGGGGGCCCCCCCCAGCCCCCGAAGCTACACCACCCCAACTCCCACCAAAAGTGCGCACTTTCTTTCTTCTTATCAAGCACAACCCTCCTAACAGAGCTTTAGGCTGCACAGTGCAAACGGAACGAGTCAGGCGCAAAGGGACTTCGTGGCTGTATCAACAGCTGGAGAAGGAAAAGGGAAAGTGACTCGCACCGACGCATTTGTGTCCAGACCAGCGACCATTAGTGGCGAAAATTGGCCTGTATTAACAACGCCGCACACATCAGCTCAACGCTGTATGTGTGTGTGACTTTCGTTAGAAAGCTGCCGCTGCATCTCCTCGCGCGTGCGGGGCAGACGCAGCCATACAGGTGGCGTTATGAACGGACGGGCTCTTTTAACGGCGAGCACACCGTTTTATGATGACATAGAAAAGGCGAATCTCGTTGATCTGGGCTATAGGGTCCACAGAATCGGTGGCTCCAATCACTCGTGGCTACCGCAGAGACATCGGTCCTTTTAAGGTTCGCGGGAGGAGGGAAGGGGAGGAGTAGGCGCAAAGTAGGGGCGGTGTAGGGTGCTTTCGAAAGCCCCTATCCCAAGGGACGGGGCATTTTGGGGAGGTGGATGCGCAGTTGTTAGTCGCTAAAGGCTGCGGGAAGCGCAGGACGGCACGGTGTCGCTGTTGTAATGCATCCTTCTGCATCCCTCTGACCCTTGTAGTTCCCTGGCGTGGCTTTACTGCGGCGATTCGCGAGACGTTGAACAGACGCTTTCTTTAGGGGCTCAAGATAGCTCAAGATACACGGTCGGGTGCGAATACCAGCTTTCTGGAATATAGCGAACTCGAGATGTCCTCTTGCCCACTTCTACGCAGCGGGCTAGGCTCCAGTTGGCTGCTTTCTACTCCTCCAGTAATGGATGACTAAAAACTGGTAAAGAACTGACTAGTTGGTATGTCTTCGTATGGCTTCTTTCTTGCAGACTAGTGCTAGCTTCATACAAGAAGGTGCAATGCTGAGAGCGTCCGCAAAATGCTGTGTGCCCAACGAGCTGTAGATTGTCAGGGTGCTTAGAAGTTGCAACTAGGCACACTTGAGCTGTCCCTCCCCCGTCATGTGAGAACTTTTGGAGCGCACTGACGAAGGAAAGAGCGACCTTTTTTGCAATAGCACTCTGTAGCCGTCGACTAGGCTTGTATTGAGTCTGGCATTCAATATCTCCTAGCTGAGACCGTCAATGAGGCGCTGCTCCTTTGTTCCACTTCGAGCCACGGACGCGGGCAGTGCCATGAAGAGAACGCCTGCAATCACGCAGCAGCGTGCGCTTCCCTGATTATAGGGCCATATGCACGCCTGGTAGAGACTGCGCATCCTGCATTTTAGAGGCATGCAACGAGGGGCTTACTAAAAAACCAACGAAGCAACATCTTTAGCCGGAAGCGCGTGCAAGGCACTTCGTGGAAGGCACAGCTCTTCAACGATTACACCGTCCCCAGGGCTCCTCTTTTTATCTTCAGAGGACTGCGCAAGTGACAGGCAGCCGAGGAGTCCTAATGCAGTTCAGCATGTCTGCCGGGAAGCGGACAGTCGGAGCCGCTTAGGCGAGTAGTTCTACTTAGTGTCGACTGAGAGCGCCTCTTATTTGCATGCGGAGACTTTGTACCATTCACTTGATGCGGACAAGCCAGAGGACCCTATGCAAAGTTGTGCTTATCAGCGTCTAACGCCAGAAAAAGCTCCTACGTAGTGGCTTTTCAGGGACCGCAAACAAAGTCTGACAACCGTAGACACGACCCACACATGGTGCTTGATTCCCTTATATTTACAGTGTATGTGTGCATATATATGTACACATGTCTGCCACCCTACGTAGATGTGCCTCTGCTCCCAAAAGCGCACGAGAATGGAGTTCTCGAGAAACGATAAGACAGTTCGGTTGCGTGCAATACGACTACGTGCAGCGCCGCAACTGGGCCCGATAAAGCTCGTGCGCATTTGAAAAAAAGTCCCTATGGCCTAGAGAGGAACCTTAGAGGCCCCCTATGGACCTCTGCGTTGGGGATCCTCTACAGAGGGTTGTGACAAGGGGCCCCCTCCCCCTACGAATCTCTGGACCGTCGGGGGAATGCTCAGGTAGCGAAAGACTTGAAAGATTCGTTGAGAGCCTGGAATACGCGCTCCGCTCGGTACTGCAGCAGCAGAAAGAGCAAGAAAGGTGAGTATGATCATGGGCATGCACGCGTTGTTAGCCTCGTGAGTTTTTTGCGCTGGCTTGTGTGTACAAGGGCTTTTGGTGGTGTCTCGACGCACATGTCTCTCCGGAGTTGCGTTCTGATGTTTGTCCGGATGAGCAAGCAGAAGCGCGCGGCTGCAGCAAGGATACGATCAGCGAACAATTTGGCACCAGCAAAAAAAAACATGGAGAAGCACAAAGGAAGAGACACCGGCGGAAAAAGAGTGAGACTGCTGCAGCGCTCCCGCCGTGTACCATACCCCTGTGTTGCCGTCCCGTTAGTTTAAATGCTACCGCATCTGTTCATTTTGTGTATTGGTCTGAATTGTCAGTGAGAAAACGGTTTCTTGTGCTTGCGTCTGTGTTCGAGTAAGGGAGGCACTCTGCCTTCGGCTGCTAAACACCTAATGGCGCACCAGTCAACTAGGGATAAACCTATATACATAGATATATTTTAGCTCTCTAGGTGTGAAAGCACGTAGTTGTATATGTGCGTAGACCCTCGACAGCGAATAGGAGCGGGTCTGATTGTTTTCGAGCAGTGCGTCTTACCGGAAGTGCTTTTTGAGGTTCGGTTGCAGCATCAGACTGCTCAGCGAGACAGGCTCCCACGAAGCGCCCTCCCACAAGACCTGAATAGCGCAACGCAACGCAAATGAGGCCCTTGACAAGGGAGACGCGTGAGGCCCACAACAGAGGGCCCCTCGCAAGCGTCAAAAGGACCGATGCAATCCGTCTGCTCGAGGGCATTTTGCGCTATTATAACGCCTGGAATGGACGACACTTGTAGCTCCTACGTATGGCGTTGGTGCTTACTGAGTGCACGGTGCTAAGGAGGGTTCGAACATCCTTAAATCCGCCATCTGCAGTCTTTGCCCACCGATCCAGCTCCTGCTTCAACTCCTCTGACCACAAAATTCCAATGCACTGCATGCTTTCAAGCCCTTATCTCCCCGTCAGGCAAGGTAACAAGTCGCCCGCTCTAAACTGTGCTGCAGCAGCACGCATCCAGGCGCTATCTATGGCGTTAAGGCCGAGGGTTTACTCTGCAGCAAAATCGAGACTCCCTGAATCCTCCAAGCTCAGCCTACCAGGAATCGCCAGTCTGTCTTGCTGCTGCTTCACTTCGAGAGCTCTGCGCCCTGCATGCCCTCACAGACTCCCACAGACTCCTGCATATATATATATATATAGATAGATATATATGTATATATATAGATATATATATATATATATATACGTATAGATACATATATAGGTATATATGTATAGAGATATATATATATACGTATAGACACATATATATACATATATGTATAGATAAAGACACGTACACGCAGGCATTCACACATGCACGCTCGCATCGATGTACACCCTAATCGCCAAACGGCTGCGCCCCCAAAGGCAGGCAGACCCTAAACCCCAGACAGACGTTCAACTTCCTGGAGCTTCTCCATCATCCGCTGCTGTTTCTTCGCTTCCCGATTCGCAATCAAGTCCGCGCGGTCTAACACCGGTGCTGCTCACAAAGGAAAGCCTGCTCTGTGCAGATAGGCATTGGCTCGCGTGCAGCTGTACTGTCGCTCCTTAGCGGCCTGCTCCGCTTGACATGTTGTACAGAACGCAGAAGGGGATTTGGGGGGAAGGAGCTGAGAAACACTATTTAGGGGGAAGTCTCAGCGTCCCTGTTCGAAGGCGAGAACATACCAGCAACAGACGGCCGCTCCTCTGCAGTGCGGCAACGCTGCAAAGCCTCAGGGTGAGGCTTGGTGTTGGGTACACTGTGGGCTCTGTGGAGATGAGAAGGCTCTGCAGCGATGACTAGCCCCCCGGAAGAATCCCCACTCTTCTGGTCGAAAAGAGGATTATCCTCCATCAAACGAGACAAAGACTCCTGACGAACCGCTTGGAGGCTTTCGGCAGTCGGGGGAGCCCAAGAAACGCGAGGATCCACAGTGTCGCTGCTGGAGCAGCGTCCTCTCGCAGCGTCTTGCCCCCCTTGCTGCTGCTGCTGCCTTCGCAAAGCGGCTGTCGAGGTGGGGTTAGAGGCAAGCGATTCACGCTCTACAGCTGCTGCAGCAGCGGGGGCGTATGCCTGGTCCGCTGCTGCTTGCTTGGGCTGTACAGCGGGAGGCAGCAGCAAGGCCTTACACACTATGCAGCTGCCACCGCTGCCGCTACTCCTGAAGGTAGGCACTGGCTGCTGCTCTGGAGGCTCGTCAATCCACACAAACCCAGAGGGGGCCCCCGGGCAGGGGGCCCTAAAGCGCAGGTGGTATGGGCCCCCCAGAGAGGGGCCCTCTACGCTCCTCCCATGGGGAGCTAGGAGAGATTTGAAAAGGCCAACAGTTACATCTTCTGGGAAAATGCCGGGAGGCAGAACGAAACAGTTAGGGCCCGTGTCTGTTTCCCATCTCCTGCTGTACATCTTGTCGAGCATCCCCTGCTGCTGGTGCTGCTGCACCTGAGCTGTTGCATCCGCTGGAGGAAAGCCGCGGCTGTCTGAGGCTTGGAGAAAATATGTAGCAACGGACGGTATACCGATACACCCGTCCTCCTCTGGGGAGGCGCCAGAGGGGCCCTTGCGGAAAATTGATCCACCCCAGGAGGTTTGCTGCTGCAGCTGCTGCTGTAGATGCAGTTGCTGCTGCTCTATCTTCTTTTCTACATATTGAATGCCCTCCTTTGCTAGCTGGCTGCTGCGCTGCGCAACAGCGGAAGCCCAGCCCTTCAAGTCCATCTTGGCTCGGAGCTGATTGCAAACCACAGGTGAAAAGTCGCCAATAAATGATCAAGCCTGGAAATTCCGCGACCTTGGCCACCAGGGGTCTTCGTTCGATGCGCTGAACTTCAAGTGTTGTAAAAACAGACCAAAACTGGAGAAGCACGCAGAGAAACGAAGACAACGCCACGCGCCGGCAGGCTGACGGCGTTGAGGCAACATGAAAGACGCTGGGATTGGAAAACAGCGGAGTCTGGATACGTTAAGTGGCTATAGGTTTTATGAATTATCCATTGGCGTGCATTTGTTGTTTGTATTGGCCATCCCGACGCTCGTTCCTTGTGTATTTGCTGCTTTTCTGGGGCCTCCCCAGCCGGGGGGCCCCTGGAATTGCGCCAGACATGAGCGCAGCGCAAGACAACGACCCACTAGAAGAAATGACTCACTTTTCCGTCTCTTTCGGTTTTCGAACATGAATTGTGTTCCGTTGGTTATTTTATTTCCTATCAATTCAAGATTTGCACGTTTGCCGCGGAAGGCTCCTGGTCATTGCAGGTCAAGCAGCCGTATGTCTGATTCAGTTACCAAGGGCCGGTTGCCAGAATGACTCTACTAGGTACTGTTTTGCGTACTTTACATATTCACTTGGGGCTTTACAGAGAGTGGAGCATTCACAGAACGAGACAACTATGAAAGAACCTATTGCCACGAACTGCGCCGAGCGGGGAGGCACTCAGGATTACGCTGTAACCTCTATTCGAAACACACAATCCCAGAATGCAATTGACCTCAGCACGTAGAGATCTGTGGATCCCTTTTCAGCATCCAGAAAAATGCAATGGCTAGCTGTGCGGTCCCTGCTTCGTGCGATGGTCTCCCACTTGGCGTGACGGTGCACGCGCAAACGCGCTCACCAACGGCAGAAAACAGCAAAAAAGATTTTGTCGTGCTTAGCCCTACAAAAAAAAGATCTTGCACCGGGGCAGGAAAGGAGAGCGTGGATGGGGAATAGGCCACACAGACGCTCGGCCCGTGAGGTCATTCCATACTTCGCCAAAAACAGTTGAAAATCAAATGCCAAGGTAGGCGCTGGGTAACACAGTTAGGCGCTCATAGAGACCGTGCAGAAAGCCTATTTAATAGCGTGCAGGAGGCGGCCTTGGGTTCCGCTTGTTGGTGGCAGCCCGCATTGCAGACTGCTGCCAATAAATGACGAGGACACGAACATAAACGACAGCAAAACTCGGGGGCAGCGGCATTGAAATGCGGCACAGATGAAGACTTCCAGCCAACAAAACGAACAAGCATCAAGGAACTGCGCGTGTCTTGTTTGACTGAACCAACATTGCCCGTTTGTTCTTAAAGGTGATGTGAAGGCCAGTTTATAGCTGCCTTGGAACTTTCGTCCTTTTGCCTATTGGCACCCTACAGAACGTAGTGTACATACATAGGTATTACTGCACCTAAATCTGAATACAGGTAATTACACATAGAAAGCACGAATCTTTCAATAAACGCGCACGTAGCCACCCACGAAGACAGCCCTAGAAGAAGGTTCTCTCTGGGCTGATGCCCTCGGCTGTACGTACACCTGCGTGGAAGGGGAAAGGGGGATGCTTTTCTCATAAGGGCCGTATGCCTAGGTCTCCCATTTCGTTTAAGAAGTAGCAGATAAATAAAGAGGCTAGCCGACAGGAAAAGCCATAGAGAAGTCAAGAAACTCGAAAAAAAAGAGCATTCACCATTCAGAGAGCGAAGGTGCTGCTGCCAGTCGTATTCCGATTAAGAGCTGAATTTTTTAGGAGCGCCGCCTCCACTCCCGCGCCTGAGCACCGCGCACACAAGCAGCAGCAGCATATTACTCCGCAGCGCAGCTTTTTGCATTCTTTCGCAAGTGTGCTGTCAGTTGGCGAATGCTGTTTCTCGGTGTTCTGCATGAGTGGGCATTTCTTGCAGCCCCTGCAGAACTATCTTTAGGCAATGAGGCCCTTCGGCGACGCCGCTCTTGATAGGCTAAAGCCTTTTTCAGCCCTCCTTGCGCCTCAAGTGGACCTACAGGATTGTTCCAATAGTCGAATTATCTTCTCTTCTGCATCCTCTCGGCGCTTACGGCCTTCAGAGAGATCCCGCGCGGCCTCCTGCCGTAGGCTCATAACCATCCTGCAGTATACAAACCGCAAGTTCCCTCCCACACAGAGTTATTTGCGCGCAAACACGATGAAAGTGTAAAAGACGATTTTGCAGGCGCATCGATTCGGGAGGGCTACCGAGACAAACGACATGCTGCACCTGTTGATAGCGGCTTCCGCTTCACGCCGAGACTCCGCCTCTTCACCAATGGCCTTCTCTGCCTCCCCGAGCGCTTGAACACCACGCACGTCGTCGCACAGAGAACAGAAGCTCAAAAACCTTTAAAGTGCCCCCTTGACTTCTCGAACCCTCTAGCGCTCCGCAGCCAGACGCGGGGAGCAGGGAGGAAAGGGGGAGGACAAGAACCCACCGTCGCTCAGTTTTGCTGCAAGCGCTTCAGACGCTGACCTCCTGCAAAAACTTAGCACACAACGCAGCTGCAAGGGCTAGTAAGCCGCAGCAAGAAGTGCCCGAATCGCCGACCGAAATTTTGATTCCAGACTCTTCGTGGCAGATCCTGAAAACGCTCACCGCGTATCTTTGACATGCGCGAGAAGATCCCAAAGCTCTGCACATTTCTCCTTGGCCCTTTCTGCCGGCATCGAAGCCTCCCACGAACCTGGTGCGCATGCAGTATTTTTGTAGCTGTTCGATCACGGGCTGTTGAGGCTAGCCAACGGCAAACGCGTTACGTGCAGCAACAGCGCGGGAAGCTACAAAAAGACCTTGGCAGTAGGAGACTGCCTTTTTTTGCGTACAGCTCTTTGCCTTACTTTCCTTCGCCTTTTGGAACTGGCCAAGCCCGTCTAACAACCGCTCGGCATCTCGGCGCATGTGCTGAGTCAGTGCCTCTCTCTCCTAAAGAACACGCCCCCCTACCGTTCGAACTCTGACTGCCTCCTCTGGAGCGACCTGCTCTGGCAGTGGCCTTCCTTTTTTCCAACTCCCCCCTGCTCCCTTTTCCCAGTGCTGCGTTTTGGCCCCCTTTTTCCCCCCGCCCTTCGTCCATCGTGCCCCTCCCCTCCGCTTATCATTCTGCGTACTTGTCGGAGCTGGCTAATTTCTTGCAAAGTCGCTTCCTCAATCGCGGGAAGCGCTGTGAGGCGATGCCGCTGCAGCTGCTGCTGCTGCTGCTGTAAGGCACCGACAGCAGCCTCAAGGCCAGCGACCTCCTGGCTCTGGACCTGACTCAGAAACAAGGAAGCCACAAAACAGCACGGGATGCACAGCAGCAAGCGGAAACTGCAGCACCAGCGCAGAGTCCAAACGCGGGGAACGACGCAGTAGGAACGCAAAGGCGAGAAGGCGCAAGACAGGGTGCTTGCTCTAGGAAGGAGCACTAGCGAAATGCAGAGGCACGTTGGCTTTCCACACGACCGTCACCGAGGAAAGGCAGGCTACAGGGGAGAGGTGGGAACCAAGAGGGCGCAATGCCAACAAGTGAACAACGAAGATCGCACAATCTGATAATATGCGCAGTCTGGCTGTGCCTTCGCCTCCTTACGTGGATGTTCATCTCTGCCCATTTCCTGAGCTTTGCTGATCGCGACTCCAGAGAGCTCAGCACACTCTCCAACGCGTTCTCCATTACATAGCCCACACCGGAAGCGCTTCAGTTGGATGCTACAGGTTCCTTGAAGCAACAGGCAGCCCAGAGGCCCTACCTCCCTCCGTCCTCTCAATCAGGAGATGGGGCCCCTCTGGAGGGGCCCCTGACGCTTTTCCGTCAAAAGAGGCCGTTGGAGTATCGACCCCCTCCTGTTATGGCCTGGTGTCCAAGGACAGACAAGATGGTGTAAACCCTAAACCACAAACCGCTTGTTGGTGTTGTCTTGGGGGTTGGAGTGGTGGTCACCAGCTGGGCTACGGTAGTATCTGCCTCGTTGTTTAATTAGAATACGTTAAAATCAAAGGAAATGAGAAGAAATGTGTTCAAAGAATGGCAAAAGTATGGCATGTGGGCTGAAAGACATTGGATGGGGGCCCCTTGTCGTCGGTCATCCCCGAGCCAGCGAACAGACAACCTACGACAACAATCCCCCGAGAGCGCCTCTTCACAATATGTTCCTCGCTCTTTGCATGACAGGTGTAAATGTCTTGTGCTTTGGTCTTCGCGTGCTTAGCGCTTAGCTCCTTGCAGCTATACGTCCATTCATTGAAATTTAGGGAGGGAAGCTGGGTAGAGAATGCGGGTTCGACGCAGCAGCAACAAGCCCTCACAAAAGCCAAGCTTTGCACTTGACGACTGAAGGCTTCGAATCTCCAATAAGCGTTCTCTGAGGTGCACTCACGCAGCTGTTTCCAAGCCTCCATTTACTTACAGAAATTCTTCCTCTCGGCTTTGTCAAGTCACACAGGCAGGCTGGACTCTGAAGGAAGCATCAAACCGCTTGTCTGAGGTACCAGCGCTGCGTTCCTTACCAGTCTGCTCAATATGCTCGATGAAATGCCGACTTGCAAACCTGAGGATAACACCAGGTCGCCCTCAGAAGAGCTTAGTCTCACCTATAGCACGTAGCCGGCTATCTTTTACACTTAAAAACTCTCGAATACACTTGTTCTATTTAAAAAGGAACTACTTAAGAATTGCCTCATTGCTTTGTTCGTTCCTTAATCTTATTTATTGCCGGGTAGCTTACATTCGTTACACGAAAACGCAATGGTGCGTCCATGTGCCGGCCGCTCCGTGCAACTAGTTGTGAATGCTTGGATGATTAAATGGGTGCAGCAACGCACGTCCCAGCTGTAACATTCCCCTCATGTCAGGAACCCTGTGGGACGTGGGCACAGGAAAGACCTTCTGGGTGACACTCAGTGACCTATTCTGTATCAAGTCTACAATAAATGTCTACCTACAAAGAACTCAGGTGGAGCGTTGCAGTTCGCAGCATCACATGATCCAATGCAGCGTTTTCCTGCGCATCCACTGACTGTCGATGCACTGGGGAACCATGTTTCCCCACAATACGTGTCTGGCTCGAACCAGGCTATTTCGTATTCCGATAATCGTTTTCCCTTAGAAGCATTCCGGAACAAGCATCATCTGTCGATTAGAGCTAACGGTGGCAGAACGCTTGTTGGGGCGGGCGATGGAGGCCTGCAAGCTGATGTGAACTCAGTGGCTACACAACTGCTGCAAGGGCGTGATCCGGCAGCTCGCAAAATGTCTCTGGATGTGTGAAGTCATGCAAACCAGAAAAGTATGAAGATTCTGAGAGTGGGAAGGTACTGGATGCTTTCATCAGCCTATCGGTGCTGTGATGTGATGTGCCTTGCTCTGTATTCCTTTGGTAAAGAGAATTGAGCCCCTCTGTCGGCACCTTCATTAAAGTGAGACTAACTTCATTATTGGCCATCCTGACGCAGGGGAATTCGCGTGTCCGCAGTAACTATTACAACTCAGCTCTTCACATGCGCCCCCTCTTATCCGTTTGTGCTGAGATCAGTCCAACAGCAAGTTAAAGGAAGGCATCAAAGCTTTAGCAAAGCATTCCAGCAATACACTAGAACATCGAGAAATATGGATTTTGGATCCCCAAGAGCCATGAAGGAGACGAAAAGCTGCTTTAGCAGTCGTTTATGTCGGTGCTCTCCGAAAATTACTGCACGTGACTGCAGTATGGGCAGCGACTCAGCGATTAACCAGTTGGCTTGTGGAGCTTTCTGAAATAGTGAAGTACTGGAAGTTTCTAGTGCGCTGTAGCAGGGCGTGAAAAAGGTTCTCCCTGTTAAAGTGGGCGTCATCCCTTTATTCGGACCAATCATCAGGTTTCGGTGTACCTTGTAATAAATACTCAGTACTTGGGAACCCGGAGTGCTTCGTGGGCTTGATTGTCTGTGTTAACACGGCCCTAAAGTGAATTGCGTCGAAGGCATCACTGACGTGGTCGCCGGCACTCACTCGTGATGCCCGATCGCGTCACCTTTCTACACAGAACCGACTCTTGTGTGCAGGGTTATACGGTTTCCATCAAAGTTAGGTGCGGGTTGTGCTTTTGGCACCCATGCATCGCCAGGATTTAGAATGTCAAAAGAGTGAGCAGCTGTAGTGCTAAGGTCGCTTTGCTGGGATCCAAAACAAAGCAGGGATTCCGTCGCTTGTACACTGTGACTTTGCTACTCAGGGCTGCTCTGCGAAGCGCACAGACCGTTCTCCTTCGAGCCATAGTGGGATCTACATTACATTAGAAAAGTTCCCTTAGTATTTTTGGTGGGTTGAATGTGTCTTGCAGGCAAGGAGTATGCATTATCATGCTTAGATTGTCAGCAGCTGAAGTTGCGAAACGCTTTCAGGCCAGGCCTGTTGCATAGCCTGTCTGATATCTGCAAAGACCTGGACTGATCGAACTCTGGAGTTTCGTGTTAGACTAATGAAGATCAAGTGTGTGACTTGCGTCGTTGTTGGCAGCAAATATGCCCATTTCAGCCTTTGCTCCAGCCCTGGCACGGCTCCAGACGTTGCTCACTTATTCATCTCATGTGTGGAAGCTCCACTAATACGGCAGGACTATCATTACTAATTGGGATCCGATTTTTGCAGCCGTTCAGAGTACTGTTAGAAAGGAGACGTGTTGTGCGCGCGTCTGTAGATTCTACCTGCGACCGCGATAAATGCTCAGAGTGTTTACAGAGTGCAGCTTAGCGCACCTTCGCTGTCCCTCTCCACTCCTGTCGGACCTCTGATTGCCGCGTGCAGGCGAAGATGGTGGTGTACTGTGGAAGCAGTCAATTACTCTCGATTATGTTTTGTTGATTCTGGAGTTGGATATCATCCCACAGAGACCTTAGAGGGAGTATTTCAAAAGGCTGATCGAGTGGTGAACTCTCATAGCTTTTGGGCACAACCTAAAAAAGTGAATAAGAAGCCTTTTATTGTGACTTATTCCTCTATACGCCGAGTTTCAAGGGCCCAATAGGTCCAGTACAGCAGCTCATGGGATTAACGCTTCAGAAACATGAAGCTACGGAAGTACATGACTCGCAGGTTTTTCCTCTTTACGTAGGGTGCTGTTCCTTGCTCGGCACTTCGAGATATATCCAAGAGGTTCATGATACAAAAGGGTCGTCTAAGGCATGCAGGCATCCGCTTACGAGCCAATATGTTTCGCTTTTTCTCTGAGCTGAGCCTTGTGCTGATTGGAAAGCAGATTCAGGGTGTTGAAAGCCTAAGTACGTGCATTTGTAGCACCCTTAGCCCAGAAGCAGCCGTGTAGGAACCCCGGCAGCTCGTAACGATGCTTAGTGAGCTCGCAAGAGCGTTGTCGCCAGCAGCGATCCTCCATCGCATCTGGGCAAAAACAAGTGAAATGCATCCTCCTTTAATTCTAATTTCATGAAAGAGAAAGCAAAGAAAGCGCTAAATTTCGTTCCGAGCCTGCAAGGGAGTTCACCTGTCATCCGGTTGTTGGTCTCACACCTGCTATATCGAGTCTCACAGGAGCTTTTGAGATGCGTATGCCACAAGTCGTACCCCCAGAGACCTGAACGTTGCGCTTTGAGCCCCGAATCCCTATTGAAAACCCCAATCCCTCAGCCCTGGTCTGGATTTTTTCAGTTTCTGCATCTCTCACGTGCACCTTGTGTACTGTGTGGTTTTGTTTGTTGGATGATGGCATCCCTCTGGGGAGCAGGAATTGGCCGTCCGGCTTGGCTGGTTCGGGGTATCTGGCCGCCAGCACTTATGGGTTTATGTGTTTTTCTTTTGCATTTTACCTGCTTGGTCTTCGTAACTCCGGTCGTCTCTGAAATGCGCCCGGTTGTTTCAGAGGGGGACTACATCCCTGGCAACCCGGCCTCCCCACTGTATTCCTTGAGTGATGTCAAAGATGCTCTGGAGACTTGGTGGCCATCCTCAGCCATCTTTGATTTCGATTCAGCTCTCAAGGACGCAAAGAAGAAAGCAAGCAGGCCCATTGGCCTTTGGGGGATTGAGACAATCGATCGGAAGGAACTTGTTCGCCTTTTAAATCTGGAAATGGAAAGGTTTGTGGCAAAGCAGTTTTCACTCCTGAGGGCTTCAGATTCCCTGCTAAGTCAGGTGTCGTTGCTAGGTGATTGGGACGTCCTTCTCCTCGTCCGGCAGCAGCTAACCCGAGACCGAGTTAAAACTTCCCTCTCGGATCCTGAGATTGATGCCATCTTTGAGGGAACCCCGAGGCTATATCCGTGGCTACCCAAGGATAGCTGTGATTGGGATGAGCCGCAAACGATCAAGCGCCTCATCGAAGAGCTGGCGCCGACCTGTTTGGCTACAGAAGCCCCCTAGTGAGGTGGGAAGATATGCTTCCTACAACGCTGCCTCTTTTAAGCGCTTTGGGATTCTTCCCTCCAACGCAAACTGCGTGTCTCGGAACTCCATAAGGGGAAGTTCCACGAGGATACTAAGGATACCTGTGCGGCTGGCAGAGGTGGACCTCGCTCCCTAAGTGCTAGCAAAAAACGACAGCACGACTTGCGTGAGCGCAGCCTTTAGGAATTTTACCAGATAAACAGATGCGCGAGCAGTTAAAATGTGTGCTTGTTTTCACCAAACGATAGCTCGCGAAACCTGATCTATGCGTATTTAGGTGCTTGCCGATTCGCATGCCACTAGCATGGTGTCGTTAGCAACTGCTGAAAGGGCCCCCATGAGCATGCTGCTGCACGGGCGGATCTGTGCTTGTGTGGTTGCTGAGCAGTAAGCCTAGGCCACTCTGAAAACAGAGGGAACCGTTTTACGGCGATAGCTTGCTTCCCAAGGGCCCTTGGAAAGTATAACCGCTTCACCAAACCTTCTTCTTCCCACTTTTTGCTGCATCTCAAACCCAATCATTAGCGAGAAGGATAGTATCTGCCGCCCTCTTGGGGCTTCCTCCTTGTCCAGAGACTTTTACTGCGCCTGAGCCTTGGAGACTACTGCTAGGGATGCAATCTTAAAGGGCATCTGATGTCGGGGCCTCAACTGAGGCAGGCCCGTAGGAGACCCTCGCTAGCCAGATGCATGGAGTGCACCTGATTTAGGGTCTCCCGACTTGTGTACTCCCAAGGATACTGGTATATATCCAACCCTCCAGCCAAAGTGCGACAAAATCCAGTGCCTGCAAGACATCCACACACCCCATGGACCATCGCTGGAGCTTAAGGGCCCTGACCCTCAGATTATCAGCCCTTCTCCTCCACATGGAGGCCCAGGGGCCCAACAGTCCTAAATGCTGGCACGAAAGGCAAGCACACACCATTCATGCGTACACGCTTATGAGAGGGATGTATCGCCATCGGGTACACTCTTGGGGATGCTGAAGCCCCCTTTGTGCAGGAAAGGCCCCTAGGAGCTTCCTTGCATTGCGTGTCACGGCGCTTTTCTTACCTCCACCGTTCATACGCCGGCAAGCGCAGGAGTAAGGAGAGGCCTCCAACACCGTCAAGAAACAAAACAGAGATGCCATGGAATGTCTCTAGGGGAGGAATGGGTGCTCCTTCCAATTGAGTTTTTGGGAGAAAGCCCTCCTGCTGGGGGGGCCCAGTATGAGGACTCCCCGAAGGGAGGCCCTCAACATCAGCCACAAAGAGGTCCTCTACGCTGTCCACAAAAAACAGCGCAGTCCCTCTGCTCCCAGGCTCGTGTGTCAGCTGGTGTAGTCCCTGTTGCTGTTGGTGTTGCTGCTGGTCTACGAGGGGCAGGGCCCTCCCGGGCGAAAGCAGCATTTGCAGCTGCAGCTCTTCCCTCGCCTGCCTTTCTTCCTCCGTCTCTCTGACGTACCCCAGATCGGGGACTATCCACTCATGAGAGGCAACGCCAATGGGCGCACCCTGAGCAAGGGCCCCATAGGCTTTCCGAGGGGCTGGTATAGCCAAGTCGAGAGTAAAGGGGAAGAAGGGTGAGGACGTGATACAACACAGCTACAAATCGCAACAGCCACAATAGACACCGCACAAGGAATAGCCGATCAGTTTGTTTGCAGTCGCGGTACCTATAGGCACAACCGCAGCGACCGATCAAAAGAGCGGAAACAGCAGGATTAGCAATAAACAAGGCTCACCTGCTGTCTCTCCAACATTTCTTGAATAGCCTTCGTGCGCGCTGCGACCTGTGAGGCCCCCAGGGGCCCCCATTTCCTGCTTGGCATATCGTATAGAAAGGGGAGCACTTCTCTCTCTGGGTCGTGCACATTGTAGTCAAACACTTCCTGCTGTTGCTGCTGCCTGTGAGGTTGCTTTAACTGTTGCTCCAGCATCTGCTGCAGCGAGATTCCCCCCAGGCCCACTACTGCCTGTGAAGGAAGGGGCAAGGCCTCCACAAGGGCATGGAATCGGCTGAGGGAGGGGTGCTGCTGCACAGAGGGCTGAAGCAACGCAGAAAGTCGCAACCCCGTTGAGAGTACCTGAAGAAGCGCACGCACACTACCAAGACAAAGAAAGCATGTGAGCGTCTAAATCAGGCAGACAGAACTGACGGATAACGCTTGAGGCAGGGGATGCAAGCAAAGGCTGAACAAAAACGTCCTGAAGGGGCACATCAAAGAAAAGGGGGAAGGCGCGGAAGACCCGCGGAAAACGCACAGACAGCACGGACATGAGTGGGACAAGCCTTAAAGAGGTTGAAGGGGAGAGCGCATCAACAAAGAAAGAAAGGCAGAGAGATGTACACATTGGAGTGGGCAGAGGCAGGGGCTCCCAGAAAGAGGGGGAAGAATACACCTAGAAAAGAAGAAGCTGTGCAAAAAGAGAGTTTTGAGCAGCCTACTTGTAAGAGATGCAGATGGTGTGCTTCAAGGCCTCTAGCACTGCCAACGAACCGCCACAACACTTCTTTCAAAGCAGGAGAAAGCTGGCAAGCCGCAGTAGCACAAGACCTGGTTGCTGCTGCCTCCGAGCCTGCTTCAACTGTTCCTGCTTCTGCTGCCACTAGCAGTTCGCGGTAATGCAGTAACGATGTATAACCCCACAGCAGAGGAGGCAGCTCAGCATCTGACAGCTTCGGCAGCACCTGTAAGAACGCCCCAGACCACGAGCCACAAGTCTGCCATCGTCAGGCTTCCTCAAAGCCTAATCCCTAAATTTCTGTCCCCTTGAAACTTTGCTGCCCCAGGTCCTACCCAATGCCCTCCTTTACCTCTGGCAGCAAGCGTTCCAGAGAGCGGCAAGTTGCCTCCAAAGGAGCCAGAGAGAAGTGCCAGGCTGCATTTGCCAAGCAAACCACCAAGGTGGGCAGATGAGACCCTTCGATTTCCTCCTGCCTGCTGCTGCTCAAAAAGCTGCTAAGAGAGTGCAGCAACCTGTTGCTGCTGCAGCGCAAGCGGACAAGGCCCACCAACAGGAGCAGTACATCTGGCATGGATGAAAACGGCAGTGAGCCACAGGACACCCACACCACCTGCTGCTGTCGCCACTGCTGCTGCTGCTGTAGATGCGAGGCCACTAACTCCACTCGCGCTGCTGCAGATGAGGCCTCCGCTTGTTGCATTGCCGCTGCTGCCTCTTCGTAAGCATCGGCATCATCCGTGCCTCTCGCGGTGACTGCGGCTCCTGCCGTTGCAGCGCCGGCTTGCGCCTCTGCTGTGTCTGCTGCAACAGAGTCCGACGCTTCTATTGCAGCTACTGCTGCTACTGGCGCACGCACTGACAGCATGCGTTTCTCTGCCGAAGCCACCACGAGTGCCCAGTCCTTGTCAACGGCCTCATACCAAGCAGCTGGAAGCAGAGCATACCTGCAGCAAGCCGCACAAGTGACCCCGCACCCGAGGCAGTTATCTAATTGTGAGCAGCCAACTGTGGCCTTTCCGATAAAAAGCATCCTTATGCCCTCGGCGCCTACCTCTTCGTCAGCGCATCTGTGAGCGCACGCAAAATTTTTGCGTCTCGGTGGTGTCCGCTGCCCAAAATAAGTCCCAGCGAAGCAACAGCTGCAGGAGAGCAGTGGGGCAACTGCTGCAGCTGCTTCTGGAATCGTTGCAGCAGCGGTTCTATAGGAAACTCTACAGCCAAGAGGTCCCTACGGCAGGAAAGGCACAAGGGAGCTCAGGATGGCTTGCCAGCACCGTGCAGGCGAAGCCGCAGACAAACAAACCGCAGGCCCTCATTCCAGCCTGTGGCAGAGGCAGCTATGGCGATCGACGCGACGCAAGTCATCATGCCAGGCAGCCACAGAGGAAAGCACTCAGTCACGTAACGGAAGCAAACAGTGATCCACCGGACTGCCACAGAAATGGTTCAAGAGGGCAGCGAATACACCAGAACACAGACTGCTGCACCGCTCTACAACACCAGCAGTAGCCGCACCCACGAATCGGCGGGGGCAGCACCAGCAACAAGGAGGTGAGACATGGGAAAAGGGTGGCGGCGTGCCCTTCCTTACTTGGCAAGTGAGATCAAGTGCTCGAGATGAAAAAACCCTTCATCCTTGGAGGCCCTTAGGACCGCCAACCGGTACAAATGCAGCAGTGGCAGCCCCAAGGCACAGGCAGAGGCAACCACTTGGCAAACTAATTCCGGGGAAGTCACGTCAAAAAGGAGGGGGAAACGATGAAACCCACGGCCAACAAGGCTTTCCAGGGGAGCCCCTACATGCCCTTGGGACGCTTCCTCGCCAGGAGGCCTCGTGGCAGAGGCACCGAGGCCTCCTATTTCGCCTTCCGGAGAAGATGTGTTTTTTGAGGGCCCCCTAGGGGACCTTCGGTAAGGCACCGCTGCCCCCCCCGTAGGAGGCCCTACAGGGCTGTGTCTGTAGTGGGGGGGGCGTCTCGTCGAGCTCCTAGAAGGGCTCAAGGAGGGCGTCAGTCGGTAATAGCTGGGGGCTTGCAGATATGCTGCCAACTTTTTGAAGAGGCGGTAGGGGGCCACTTGGATGCCCTTGTGTTCACGACGCTGAGGGAGGCGGTCTGCAAGAAAAGACCCTCAAATCTTACCTACCAAAGACAAATATGGTGCCTCTTTCGACTGCAGAGAATGCGGGGCGAACAGACTTCGTAGCAAGAAAAAAGGGACAGAAAGAGACCACTGCAACGGGCAGAGAGACAGAGATGACTTACACGTCTTTGCGGCATTCGCTGCGGCCACAAACGTCCTGGCAATGAAATCAGCTTCCCACTGGAAGTGGTATATCTTTGGCAAATGCCGCAGCAAACCCCTAAACAGTCGACGATCATAGACGCCCATCTGGTCAAACAGCTGCATTCATTCGCAAACGCACGGCTTCGGACTAAGCACTTGGCAATGGCGCGAGTGTGTACCTTTCGAAAGCCCCTCCACCTGGTTGGTATGTGTTTATTTGTGTATGTGGGGCTTCTTTTTAAAACATCGCTGCAGCCTAAAGACAGCGTAGAATGCAGCAAAGATCTACGTTCTGTGCCCACCTGGAGCGCCTTGGCAGTATAGCCGTACTTCATGAGCCCTATCAGTTTCCATGTTTCCCCTGCCACTCTCTCTTGAAGTGCGATGACAGCAGGAGCAACGCTTTTCTTCCGCAGGCCATCTTCGCATGCAGCGTTGGTAATTTGCCCCAGAGGCCTTCCTAAAGGGCATGCCCCTATCCGGGAGCCGCTGCTGCTCACGAGCGGGTGGGGGTGGAAAGACGTGCCGATGGGGGGCCCCTTGGGGGCCCCCTCGGGAGCCCATTCCCACAGGAACTCCCCAATGTCAATTAGCGAAAAATACTTGTAATGCTGTAGAGCGAAGGGCAGCTCAGCGAGGAGAGCGGCCCCCAAAGGCCTCTCCCAGATATCTATGACTTCAGAAAAAGGCCTTAGACATGGCCCCAAGGCGGTTGACGAAGTTAGGGCTGTCTGCTCTGAAGATGCTGCTGCCGCCGCTGCTGCTCGGAGAGCAGCCGCGATCTGCTGGTTCCTCTTCTTGTTGTACTTGCTCTTCAGCCTGTTGAGAGCACGGCATATGTCTGCAACGCCGTCTTCCCCTGCGGCATCGAACTGCTGCTGCATGGCGAATCCCAGTTGATCCAGAAAGCTCAGAAACAGCCTTCCTAGACGCACCTCATGAGCTGTGGGCTCAGCCTTCGCGAGGGCTTCTGCTAACTCGCCTGAGCTTTTTTTCGGCTCCAGTCCACACGACAAGGAGGAGACAGCTTGAGAATCCTCAAGGGAGCCTCCTTGGAGGCCTTCTAAGGGCTCTGTATAATGCACCAGCAAGCGTAGGATCCGGAGCAGCGCGTCCATAGAGAGGGATAGCCCCTCCGGAGGGTCGAGCCGATCCAAGCAGGGGCCTCCTAAGGGCCCCTTTTGCGCGACGACCCCAGGTTCCGCTCGTGCTGCCGCAGCGAGCAGCACTTCTAGAGCAGCAGGTACATGGAGGCGAAGCTGGAAATACAACTGTATCAACGGCACGAGGGAGGCCTCGTTGAGCCCGCTGCTGTCGCTGCCACTACCTCCCCGAATACTGCTGTCTGTCTGCGTCAGCTGGAGGGCAATTCCCACCAGCCTCTGCACAGCGTCTCGATGCGAAAGCAAGAGCCCCAGCAAGCGTTGCTGCTGGTGCTGCACCTTGTGCTGCTGCAAGTTGGGTGGGAGCAGCGGCCTCGGCTCGCTGTGTGGTTCCCCACAAGGGGCCCCCAGGGCAATCAGCAGTTGCGACGCCCACAAGGGCCCCCCAGCGGGGCCCTCTAAGGCCCCTAAGAAGGGAATAAGCGCTTCAATCTCCCGCAGGAGAGAGGCAGCGACGATCCTCGGATCAGCCTTCCCTCTGCAGTCGGCAAGGAAGGGAAAAACTTCGGAGAAAAAGCCAACTGCGGCTCCGAGGGCCACCTCAAGCTGAGAAGAAGGCGCTACTGAAGTAGGGCTCCCAGCAATAGGAGTAGCCTCACCTTGGGGGGGAAAGGACCCCAGCGAAGGCCGTGCAAACGCAGCCACAAAGGCGGAAAGGCGAGGGACTGCCCAGCAGTTATCCTCCTCACCGGTAACCCCGCGAAGAATCCAAAACCAGTGAGGCGAGAAAACGGTTGCCGCTCCTGAGAGATCGCCCGAGGGCCCCTGAAAAAGGGAACTGGAGTCTCTGAAGGCGCTTTGCAGAGTCAGCAGGGCCTTCTTCGTGGCAGAATCAGCGCACGTTCCGGCTGCGTGGCAAGCCACCTGAGACTGCGTCTCAAGCTGCAGATCCACGCACTCCCGCGTGTTGCAAGGCCCTAGAAACCCCGGGCGCTCCTGCAACAGCGGCTGCAGCTTCTCTAGGAAGGCGACAGTTGCCGCACTGAGCAGGTCCCCCACGTCAGGAGGAGACACCCGTTCCCCCTTGGCCCCGAAGCGCCCCAGAAGGGCCCTAGGCCTTCTTTTAGGCTGCCACCGTCGCCAGGGAGGAAGCTGGGAAACGTCGACTTTGAAGGCCTTCCGCTGCCTTTGCCACGGTGCGGGGGGCCCCTCGTGGGGATCGCTGGGAGCCCACGCAGAGAGCACCCCGCTCGCCTCTGCAGCTCCAAGCGGCCGCAACAAAGGCCTCCTCCAGGAAGCCCGCAGACGGCGCGTGGGCTGAACTGCAGCGCACTGCGAAAAAGCGTCATTGAGCGAGGATCGTTGCAGGTGACCTTCCTGGACCGGAGGTCCCCGTAGCAGAGGCAGCGTCGCCTTCGGCTGCAGAAGGACTGACGTGCGCCCACACCCACAGAGGCCCCAGGCCCCTAGGGCTCTGAGGCCTGGTCGCACCATGCCTTGAGAAAGGGGCCCCCTTGGGTCCACCAGGGGCCCCAGGGCCCCCGTAGCACACGCCCTAGAGTGTCGAAATCCCGAGAACTGGACAAGGGCTCCAGCGCGAACGGTACTCCGCACTGCACTACTCATCAGGGGGGGGAAGAAAGTGACAAACGCGGGGGGCCCCAGAGACCCTAAACAATCGAGTGAGGCGCGGTGCCAGGGGGCCCCTCCTCACCCCGCAGGGAGGGCTCATAAGCGATCCGGGGCTTTGTCAATGAAATAATGGCGGCCGAAATGTGGCTGCTTATTCGGAATACTACAGCAAAAAAGCCATTCCGGTTCCTTTCAGGTCACGGGAGCACCGGGGGGCCCTCTTCGTCGAGACGTTTGCTCATCGGGAGCCCTCCCCTCACCCGCCCCCATGAACCCATGCTGCAGAGCGTGAAAGAAAACTTGGACAGAGATTCAATAGAAAGCTATCTGATTCCGTGGGAACGGCCGCCAAGCTCACCGGAAACGCAATTCAGCACCAAGGCCGTGTGTGGCCTGTAGCCCTCCCACTTCTAAACAGGGGCATCCTTTGTTCCTAAGCCACATGCAAAGGGTACACTAGAAAGCTACTGTGTGTGCCTATCCAAAAGAGCTTTCTCGCCCTCTCTCTAATGTCGCGGGCTAAGCTACTAGACTGTGCACTTTTGTCTACACTACGTGTACTTTATTCAGACGCATTAAACCACTGCCCAATCAGCTTGTTCGCTCGCGTATCTTAGTAAGCGCAGAGGAGCTCTAGCTCGATACAGTAAAGCGCAATTTCCGGAGAAGCTGTGATAGATGCCTCATGAATCTGCAGCTACCTATAAGTTCCTCGGGTTTTGCCCCAAGGGTGCAACTTAACACGTACACCCCATCTGTCTCTCTCCGCTGCTATTGGAGTTCTGGGGGCGCGGTCAGAAGAAGGAGAAATTTCTCCATTTGAAATGTTATCAACAACGGTCTATTAATGTATATGAAGTCTGGAGTCATAAGTGTCTCGTTATAGAGCCTTTTTTGATGGAACTTTACAACTACAGCCTCAAACAGCCATAAGCAGCTGCTCCCCTCTCAGAGCTGGGTGGTCTGTCCAATGACACGTACTCTTTTTTACAGTTGGCTGTGCTCACCGCAGATGGCTACGGTAAACAGTCCATGTAGGTGGAGACTGCACGGGTCAATTGTAGCACTTTGTCTAAGGTCTCAGCAGGGAGCTACTTAACTCCAGACTGAATACAAACTTAAAAAGATGGTTGAACGCTTTTCTCATTGCTTGTCGTCGTTCCCTGCTCGCTCCCCTCACAGTTCCGACTGGCGAGGAAGAGGCAGCTGGAGTGCGCGTAGCTGCACGCTCGGAGCACCCCGAGCACGCACAAATACTTGCATATACAAACGGGCTCAGTTACAAATGCAGGCATATGGCTAGAGCAGTATTAATAAAGGGGTCGATGGGCCCGGCTCTCTGTCGCCACCTTGGCGGAATAGCAGAACAGCATGGGTTCTGCCACTACAGCATAGATGCGGTAGTCATGAGCATATTACGGTGCTTTTTACACTGGTTTTGACCTCATCCAGATTCTGTGTACCGGTCTCTCGTTCCACAACAACACCCATCCTCTCCAGCCTTTCACGGCCTTCAACCTGTGTAGCGTGTTCCCGCCCGTGTAGGTTTTTTGAATGCGTACCATTACTCTTTTGTACGGAAATTAAGTCACACAGTCAGCTCTCAGCTAACGCTTAGCCAAATATAACGCCTGTGGTAGGAAGCGCCTAAGTGTAGCTTAGCCCGCTGTACGATTGCTTGTGTGGGGACGCTTTTGCAAGTTGGTGGGTGCCGAACGAAACACGAACAAGGCATCGCGCTTAAAGAGTCTGATGGCCGCTCTGGTGCTTCCGCTTGTCTTGAAGTTTGTGCGAGTTGCAGCGTGCGAAGCTTCTTAGAAGGAAGGACGATCCCCTTGTTTGCGCCTCGCTAAAGTCTCTTTTGTGCGTCCAGGGAACTGAACACTATCTTCATGGGGGCCTGAGAGGTCATTTGGGGGGCCAAATAGATAGCCCTAAAAGTTCATTGCCAGGACCTTAAGAAAGCCCCTGCGTGCCTCTGTGAAGCAGGAGCCAACCATTTGTCTGTCTCTTCCGTAGCATCTACTGAGAGGCGCTTCCCTACGTCCTCCAATTCACTGAAATTTCTAGACCTTTTGCTTGTTCCCCCATTTTCTAAGCTCTCGGCACAGTGTCATGCTACCGACAGCCGGCAAGTCAGCCTCCATTCGGCGGAGGGATCAACAAAGCGCCCTTTTGGGACGCACGCCCGATGCTTATTTGATTAAGGCTCGAAGTGTACTCTAAAGCAACACCAAGTCCCCTGCAAGGGATTCACTTACTGCCTCTAATAAAGAGCAAATAGACTTACACTCCAACAGATGCAAGCGCAGAAAGCAGCAACGAGGAGCCTGCTGGGCACCTAGCGATAAGGCCATTCTGCTTGAGAAGGGAGAAAACACTGGCAGCAGGGGAGGAGAGGTCGCTCTAGTCCCCGCCCTCATCCACGCCCATCGGCTCTACACTTATTTTAGCCCCAAAGAAGGGCCCTCTGAATTTTGCATGCGCCTCCTGCCGCTTCCTTCTCCTCCTTGATCCGCAACTGGTCAAAAAGGGCCTTCACCTCGGCGAGGATCATGAGATGCACATCCGCCGATGAGAGACCCTTTACAGAGAAGGAGCGCCAATACGGCAGCGTGCCGAATTTCGCATAGGCAGAGTAGACCATTCGCTGCAGTTCGAGTGACTCGTACACCTCCTCTCCTGCACGAAAAGGAGCACCTGCGGCTGTGCAGAAGCACTCAGAGGGTGACACCCTTCTATCCCCCCTTCTGCCCCACAGACGCCTGCTGGCCTGGCGTCCCCCCGAGCAGCAGCAGCCGCAGCAGAAAGGGCTCCTGGTGTCTTATTCCTGCGGCTGCATTGTCACCCCCGCTGCACCCGCCTTGCCAACTGCCACCGCATAATTGGAGACATCCACTTTTTGCATGCCCACAATTCGCCTTGGGCTCGTCATGGGCCCCCCGGGGACGATCAGAAGGAGGCCCAGCTGCTCATCTTGCATGCGCGTGCATAAGATACCTTGCTACGAGCTCCGCGCTCTCAGAGCTCCTCGTGCACTAGTTCCTGCTGCCGGTGCAGCTTACCATAGCCCTCCCTGCCCAAAGTGTCTTCCGGCTTGATATCCAAGAAAAAGACGCGATCAGGCGTGGGGAGGCCTTCTTCCGTTGCCTTCGCGAATGCCTCGCCTATGGGAACTGCGGCTTGAACCTCCTCTTCGAAATGCTCTGAGTTCTCCTTCGCTACTGCTTTGGAGGCGGCAGCAGCTGCTGCGAGGTAATTTGCCGCCGTTGTGGAGTAGGCTAACCCTGTAGGCACACAAGAGCCGGAGAAGATTGAGCCTATAGTTCGCCGCAAGAGAGGAGGGCGCAGATAGGGCACAGGCGTCGGGGGGGGCACGCCAAGTTGTCATGGCAAGGCCTAACAGCAGTTGGAAGGCTAAGAAAGGAGAGCCTCTCCGCTGCAAGCCATTCACCAGCTCCCACAAGGGTCGTGGGGTGGCTACGCAGGCGTAGGGTGTTTGCTGCTGGAGAGACGTTTCTACGGAGGCTGCAGTTTTGAACGCAGCAGCGCGCTAGCCACTCTGCATTGCCCCACAGAGGCAAGACAGACTCTGATTGAGCAGTTGGTTGTGCAAAGCAACAACAGTCACAAGCAGAAGACACCAAAGGCGGAAGGGGATGGAGCAGCCGCGCCAGCCTCCTCGCCCCATGTTACCGCTTTGTGGGGGAGCTGGGAGAGAGGGGGGTTGGGTGCATCTGGCTCATGCTCTTCCCGCAGAGCAGGAGGCGGGAGGAGGAGTCTCGGGAGCGGCATATGGACGGAGTAGAAACAAAGGCCCAATAGAAGAATACAGCCAATGGCAGCATCTCTAGGAGCTAGAAAAGGGTGTGACTGATGTGCGAGAGAGGAGCGCCTTGGGGGTCCTCACCAGAAAAAGAATAGCGGTCAACAATCAGAACAAAGCCATCGTTGAGCCATTGATTCATCTGCGGCTGTAGCTCCCAGCGGTTCGCAGCGAACAGGAGGTGCAACACCTGGGGAGGAGGCTTAGACTTTCCAGCGAGAGCTGCGCTGATTAGCTTGCCAACAGGTGTTGAGCGGTCTGAGGAGCGAAAGAAGGGGCCCTCAAGAAGTGCAGCAGCAGTAGGCGAATGTCGCAGCAGGGAGACAAACGACAGCAGGATAGACAGCCACGGGAGCGGCAAAACTCGCGAGGCTCAACAGCTGTTGAAGGAGGGGTAGTGGCAGCCGCTGTAGCAGTCCGACGTCGCAGGTGCACGCCTTCAGTAGCGGCCCTTGCAAATCCCAAGCAGCGCTGCTCCCAGCCAATGCACAGCACTCACCTGGAAATCCAAGAAGCTTTGCTTTTACACCTTCTTTGACGAGCCGTTCGTAGAGGAGCTTTGCTTGAGAGGATTTCCCCGAACTGAAGAAGCACGCGCAAATCGCTATTCCATGTACTGAGGAGGACAGACACCCGACGGCCTGCCAGCGCGTCGCCACCTACGCCTTTGCCAGTCCCCTCTTTGCGGCATCAAAAATGCAGGAGACGAAGCGGAATTTGCATCGGAGTGCAACTGAATGTATCGCGGCCTGATCAGTGCTCCTGCATCGTTCGTAGGGGGAGGTGCGCAGTGCGTGGTTACAACAAAGAATGACTCAAAAGACCTCGCAGGGAAGAACATGCAAATGCGCAGACACAAAAGAGGAAATAGGAGATAATAGTGCAGCTGCAGATGCGTGATGCTGATCTCGCTGACTGGTGAGCACGAGGAACTAACCGGTCGATGCCCTCAAATACAAGTAGGGCTCCCCGCGTGGGAGCGACTAGGCGCACAGCTCCTCCGTTCATCGTTTCTAAGCCCACCACAGGAGCCTTCCGTATACTCTCTGACGCCTGAGCACGCAAGAAAAATAAGGGAAGCGACACAAGGATACAGGGAGTGGGGGGGAAAGGGGAGAGGAAGCGCAAAGGCCGTGACTTAAAGGCAGAGCGGCTCCCTCGACGACCCTCTGAACCCCAGTTAAATGCACTATAGAAAAGAGAGAATGCATATATAAGGAGATATGGAACGCGAACAAGACATGTAGATGAGCGAGGATGCTTAGAAAGCGTTCTGTTTCCACATCAGTCATTCAAACTGCGAGCTCTCTCTTTGCAGCTGTATTTAGCAGCCTGTTCGTTTGTACTGCGCACACGATACCGCAGTGCATGGCGTGAGGGCGGCAAGGGTCAGCCTATGCCGCCACCTCTAAGCAAAAAAGCAGGCCCCTCCTTCTAAAACCACATACAGATTCCACAGACCTTAGCTGTCCTTTTGTGTCTGACTGACGTCCCATCCGATCCTACTTTACTGCCATTCTATACACAGTGAACTCGCAGGCTGTCTGGTGTATAAACCACAGCGCTCGTTGGTTCTGTTGATTTGCTTCTAGTGCAAAACCGTCGAGGGGGATTTCCACAGGGGAAGCGGGATACCTAGATCTCCGTGTTATGTCCGCTAAGGCTCTTCAAGTCAGTCGGTTCTTGATTAATAATAAATAAAATATCAATCAGCAAGGAAAAAAGACTTGCCCCCGAAATCTGACGGATTGACACCTTGCATGTCGGCAGCGGGTGGTACAAGCATTCAGCGCAGAGAATGAAAGCGCGCCGAGTACAAGCAGAAAAAGGTTGAGCGGATATTATAAAGGAGCTAAAAACACGATAACCTACACTTAAAGAGAATGATATCTGCAACTATAGTATCGAAAGTTATGACACTGCCTACTTGATGCAGAGTTCTGCGCCGCTCTTCTCAATTAGCCTCTGCCTTTGTTAGCTGGTTTTATATACTCACTTTGGACTTAGAGAACACGCAGCCCCGATGAGTTCCCTCTGTGCTCCCTTTCACCTTGGGCTTCTTCACTGCAAACAGCTTTCTATGCTACCGTGAAACAGTCTGTGCAACGAATACTCTCGTGGGGTGTATGCACAGAGGTAGACCATAGTGTGGGGCTTTGATAAAAACTTTTGCAAGGCTCCTTTAAAACTACAGATGCAAACTAGCCATGGAAGCACAGTGTCCACTGGGTTTGGGGGAGGGTAGGATTCGAAATGCATTTACGGAAGCATGGCATTTCAACTGCTTGAAGCTCTCACATCGGCTGAATAATCTCCGATTAAGCATCTCCTTATCAGCTGGACGTGACTCCGACCTCCCCACGATCGGAAGCACCTAAACATAGCCAGGCCTTTCTCGATCTTCAAGTAATTGGGGCCTTTTCCGGATGCACTTGGCGGCAACAAGCAATTATAAGATGCAAATACTACGATTTTACTGGGCACTAGTACTTATTTTCAGCGAAGTTTGCGGTACACAAAACCTTGCCTCCCCGTATTCTGTAAGGCTCCCCCTGAAATATCTTAAAGGAGATTTTAGCTCCAGAATCAATACAAATACAACTCAGACATATTGGCTGTTCCCCAAGAAACAACCGCCTTTCGCTGCACGTGACCATGAGAGTTCCGGCAGGAGAGAAGAGGGACAGCGGGGGTGCGCGTAGCTGTACTCCCTTGAAGCACCGAACACTAACAGCTAGTTGCACATGGCATCTACAGACCCAGCACAACGCTGCATCGTGCTGTATCGAGCAAACAGAGCTTTGCAATCAACACGATGTAAGAGCAAAGAGTCAGTTGCTCAATTAGTCGGTAATTCTTAGTTGAAGCATGAACAGCTTAAAGGGGAATATTGAGTGAACCTCAGCCCGCTATATCCCCCGCCTCAATCCACAACACAAGCCTTCGTGATCCATCGCTAAACATGTAGCGTAAGTGCATGAGGACGTAAAAAGAACCGTCTAATGGCTACTTCCCAGGTAGGCGGAACTGAAAAATAGTGCGAACGAGAAAATCAGATGTGTGCGTCATCCTTTAAACTGGAATGAGCGCGGGTAAAGCAACGAACGCCAGTCCACAAAGGACGGGGAAACGGTCCAACATGACCGCGGTGGTGCGATGTCCAGCTGTCGGCAAAGAACGGAACTTTGTGAGCATCCTGTTATGGGAAAACACACGGCAATGCAAATGTGTGAAGACAGTCCGAATGCACACTGGCACAGCAGTGGTTTCGCCTTAGGAAGCAGTCTTTGCATGCAGATACAGTGGTGCATGTGCATGCTTGATCGCACAGCCTTAGAAAGCGCACAAAGAAGAATGTAGAGGCAGCACCCCTGAGAGTGCCTGTGCATACGTCCGAGTGTACAGAACACCTTAAGAGTAACGGCCAACAAGTGTAGAAGCATGCACAGATGCAGGTAGCTACTTTAGGGAGAGCATGCGCTAGGGACCCAAATTGAAAGGAATGTAAGGAATATAGTCCTTGGCAACTAGCGATGATAGTCGAATAGAGTCGCGAATTCTCCCGCAGGAAATGGAACGCGGACCTGCTCCTCCGTCAATTACTGAGCTTGGCGGTCCCCCCTCCCATTTCCCAAGAAACTACCGTCTAATATGTCCTCGGCGCTCAGTAGTCCTGAAGTTGACCATATCTACGGCTCCCAGTGAAATTCTCGGCTTCTGGTCGGGTTATTTGTTTGCGTGGCAATGTTTTTCAATAATTAGGCGAACTCTGAAGCTTCTTTGGAAAGCCCCTATCGATTGATCATCGGCACTTCCAGCTTTTAGGGAAATCTATTAAGTACGGGAGCGCATGTTTTAATGAAACATCTTAAATGGTCCTAGCCACCTGGCCAAGAGGTTTTTCGTGCTGTCATCTTCAAATGCAACTTGTAAAGCTTGCCTTTGCGCCAAGCTCAAACCTGGAGGCTCGAAACACACAGTCGACCGCCGCGTATCACAGTTCCCTGTTCGTCGCATTTTAGCTTTGCGCATACAGTTGCGTGCACTAGCCAGGTGTTCGTTGATTTGGTCCGCTGGAAAAAGTGCCTGCCAACCAAGGCCAAACGGTCAAAGGTCGGGGTCAGAGAGGGGCTTCTCGGTAGAGACCAGGCGTGCGAGGACCCAACGGATAGAAGAACGGACTGTTGTATAAAAGTCCAGTCAGAACAAGAAAAACATCAAGCCCACCAAGCTAGATTTTTGCGACCATGAATTTGCAAATACAGTATAAAGAGTGGGATTGGCGCTCTGGTTCTGTTTATCTGCCTTACGGAGGTTTGTAGTGGTCATGCATAGTATCAATATTGCGTGGGCGGTCCTACACACATGCCAAGACACGCCTTTAAACTTCGGGTCGCTATTCGGAATGATAGTCTTGGAACATTAGCGGAGCTTTCAAATATGAGTCACGAATAAGTGAGCAACGTCTGGAGCCGTGCCAGGGCTGGAGCAAAGGCTGAAATGGGCATATGTGCTGCCAACAACGACGCAAGTCACACACTTGATCTTCATTAGTCTAACACGAAACTCCAGAGTTCGATCAGTCCAGGTCTTCGCAGATATCAGACAGGCTATGCAAAAGGCCTGGCCTGAAAGCGTTTCGCAACTTCAGCTGCTGACAATCTAAGCATGATAATGCATACTCCTTGCCTGCAAGACACATTCAACCCACCAAAAATACTAAGGGAACTTTTCTAATGTAATGTAGATCCCACTATGGCTCGAAGGAAAACGGTCTGTGCGATTCGCAGAGCAGCCCTGAGTAGCAAAGCCACAATGTACAAGCAACGGAATCCCTGCTTTGTTTTGAATCCCAGCAAAGCGACCTTAGCACTACAGCTGCTCACTCTTTTGACATTCTAAATCCTGGCGATGCATGGGTGCCAAAAGCACAACCCGCACCTAATTTTGATGGAAACCGCATAACACTGCACACAAGAGTCGGTTCTGTGTAGAAAGGTGACGCGATCGGGCATCACGAGTGAGTGCCGGCGACCACGTCAGTGATGCCTTCGACGCAATTCACTTTAAAGCCGTATTGCAACAGACACTCAAGCCCACGAAGCACTCTGGGTTCCCAAGTACTGAACATTTCTTATAAGGTACACCGAAACCTGATAATTGGTCTGAATAACAGGATGACACCGCTTTAACAGTGACAACATTTTTCACGCCCTGCTACAGCGCATTGTATTTCATGTTCCCGCTGTGAATACCGCTGCTCGGTTCCGGTAAAGGGATGAAATTGGCAAGCAATATTGGTGCTTTGAAGGACCTGTAGGCTGTTGGGAGAGGGTAGTCCCACCATCACATTATTAAAGTCTGTTGTTACGAAGATGTGATGCTTATTATTGGGCAGTAAAAGCACTGGCGGACATAAAAGGCGGTCTAATAGCGTCCTTGCTGCAATATCAGCCTACTCTGTCCAGGTTACAGACTGCGTTTTCTTGTACAGATCGATAAAAGGAGCAGCGATCCAAGCAAATTCAGCAACAAAATTATGATAATGAGCTGGAAAACCATATAGCGTCTCATCGTCCTTGCGGATGGGTAAAGGTGAAGGCCATGCATGTCTAAAATTTTGTCATGGTGCACCGACAAAGATGTCACGAACCATGCTAATGGGAGCCAACTTCGACTTGCAGTAGCGTCTAAATGCGGCAGCCTCGTCAGAACCTTTGCATTCTGTTGTTACTCAGCAGGCCTGAGGCTTAGAGGCTGCGCTAACGAGTAAAAGGGTTAGCTGGACTTCTGCGCCGTCTCTTCAGAAAACACTTTCACTTCACATTTACTGCGACATAGTATTTGCGATTCTTGACAGTTAGCTGTGTCTTTTATCAGGGGACAAATGCCCGGTAATGGTTCTCCAACTGCTGTTCCATCCTCTGTATTCCCCTTCGCTGCGCCGCTGCCTGTGTGGGGACTTTCCGTTTCCCTGATGCGAACTGTTTGCTTGCCAGTCAGCGTGCTTCCGATGGACCTAGCTCTGTTTTTCAAGTCCTATGGCTTTTTGAATGCGCTTAGTTCCGGATTGTATGACCCGTTTCCGACATTGTAACCAAGTGCGAGGTGGGGGAGCCTTCTGGGGCCACCGTTTAGGGCCGCAGATTTCTTGAGGCAGTTCTTCCTCGTTCGTTCGGGTGTAGGCCAGGATTGCTGAACAAAGTCCCGACATCCATGGCTTCTAAATCCCGAATCGACTCTTCGAGTCCACACAAAGAGGCAGGGGTTGCACTTCGCTTTCTGTAGAAACTTCCAGTACTTCACTATTTCGAGAAGCTCCACCAGCCAACTGGTTATTCGCTAAGTCACTGCCCATACTGCGGCCACGTGCAATAGTATTTCGGAGAGCACCGACATAAACGATTGCTAAAGCATCTTTTCGTCTCCTTCATGGCTCTTGGGGATCCAAAATCCATATTTCTCGATATTCTAGTGTATTGGTGGAATCCTCTGCTATAGCATTTTACTTGTCCTAAAACCTGCTTTGAGGCTAATCGTGGGAGTAGCCGATAATTCAGGGAGTATATGAGGGGTTAAACTGTAGTACGCACTGCGGGCATGCGACTTCCTCTGCATGAATATGGCCACCACTAAAGTGACTTGCACTCCTATGGACATGCCGCAAATGCGCTTGTTTTTCTTTATGTGCGAGGCACAGGACGATCATATCTCCGACCGACGTATGAACTCTCGAGTTTGTGCCAACCAACCGAGTCGTCATACTTTTCTGGTCTGCAGAACTTCATTCACACATCCATAAACATTGTATTGGTGACAACTTATGCCTGTCCACCAGCGTGAGGCTAATTCGTTCACATGCATTTACAGGCTAGCCTCTGCCACCTGAACACGCTTTACGCCATATTCAACTTCCATCGCCAGACCAGATTGTTGACAAATAAAATACGATTACTGAGTACGAGACAGCCTGATCAAAAGCAGATACTGGTTGTGTAGAGAAGCCAGGCATTCGGCTATATCAGCATCCACACCTTAGTCTGTTGGGGAATTAAATGTATCGAACCATGCGGGGCCTCCAACATCAACCCTTCATCCAAGATCTCCGTACAAATGATGCTCGAATCCGATGTATACAAACTGAGTAGGAAGTTACTGGGGTTTTCCACTCACACGGACTGCCTCAATCTCATGTCTGCACCACTCTTGGTCGGATATGAGAGGAATGGGACAGTGAGGGTGTGTTTTGCTGAATCTTGAAGCGCTCCGAGCACTCAAAGCTAGTTTCATTCAGCATCTAGTGCAGACGCACACAACATTGCGTCTTTCTGTATCGAGCTAACAGAACTGTGCAATAAATAAGATATAAGAAGTATCAAGCCAATTAGGCAGTTGGTTTCTAGGTTTTAATGAATGTAACTGGTACAGTAGAAAATCTTTCAGTATATGTTTGCCCGTTGCATGTACCGTTGAATCCATGTACAAAGTGCTACAACGACACGAATGGTTAATGCACAATTTTCGAGAATAACCAAGTAGAGCAGTTACATGGGGACTCTGAACCTCAGACGACATGTTTTTGTCGCTATCGTGCTCCTGCTTGATTACACCAACAGGAGAGAGTGTAGAAGCAGCAAAAAGCCGCGTGTGCGAGCGTAAAACTCTAACCGATTTCGGGAAGGAGAGCCAGCTGCGTATGTTGCAAGGATACGACAGCCATTAATATACTTTGATGCTAGACAAGGGACTGGAAAGTGCCAAAAGAGGGTGTCGGGGTGTGGGGCGTTCGTTGCTGTTTGGCTTTGGCATCATGGAGTGCTGCAGGCTCCACGCTTCCCCTGTGCAGGGGGTTTTCCCCCTATCAAGTCTTTGCGTAATTGCTTATTCTGTGCAAAAGTTTGCGGCATCAGGCGTTTCAATTAGTTTAAGGTACTTTTTGACAAATCGGTAGTGAACGGGCACGACGCCAGTCCAGCGCATGAATGAGCCCACTGCGCGCTTCATCTCGCTCTCTATGCCCATTCCAAGCCTAGTCCTTCTTTTGTAGTTCTTGGCCTGATAGTATCTCTTAAAGGGTGTACTCTTTTCTGGCATTGCTTGCCACGCTCTCTTCGGGGCATGCGCTTTGCCTTTCCCGTTCTTGGCCCCGTAAGCGCACCATTGCATGGCAACACCTTGCGGTTCTTCACCGCGGGGTCTCGGATACTGGGGCTTTTCCTTTGCTCTCTCTTCCATCTGCCGCTTCCTATTGAGTGTCTTCGCGCTGAAGGCGCGTTAAAGGCTCCAAGATGGTAACCACCGCCTCTCCGGATACTTATCATCGGGTGATAGAGTATGGCTTGCGGAAAACCTCGCTGCGGTTCGACCGTCTGTTGTTACAGGCCTTCATGGCTGGGGTGTACATTGGCCTGGCTGGCCAAGCGTGCAACATGTTTGCCGGGGGCATGCCAACCGACCCTACAGACACGCGGGCAGTCTCGAAGACGATGCAGAAGTTCATGTATGCCTCGATTTTCCCAACGGCCTTCATTGCAATCATTTTCACAGGGGCAGAGCTCTTCACGGGGAACACGATGACCATGTTGATCTGCTTGATCGAGCGTCGCATCACATTCTTGCACTTGGTGATAAACTGGGTGGGGTCGTTCATTGGCAACTGGGCTGGGGCCCTCTTTGGTGCGTATTTCCTTTCGTATCTCCCGGGTGGCTACGATCAGGAGCCCCTTTATAGCTACATGTGCTATGTGCAGCACGCGAAGGTTAGCTATGGATTTGGCCAGTGCTTTTTGAGGGGCATTGGCTGCAACGCCCTAGTGTGCCTTGCCGTTTGGAATGTAACGGCTTGCGATGATCCGGCGAGTAAGATTTTGTCCCTGTGGTTCCCCATTGTTTCGTTTTGTGTCGCTGGTTACGAGCACATCATTGCTAATTTTTATACCCTGCAGCTGACGCTCATGATGGGCTGCCCCGAGTCTGTGGGCACTGTCGTGGTACAAAATTTCATACCGACATTCTTGGGTAACATGGTGGGGGGATGCGTGCTCATCGGAGCCGTCTACTGGTATAACTTTTACCCCATCGAGGAAGTCGGCAACAAGCATGTCACAATGGGGCCTGGTGGTTTCACAGGAGATGGGGAAAACGAGTTCCCAATCTCGAGGGTACACTCAAGGGCTTCCGTTTCGCCATCCATTATCGGGTTGGGGGCGAAGCAGAGCACCGCATTTGGAGGGGCCCCTTCGCAGACGCAATGGGCAAACTTTGACCACGCAAGGACCCACTCTGAAAGCATGAGCAACGTGGGGAGTGCAGCTGGAGGCGTGGCAGCAACCGGAGGGGCCTTCCGCACTTCCGTCTTCCCCAAGCCCAAAAGCGATCACGGGGACGATCCCCCCCAGCCTGCACCCTAGCTGGAAAAGGAAGAGGGAGGGAGAGGGGGGAGAAGGGAGCTGGACGGTTATGCGGTAACTTGGCAGTGGCAAGAGCGCCAGCATGTGCAGCAGGAGACGGATCGGGAGCCTTACAGCGCCAACAGGCGGGCTTAATTTGCGGCTTACGGGGGCAGCTCGAAGTTGAAAGTTGCGCACTGGCGTGATTCTGAGTACTTCCTGACCTTTCTCATAGAGTCAGTAGAAGAAAGCCGTCGACATTTGAACCTTCCAACGCTGCAGGAAAGGCAGCTCGGCTGGCCTCCTCCGCTGTGAGGAAGCTGCTGCATGCCCCTAAGATCGAGCTGTGGGGCCTTGCGGGAAGCGTTTTGTCGCAAAGGGAAGAGTCTGCAGCAGTCAGCTCGACAAAGGGATATGAGACTGCCTTTCCGCAGTGTCCATGTCTTCAGCGGTGATAACAGCGGTACACGGAAGGTGGGGGGGGCCCCCATTTACGATGCCTTCAGCATGGTGAACATCTTGATTGCGCGGGATGCGGTGTTGACGCAAAAACGAGTCAGGACTGCTGGCTTGCGCCGCTATTTCTTTACTGCGAAGCCTCAAAACTTTATACCATTTAGCACCTGCATGGTTTAGTGTGTGTATGTGTGTGTATGTATGTGTGCGTATGTTTGTGTGCGTATGTTTGTGTGCGTATGTTTGTGTATGTATGCATGTGCGTATTATGCATAGTTATACATAGATGTAGTTCTGTGTTTACATGCCTGGGAGTGTTTGGAGATATATATATATATATATATTTATAATATATATATATATATATATATATATATATATATATATATATATACGGGGATATTTATGCATTCAGGCAGGCCTTGCCAGTATATGTTTGGTAGTACACCTTAAATCTGCACATGCACTCTGTAGTTCTTTGTCCCTGTCCTGCCCACCTTCCTGTACATATGTAGTGAATGAGTGTCCATGCATATACGTATGTACATTGTGGCGTATTTCTGCTTATGTGTCTATCAATGCATCTGCATTCATACCTGCGTATGCATTCATGCATGCATATGCATATGCACACATATACATATTATTTTAGGTGCTTTCGCAGTATTGATACATATTTATATTTCAAGCTCGGTGTCTGTTGTCTCTAAAGAGAGAGCGGCGGGTTTCCATTCAAGTCCGCTTTCTGCGTCGGCGTTCATACGGATCGCTCTCCACTTCTCTCTAGCAAGTTGTCCACGCCAAGTACGCCTTGACGGCTGGCTTGCGTCTGTCTGCCGTCATGGATATCCTCGACACAACTGAAATAGATGCAAAAAGCGGGTAGAAACTGACGTCGCCCTCGGCCTGTGTGCGTCCTCCCGCAGGACACCTGTTTGAGGCAACGGTCGTGCAAAGGGGGTTTAGAGACAATTAGAGGCGGGGGAGGGGAAGGGAGGCGAGATGGCGAGCAGCAGCGGGAAAAAGAGGCGCTGGAAGAGGCCCCCTATGGGCCGGCGCAACTTGCTCATATATAACGTGTCGGTTGCCCTTAGCTTCGCACATGCGAGACGGGCATCTTGAAGAATCGAGCAGTGCTGGGAAGTGTCAACGGCCTGGGTGTGGATTCGTTCACTGGATTTTGTCTTTTTTCTGTATATGTATGCGTTGTGTGCGTGCAAACCTAACCGTATCCACCGCTCCCCTTTGAATCCGTGTGTTTTCCTCCATAACGCCGCTCTTCTTGCGGTTGTTCTGTATCTAGACGCATGTCTGTCTGCAGTTGGCTCTGCAAGGACATGCACCTAGATGCTCCTGTCCAAACGCACCAGGCCGGGTTGCGCAACTGTTGCCTCGTTGGCGCATGCACGCACGCACCCTCTTCAATCCATCCCATTGAAGCGCTTTCATTGCATGCAACTCTCTCCCACATCCCGTATTTCCCTCTCCCTGCCCCTTAAGCTCCATGGATGCGAACCTGCATGCCCGTGTACAGCCCCGCCATGCGCGCATACAGTCGCCTCGGCAGTGTGGGGGAATACTGCGCTGGCCGCCGCGAGTCGCAAGGCCACATGCCTTATGGGCGGGCGGGGGCCCCTTTGTTAGTGACACTTGACAGCAAAGCATGAGGTGGATTCCTGCGCCCTCCAAGTTTTGTTACAAAGCAGCGCTTGGGAGGCTGTGTGTGGGCAGCACCCGCGCACAAGGGTGCACTAGTGGCACTTATGCTAACGCGAGAGGGGTAGAAAGCAGATGCGGTCTTCCCGCAAGGAAAGAGCTGACGGACAGATCGTAGAGGGCGACAGCAAGTTGGAACGGACTTGCCGTGTGCGCCTGCTTGCGACGGTGGCAGGGGTAATGCTGAGTGTGCTGATGCAAAACGGAGTCTCAACTAGCGAGTTGGTGGGATAGGAGGAGGATAGCTCTCGTATCACGCGGTTGCTCAACAGGACCGCCGCGATGGCAACGCATAAGGGGATGCGAAATGATATCATGGAGCAGGCTGGAAGGCTGCCTTCCCATTTGTCGTGGGGGCCTCGCGCACAGGCGCTCGTAGGGTGGTGCCTCGCTACTATTTTCAGCGATTACAGGCATTTTCACGCAGTCACCGCATAACTTGCGGAGAGCATTTGCCACTTCTCTGGCTGCCCTGCCCTCCATTCCCTCCTCGCGCCGGGCTTTAAAATGCTCGGACAGATGCGATACAGAAGGGGGCAAAGGATGCACGACCTAGCACAGGAGGCTGGTGGACAGCGTTCAGGGGTGTACAAAGGTTCTAGGCCTACTTTTACGCCTAAATGCTGACGCTAAGCTCAGACAGACAACGCAACGCGTTGCACGCGTAGGCAAGGCTCTAACAGTCAGCTCTATGTGGCAAACCTTGTCTGGGAGGATCTCATGCGAGTCGATACAGCGAAAAAGACACCTACGCTTTCTATGCAGTCAAGGACCGGGCTACACAGGATGTACAGAAAGTGTTTCAAATTAAAAGGTGCGTCATCTATCTACATAGTCCAGGGCTTCGCTGGCCGAATCATAGATTTCCGCATGGGAAGTCTCACTGGAGGGCGGAGTAGGGAGCGGCGGGGGAGTGGTGGTATGTATGGTTCCTACAGCAGCTCGGTGGCTTACAACAACCTCTCCCAACTACACGGAAAGCCCTCTCTGTAGCGTTCTCGCTTCCCCATTCTCACAGGGTGCTACTTCCAGAGCTTCCTGAGAGACATGTTTCGCTCTGCATCTTTCTTCATCACCTGGCCCAGCACAAGCGCACAAGCGCACAGAGCGACCCTCGCGTCTCTCCGCCAACACACACAGACACACCTCGAAGGCGAAGAGCAGCAGTGCTGTGTCCACAGCGAGAGCCGCCAGTTCAGGAAATCGCTCGCTTACCTTGGCAACAGCCATCTCGAAATCCTCCTGAGTCACGTGCATACGTCTCTCTCTCAGAGCAAACATGCCAGCCTCAGTACAGACCGCCTATGTCCACGCACGCATGAACACACATGCACACACACATCTTTCATACAGATTTTACGGTCCCCGCAGTGCCTTGGCCGCTTCGATAAAAAGCCTTCCAGGAATTTACCACGTGCCCAAGCGCCAGTCGCCGACTTGGGAAGTAGTTACACACAAACATAGATAAGCGCACACACAAATAGCACCGACACGACTGGTAACGTGCATGCGTGCAACTCTACCAACGCAGCACCCTGCAGATTCGTCGCTGCTCGAAGCCATCCAACTGTCTGTGTGTCTCTGTTGCGCTTCCTCTGTATCATTTACCTTCGCCTCCGCCCCTGAAGCTCCGTTGGTCTCTTGCGCGATTTTTTTGAGGTCTATTCCTCGCATCAAATTCATTTTGCGGCTGTGAATTTTTAAAATCTCTGTCCGTGCCTGGGACCGCAAAAAGGTAGCGCGCCAAGCAGACAGGCATGCCCTCCTACTGTCGGAAGTTCGGTGGCCAAACAGCTGACTGATACATAAAAGGGGAGATAAAAGTAGTTTCTCGAAAGAAAACTCGAATCCAACGACAACGCAAAAGGCGTCACGATTCACAGCTCTTGTCTGTGCAACTTTCAAACACAATGGGAAGACGGATCTGCACCTCGAGGTTCGGGTTAGGAAACTCGATCTTCCTGTCAATACGACCCGGCCGCAGGAGGGCTTCATCAAGGATGTCGATTCTATTCGTGCACATAATAACCTGAGCCACGACACGCACAAAACGCAAGAGGGAAAGGAGAGCGAGGTGCAAGGACAGGCGCATTTCAGAGATTTAGGCAGCTTCCCAAAGGCTTCGTGCAAGAGGAGGGCTGCTGCCGATACGAGGCAGGCACGTAGACCAACGAACAGGCAAACAAAAAGGCAACCAGGCATAATGTATAACGAAACACACTGTCCCTTTTCAGAGCTTGCATCCTCTTCTGCCTTCCCCCGCACATGCCTTCCATCCTAAGGGGTGCACGTGATTTTTTTCGTCACCCCCTCTCGCCTCTACCGCCTCCCTTGAATGGCCAAAGATGCCACCCCTCCAAAAAGTCCTTTTCTTTACCTTGATGTTCTTGGTGCTCTCGAAGCCATCCAGCTGGTTGAGCAGCTCCATCATAGTCCGCTGCACCTCAGAGTCGCCGTGTTCGCCTTCGGTCCTTTGAGAGCCAATCGAGTCAATTTCGTCCATGAAGATAATCGAGGGAGCGTGCTGTCTAGCCATGACAAACAGCTCACGCACCATGCGACTTCCTTCCCCAATATACTTTTGCACCAACTCACCACCAGACACCCTAATGAATGTACACTCCGTGTGGTGTGCGACGGCCCGAGCCAGCAGCGTTTTTCCTGTTCCCGGAGGCCCATACAGCAGCACACCCTGCGGCGAAAAGGCGTATTTTATGACAAACGCAGCAGTCGCACAGAAACAAACAAAAACTTGTCTGGCTGTCCGCCTGCCCTGCTATACAGCAGCCCGATTCGCGGTGAAAAAGCGTGTTTCATGACAAATATAGTCGCAAAGTAACAACCCAACAAACACCTCTTTGCCTAGCTGTCTGCCACGCGGTATAGCGGCGCCTTGCGCAAAGCGGTATAAGACAGCCCTCGGCGGGGTCAATGAAGTAGAGGCTCTACGCGAAGTTGATGGACATGCATTCAGCCTCGCCAACGCATGCGATGCCATATATCTACCATTTGCAGCCGTGTAAAAAGGGGCCGCCTCCTACTCCCCAGCAAAACGCTTCCCACGGCAGGCCCTTCCTCCCCCCCCTATTAGGGGTCTTTTCTCTGATTGCGATGCACACGTCGCGGAAGGAAGAATGCGGGAGAATTAGAGAAGAAAGCAGACAGAGAGGAATGCAAAAGGGGGCACAGACAAACAGCACGCAGAACGCAGCAGAAGAAGCGGAAGGCTAGGCACCTCAGCGCGTATAGAAGAACCTACCTTTGGCTGCGAGATACCGAGCGATTCAAAGAGCTCGGGATGCTTGATGGGGAGTTCAATAACTTCCTTCACTTCTTTGACTTGCTGATCAAGTCCTCCCACCATCTCGTACGTGCTGTCGGGAACCTTTTCAACCTTCATGAGCGACACGAGGGGGTCCACTTTCGACGGAAGCACTGAGTGAAGGCGATACGAGTCGTTCAAGAGGGCAACGCGGGTGTTGGGAGTGCACTGGGAGAGATCCACGCTTTTCGCAACGTCCACCACATACTTGCCCTCAGGATTTACCTGCAGGGGGAAGAATGCAGAAGCAGCACACAGGCACGACATCTGACTGAGACCCTCTTCTGGAAAAAAAAGACCATACGCATACAGATCCTCTAAAAGCCCCACCCCAAACAATGTGTACATGCATGTGTATACATGAGTATGTGTACATGGGTATATATATATGTATATTGGATATATATATATCTATATATATACATATGTAGATATATTCATGAGATGGACGGGAGAAACATGAGCCGGCAGGTTTGATTGGGGAAGCCGAAAGGGAAGCAGCGACACTACAGACGCCCCATACAGCATCCAGACAACGGGAGGTTAGCGCAGCGTCTGGAAATGCATGACACACGTAAAGAGCTGGGAATAAGTAGAAGGGTGACAGAGAAGCGCAGCAGTAAGGACCCCTTCATGCGCGTGACAGTGCAGGGCATGCAAGAGAGCAAGGACGAAAGAGCTCTTGATGAATGATCTACAAGACAGCACCGCCTCAATTTAGCATGCGAAACTAAACAGTAGCGCACTCCTTACCTTCACGAGCACCTTATCTCTGCCCATCACCTTCACGACCTCCCCCACATAAGAGCCTGGTTCCAGCAGGAGCTGAATTTCTTCCCTTAGCTCCCGGACTGCACGATGGAAAAGCAGGCACCCTAACGCACACCTTACAGGCAGCTTTTTGCATATAAGTGGGTGCCTCCACAATGGTTGCTAGGGGACTAACTATGCCGCAATGGACCCTAACAGCAACGCCACCCTCAGCTAATCGTGCACTGGCCAGCAACATGGCCTAGTTTATCTTCTCTACTCTTCAATTAGAAGAGGCACAGCAAGCAAAGAGGTGCGTAGCTCTAGCTGAGTGTAGTATGTACGTGCATATGTGTGCTGTGCATATGCGAGTGTAGCATGGAATCGACCAGTAGGCCTTCGTCTGGCAGGCCTACCCTTTGCGTTGAATTCATTCCTCTGCGCCTCCAGCCGCTGCTTGTTTTGTGTTTTTTCGGCAATGTTACGTTCGAGCTGCTCGACTTTAATTTCTAGGTACCTTCGGAGGCCCTCTCCACTCCTCCCTGCACCCTCATTCAAATTGGGCATATCCTCTGTCGCCGGAAGCGGCTGTGCAGCTACGGCGGCGCTCATTTTGACGGTACGACGAAAAAGAAGCAAAAACAAAGCCTAGCACGGCGTCCCGACCGGCAACAAGGGCGCGCGGGCTATACAGAGAATGCAGGCGGTTTGGGAGCGCTTTCGGACTCTTTGGCCGCGGTGCGTTGGTGGGAGGTTAGTCTGGAAGAAGGAAATGTGATTGGAACGTGTGCCTCCAGAAGGCCATGAGACGGCTGACAGGCCCGAAGCCAGCAATGTGTGGGCGTGAGCAAGAAGCAAGCCAAGTTGCTGAGAATCGCAGCTCGGGTACTGGCTTGTGCAACACCCGGCGGAGCTGCCTATACACTGAAAATGCACTGATGATGGACCAAGAGATGAACGACGGCTGATTCTTTGGGTGGAGAGCTGGATACAGAAACAGTGAAGGGCTGAGGCAGAGAGGATCTTTTTCTCGTCCTCTGAAAGGGGCGTCGTGGGTACTGAGCAGGGGAGCTGCCGCAGCAGTTGCTGTACGTTAACTGCCACGATATGGCTGCTTGCTGCCCGTGTTTGCCTCTCTTCGCGGTTTAGGAGACGGGCTAAAGAGACAATAGTCCATGGAAAATACACGCGCGTGGACTCGGACTGAGGAGCTCCTGTGTAACTGCATGTTTTGTGGAGGCGAGGTGGCAGACTGCGGCAGCGGCAGCAGCGGCAACCGGTACAGGGGATATCGCACGCGGTAGGCTTCCCGTGACCATTCTTCCTTTAGAAATCAAACCTTAATGCTGCGCAGTCTCTATTTACATTGTGTATTCAGCTGTTAGCTTCTTGAGGCCGAGCATCGGGCAGACAAAAACCGGCAAGCAGTCGGATGCTGTCTGTCGGTTGACTTGTAGGCTGCAGTGGAGTTCTGCAGTCTGTTAGCCTGTCTTATTCGTTACTAATCCTTCATTTTATTGTATTTTCTGTCTCTTCCGTTGTGTTCATCCTCGATCTTTCGTCTCTCTGGCCTGCTCGGCTCGCCGGTCCCCTCCCCTCCATCTGAGCTCTCCGCCGCGTTCACGTTTCAGCATGACGCATATTCTTTCGCAGTTCGAAACCTTCCACGGGGGCCCCCTTCATGCGGTGTCCTTCGACTTGTACGGCACGAAAGTGGCGACTGCCAGCAGCGACGAGTCCATCAGGCTTTGGGACGTTTCAGCGGCGAATGCGGGTGCTCAATTCCTGCAGGAACTGCGAGGCCACAGCGGCCCCGTCTGGCAGGTAGGCGGGAGTGTTATCCTAGCTGCTGCTGCTGCTGCTGCTTCTGTCTGCTGCGTATGCGTGAGCTTGCGGAGTTTCTTGTCGCCAACGCCAGCGGTCGGTTCATGCTGATGTGATCCCTTCGGCCGCTCGTTGCTGTCTGTCGCTGCCGGTGGGTGTCATTACGGCTTAGGTCTGTTGGGCGCACCCTCGATTCGGCTCTGTCTTGGGGTCTTGCGGATACGATCGGCGAATCGTAGTCTGGCAGCAGCAGTCAGGGGCACAGGCATTTGTTCCGGTGTATTCCAACGATGAGCATGGAGCATCCGTGAACGCTTTGGCCTTTGCTCCCGAGGCGGCAGGACTGATCCTTGCGGCAGGCAGCAGCGATGGGTGCATCTCTGTCCTGACACACCAAGAAGGGGATCTCCAGCAGTGGAGTCGACAGGTGTTTTCTGCACACTTCAACGGGGTTCTGGCCGTCGCCTGGGCCCCCATAGGGGCCCCTGGCGCCTCGGGAGGGAACAGTAGGATGGAGAGCCTCCTGATGGCATCGGGGGGAGGTGACAACAACGTCCGTCTATGGAGTTTGGACGCATCACAGGTAGGGGAAAATAAAGGAGGCGGTGTCGGGGGCTTCCCGTTGAAACCCCCCCTCCAGAGTACACACACAGTGCGTGCAGGAAACGAAATGGGAGAGAAGGAAGGGAGGAAGGGGGGCAGGTAGCAGGAGGGAGAGACAAAAAGAAAGAAAGAAAGAAAGAAACGGAGAGAGAGAAGCGGAGACAGAGAGAGAGAGAGAAACAGAGAGAGAGAAGCAGAGACAGAGAGAGAGAGAGAGAGAAACAGAGAGAGAGAAGCAGAGACAGAGAGAGAGAGAGAAACAGAGAGAGAAGCAGAGACAGAGAGAGAGAGGGAGAAACAGAGAGAGAAGCAGAGAAACAGAGAGAGAAAGAAACACAGAGAGAAAGAAACAGAGAAAGAAACAGAGAGAGAAACAGAGAAAGAAACAGAGAGAAAGAAACAGAGAAAGAAACAGAGAGAAAGAAACAGAGAGAAAGGAACAGAGAGAAAGAAAAAGAGAGAGAAACAGAGAGAGAGAGAGAAAAAGAAACACAGACAGAGAGAGAGAGAGAGTGGAAGAGGGTTGATTGGTTGATAGGGGAGGAGGAGGAGGTTGTGTGTAGGGCGAGAGAGCCGCCCAAGCTTTGTGATGTGATTTTACTTCGCGCTTAGGGGTCAGTCTCGTCCTGTTTCTTTCTGTATTCGTGTATTCTGTCGGTTTCCCGCTTACGCGCGTCTGTGCGTTTGCAGCAATGGACAGAACTGCCTCCAATGGAAGGCGAGGGTCACTCGGATTGGGTGAGGGATATCGCCTTTCGACCACAGGGAGCCTCTTCCTTTGTGTTGCCGGGAGCTCTCCTTCTGGCATCGTGCAGCGAGGACAAGACTGTTAAGCTTTGGCTGGGAGAACCCCCTTCCCAGCAGCTGCAGGAGCAGCAAGATTCGCAGCAGCTCGTCACTCCGGCTCCCTCACAGTACAAGTGGCATCTCCTGCAGACACTTGTCTTGGACGCCCCAGCGTGGAGGCTTTCGTGGAGTCAAAGCGGCGCTCTGCTGGCCGTTGCATGCGGCAATTCTGCCGTTTTGCTGCTCAAAGAAAATGTGCATGGCACCTGGGAACTCGTCGCTGACCTCGCAGAGAGTAACGTTGAAACCGAGAAACAACAACAGCAGCAACAGGTTCCCCCCCCCCAAGATATGCAACAGCAGAAGCAGATGCCACCCCCCTCACCACTGCAGCCCCCTCTCCCCCAACAACAGCAACAGCACCAACAAATGCCCCCCCCTTCACCACTGCAGCCCCCTCTCCCCCAACAACAGCAACAGCACCAACAAATGCCACCCCCCTCACTGCAGCCCCCCCTCCCCCAACAACAGCAACAGCACCAACAGA